TGTGATATCAATAACATTTCAAATTTACAGGCTGCATACTAAGTTTGAAATCTCATTTGCAGATCGATTTTTTCAAGACTCAGTGGTAGTCACAAAGTTATAAACAAAATATCTTCTTTGTTTCCTATTTCGGTTCCCTAAACCATATCTCTTTTTCGCTGCCGGCCCTTAGTAACACATCATGGTTACGAACTACAAACTTCTAAATAAGAGCTTCATAGAATACAGAGGCTGGGGGATAAGATCGGTTGAACTCAGTCCCCAGAATACAACTAAAGGTAACATAGCCAGCAAGTAATCTTTTCAAGAAATACCCTTGGAAGCTATTTGTTTTTTTTAACGTAAAACCGCAGTGTTCGCCATTTTAGAATAACTTAGACTCGGTGAATGTACAGCAAATTCAAAACAAGACTAATGGAAAAGTCTTTCACTATCATTATTATTATCATCTTATTTTTTGCTGTTATTTTTTCGGTGGCACCTCTCACCTTGAGAAAGAAAAGAGTAAGCCAGAAGACAGACTTGAACGTAACCCCGCTTCAAAGACATCATGCTCCCTGCAATATGGCGAAATCGAAAAGATTAATATGTAATTCGTGACTTTGATTAAAGGTTGCATTATCCAAGGTGATGTTCTGAATGTACCAATCAACGACTTCTGTTTTGAAAGACTATGATTCCAGTTTTCTTTCAATGAATGTAAACTTAATGAAAATCAGTCGAATGTGGCCTCTCGTGATAGGAGCAGTATGGTAAATAATTCAGTAGGGGGCCCGGAATTTTCGAGAAAATGTAAGGGAGGAAGAGTTGAATTCCTTTGATCAATCATATCTGTAAGCGAAAAACGCTAAAAATTTCAATGATATGTATCTTTCTCTTCGTTGATGTCAGTGAGTACTTTATGCATTGGAGAAACTAATTCGCACATTAGGATTCCAGTAATACGACCAAAAGCTGTTTTTCAAAGATAATAACTCTGTAGCAAAAAGATTATGAAACAGGGACTAAAAGGAAAATAACACCTAATGCATTTGGAGCATAACCTGGTAATGGAAATCGTAGTTTTTAAAATGTTCCAGTTTTCTTTTTTCTTTTTTTTTTTTTTTTTTTTTTTCAGAAATAAGGCGCAATATTCAAGGCGAAACTTTATTCCTTGAAGAAAACATTAGCACTGAACGGATAAGGAACGAGAACAACACTTTAACATTATAGAAAATATCGTATACTTTCCCTCTCTCCACACTTTCACGAGCTTCTAGTTGGCAAAGTCATAAAAGAGGCTATGAAGAATTGAATCTCGCTGACAGGCCCAGGATTATTTAATTTTGATGATATCCATTAACCTCCGGAAGGGTTCTTCACCCAAGTTCAGACGTTTCCCACTTTGGTTGTCTCGATTCGCACCCAACCTGCCGCTCGATTCGTACCCATCCAGAACATTCAGTGACGACTAACACCCCGATGATCGACGTCGATTGTTGCGCACGACCAGTTAGCAAAGAATCATATTCCCATCGTACACACTCGTGACGTCAGCAAACATTTGCCTCTTGGAAAACATTTCTCCGCGATTGAATTCGACACTACACAATTCACATACGAGGGAAGGACTCATCAGGAAGTTAACCTAGGAAACAAGTGAACAGGCCGATGAAGATGATCTACCAATTATTTTCTCTTGGTATGGAGTTCTAAACTTTCAATGAAAGAACCTCAGGAAAACAGAAAACAGAAAATAAGCACAACCTTTGTGGTCTCGTTTTATATTTCATCAGAAAATAAAGTTCATTTATATGCATGAATCCATCTGCAAGATTTTTGACCAATCTGAGACGAGATTTCATCGTACACTGCTCGTTCAGCTTGCCGTCTTGTTATGCCTTACACTTTTTGCATGATGCTCGGCTGATTGATCGGTTGGTTTTCAGCGACCGTGATTGGTGCATTTCAATCGCCGCTTTTTACCCGAGTTGTTTCTTCAGCGACTCCCTTCGAACTGACCTTCTTTAAGTTTGGTTATTGATCGTGGCCATTTATAATTTTAGAACTTCTCTTCTATTTTCAATTCCTTGTTGATGTTTTAAGGTTAAATTGTGAGGCTCTGCTTCTGAACTTTTACTCAGTTTTTCGATCTTGGTATTTTCGACAAAAGGAAACTACAGTAGAGCAGAGGGAATATTTTCTTTCTTCCTCGAAAATAAAAGAAAGTTTTATTTGGAGACGAGCTGACGCGCTCATAAAGGGACTGCACAATAGAGTGCCTTACCGATTGCGGGTGGTAGCAATAATGTTGCTAAGAACTAATTTGTGTGCGATGGCTTCCAGCATACATCAGCCACTTCATACAGCAAGATAATTTCTTTTTTCTGTGACCAGAGAGAGGATAAATTTTTTTTCCTGACACACTTTGGAATTGACCGATGAAGAAGAATACCCTCGATCGAGCTTCTTAAACTGAACGAAAAAGACAAAAAAAGTTGTATTTAGTTTAAAAAATTCTGCGATTGAACTCTCCATCATGTTGCCCGAGCCAACGCGGTTGCTTTGGCTTAACGGAGCCTTGCTCGGTGAAGTTCAGACATAAAGCTATAACAAGCCGTTTGTGTATTGCATAATAGAGTCCTTAGGGCGCAGGCGAGGTTGTAAGATGATTAGTATATCAATATTAAGATAAGACTATTATAATCAACAAGAGAAAGCATGATATTTGGTTAATAGCATCTGTCTAAGGCGCAGACAGTGAGAATCTGTGGTGGAAAATCAAGAACTTTTGAATAGGCATTTGTCAAGTTACTGTGAGCAGTTTCAGTGTTTTTTGTTTAAGCAGGGTAGGAAGTGGCTTTATTTTTGTTGGAGGGATCGGAAGACTTTTCTTGAGAAGATTTCAGGGAATTTTCAGCTAAAAATAGCGATCTGTGGTTAATTCTTCAATCCGTGCAGGCGAATGTCATTGACAAAAGCCACCGCAGTAAAAACGGTAGACGACTGAAAGAAAACTAGAACTCCCGTTAAAACAATTCGAAGTAGAATGGGATGTAAAGCATTGATTGAAATGAATCAGTAGATTGATAATTTGGACGGGTTTTAGTTCGTCTCTTTTCCTATTTCACCACGCATGTACCCTCGTCTGTCCTGTGTTTTATATCAACAAATTTTAGGTTTAAAAAAAGCAGTGATCCTCACAGATGGACTGCAATTGCGGAGAAGAAGCCCTAAAAAGATTTTCAGACCCGGGTCTCCCATATTCTCGAAGGGCGCTATTACCAACTAAGCTACGAAGCCACAAGTTGGGCGGGAGGCGAATTTTAGAGGGTTCATTTTTCCCAAAATGGAATCCGATCACAATTTTTTGATGAAAGAAATGTATTTACTTCCTCTAAAATTGAGAAATTTCAGGTTTGAAACTCTCAAAAGAAAGTTATCCAAGATGTCCACGTCGTCTGGACTAGCCGATGCGAGCAAAGGCTGTACAGCGGATGAACCGATCAACGCAAAGCCCATGATACCAAAAGCTAGCGAGAAACATACAGAAGAAAAGGTTCAGACCAAAACCGAAGATGATACATGTAACCAGTATGAGGATCTCACAAGTGATAAAAAGAGCATGCGCAATCCAGAAACAAACCGTCGTTTCAAATGGATATCAGTTATTGCGTGCGTCATTTCTACCGCTGCCCTTCTTCTGAGTGTGCTGATAATGTTCGGGAAAATTGGCCACGGATGTGGATGCTCCGAAAAGGAAGGTCAGTTTTATTCATCCTTTGAAACTATAAATAGTTTATTGTTATCGTCCGGGTTTGAGTGTTGCTGTCAGTTGTTGTCAATCGCTGTCGGTAGCTGTCGGATGCTGTCAGATTGCTGTCAAGTTGCTGTCGGTTGCTGTCGGTTACTTTCGGTTACTGTCGGTAGTAAAAATTGATGTTTCGACAAACTGAGCGGAAATCATCATCAGAGCACGAAGTTAGAAATTGCCTATTAGTCAAGTATTACAAGTCTGGTCCGAGAAAACTGCTTAGTCATTTTTCAGTGTTGTGAACTCGTCAAATATGAGACTCGAGTCGCGAAAGTGGGTCGTGAATAGCAAGTTTCGATTAGTCGGTAAAGTTAGGCCAATCTGCAGAGTAGATGTCGTTAATAAGACATTAGTGTGGTGGCGGTAATTGTTGCCACCTGCTGAGAGAAGTCTTTTCTAACCTAGTAAACCAGCTTTAATAAGTCAGTCGATTAAAAAACTGCTCTAAGTCTCAAACAATAGTGTGAATCGTTGTTCGTTTGAATTCAGTCAGTCTAACTGTGAGGTACCAGTCGGTCTCTCTGCTGTAGGAGGCTTGACAGTCGGAGCAATTGATCTTGTTAACCGCCCTATGAATAATTTAAAGTCATATTTAATTTTCTTCCTTGTCTTTTGAGCTAATTTGTGAATATCCTACCATACTTCGCGTTCTGAAGTTAAAGCCAACACTCAAAGGTGGCAAGATCCGCCAGATGTTTTTTACCCAAACCCTCAAATGGTCCATAATTTTCTCGAAAGTGTTTAACTCTTTACACTCTAACATCTGTATGCACATTCTCCATACTGTTCTCTATACATTTCCTAAGGTGCCGAAAAGGAGAATTTGCGTAACAACCAAGGGCCTCTTTAGTCGGTAATCATTTCCTTTTATTCTCGCGACATTAATATGTGTGATTTGGGGGTGATATTGCAAGAAGAAATTAGATGCTTAGATGCTAGTCACCATTGGAGATCAAAGGGGTAATCAAATGTTTTACACTTAGATGGTCAAGTTCCACGTTCAAGTTGCAAGGAATTTTACGACAACGACGAGTGAGTGATTTCTTTACCTGTTGTAGTGATACACAACAGCTAAGTAGCTGAGTGGAGCCGTTTTAAAATGGTATCCTAACCTTTCCAAGATTCAACTTTTGATGTCACGAATAAACCTTCCTAATTCATAATATCAATTCCACATATTCATTACAGTGCCTGTTTTCATCTCTCAAGGGTAATTTATTCTCCTTACAGATCTAACGGTAACAAACCTTATCCTCTAAAGTTTGGGTCAGTTACTCTTCCGATCTACTGTCACATGACAGTTCTTGACGCATGCGGAGGTGGTGGTTGGACGCTGGTTATGAAGCTGGATGGTTCCAAGGTGAGAATTTAACGATGAATAAGATTTTGAAAATTTAGTACACTTCTGAGATCAGACCATCTTGAAGAACCTTATTTTCTTTGATTACTGTATTTTTCTGTGTTATAATAGACAAAATTCTCTTTAAAGCGCTTTTCGATTGAATGTTGTAAAATCAAAACCAGAGAAATCACAACGACCAATCATAGCAAGGAAGATATCTCCAGGAGCCAATGATAACTCGAAGCAAAACCAAGCAATCTGCCTGAAGTGCAGGAAAACGTGAGTGACCGATTGGTTCTTGTTTTGCATCTGACTGTTTGTGAGACTGGCGAGACCTTTTTAGATCAGTCACAGAGCAAAGTAATAAAGAAAAAATCGATCGACGCTCAATTGGAAATTTCTACATTTGTTAATGTTTCCTTTGTTTGTAATATCTCGACACTGTTTCTAAGGACACCTTCCATTATGATTCCGCGATTTGGAGCACCATGACTGAACACAACGCTTCGGCTGGGATTACTGCCTTTGACGAGGAAGAGACAAAGTTACCAACTTACTGGAAAACAAAATTCTCCAAAATCTGTCTAGGTATGAAAAATGGCCATCAAATCAACTTCGTCCTCATTACAATGAGGGCAGATTCTCTGTACTCTTTGATTGCTGATGGTCAGTACCGCCCAACCTCATTGGGTCGAGACAAATGGAAGTCACTGCTTGGTTCCAGCGCCTCATTGCAACGCACATGTAACAAGGAGGGGTTCAACACATTTTGCACCGGCTTTAGTTACGACAAAGAACCGCCTAAGGCTCGAATCGGTATTGTGAGTAACGACGATTATGATCCAAATTGCGACCATTGTCGTTCCAGGATCGGTTTTGGTACGGCAGGCCATCCTGATGACACCAGCTCGTGTGGAAACGTAGCAAGATGGAGAGCAGATAATGGTAACAAATTCATCAAAGCAATGGGATACATTCTTGTTCAATGATATAAGAATGACCCTGTAGAAGTGCTATGACTCCTTCCTATAAGATTTTTTTTCTGTAATAAAATAGAACAAACGTGGAAATCAATTGCAAAAGGCCACCGCCACTCGAGTGGAAAATAATTTCAGAGACAATGCAGAAGCGGAGAGTAGTGCAGATCAGTTTCTCTGTCCTAAATAAATGATTGGTGGTGTTCACACCAGCAGGTTTCACTTTATTTCAGTCATTATTTCCTTCCATTTTTTTTCTGTGCTTTTTATTTGAACTTGCGATAATTTTATTTCCCGATAACCATCTTTCCCGACGTGGTCGAATCTCTGTACTATATATTTGATCACTGATGGGCAATACCACCATCACCGCCCTCTGTAAGAAAGGAAGTCCACAGACGTAATGGTTTTAGAAGAATTGCCAGTAAAGTCAAAATCCGGGTTGGAGGAATGTTTATGTTTTTTTTCCAACCTTTCCTGAATGGCCTGCTTTTTAATATTCCCTAGGGCGGTTCACTTAGCTTTATCAACTAGATTTTTTTTAACCAGTTAATGCGGATATAAGGAAAACATCGGTTGGTAACCAGTGAACTATGGCGAACGTCAGCTGCCCAAGACTAAATAAAAAATTGTTTAAAAACTTGAATGAAACAAAATTGAACCATAATTAGCAAGAATATGGTGACCTTGGAACGCTGGTAGGGACGCCATTACTAGTGATGAGCGTGCGCGATGGCGACAGTCTAGACTAAGGACCTACAAGTGGTTTTGAGCGTGTCTTAAACAAAGCTTAATTTGCATGCAGAAAATGTTGAAGAATGTAAACAAATACAGCTTAATAAAGCGACGCATACAGCTAGATAGCCTCAACAACATAACACAACCTATTATAACACACCTGCTAAGTCGGACAAATTTTTAAACCACAGCAGACACCAAAAAGCCCAGAAAAGAAAAACATATGACTGTATGTTGTGTTTTGGGCTTACAATATCACACTGGTTCGAAAGCTCGCCTTTCGATCGAACTATCAGCCCCCTATCGAGTAACAATGATTTTAATGAGACTTGATGAACAACTGTAAACACACAATGACTCAGTCGAATGAGGATCGAAACTACGGAAATGCCATTGAATTGTTTAGGTCTCGAAAGCTATTTATTTGGCAAGCAATGCGGGCTCTTCGAGCACAAAAACAAGAATTGCTTAGACATATCTAATTAGCATACTTCTGAACACAGAGAATATAATTCCACGCCATACAGCAGACAAGTCGCAATAAGGTTGAGGTAAGTCGTACAACTTCGATAGACGCGTAACAGCAACTTAATGAGTGTTGAATGAGTGAGTGACGAAAACGTTGTCTGCAAGTATCGATAATCTTTGCAGACCAATATATCACGAGGAGGCCTGTTTCTTGACCGTTCTGACTGTGTTCATCGGGGTCGCCAACTGAGAGAAGGCCGTCGAGCGACGAGCGAGTCGCGCATCAAATGAATTCGATTTCAAGTGAGGAGGCTGCTTTGATTTAAGTTTTAAGGGCATAAAATTTTAATCGAGGCAAGCTGTAGCAGGTTATAAATTGAGTTCCTGCTTGCAAGCTGAAACAGACTAGATCCACTGAGTTTCGAAATTCAAACCTGCTTGATGTATCATTTGGAACCTGAACGCTCAGATCAAGCTATTTATCGATGTTTTGAGAATTTTATTGACCCGTTGTCTGTGAATAGCAAAGGTTCAGCCCCAAATCATCACAACAACTCGGTATTCCAAATCCGTAAATCCCTGTCGTGACATAGCAGAGGAAATGAACCGGCTGTTTTCCCTTCTCTATTAAGACAGCAGTGGCTTGAAACACGTATGCAGTGTATCCGCTCGAGAAATAGAAATAATGTCTCCTTCGTACAGCTTTCTTTAAAACGTAAAAAGATCGCAGCTACAATTCACAATTTGCTGTGAACCGTTAAAGATTTAAGGGCCTGCTTTACGGTCGCCAGGTTATTAAAATTCAATTTGTTTAGGAACGAAACGAAACTTTAGCAAAAGAAAACAGAAATTTGGGTTGCAGCGAAGGACTTAAATTTGGAAAACTGAACCGTGATTGAAGGTGCTATGAATGAGGTCTAATATATTATAGGAAATACAAAACAGACAAGATCTATTTCATTTCAATTTAAACTGTTTTGAAATTGTTCTGCAAATGGAATAAATTAAATCCTTGAGTGCTCACAAATTAATGCGTTGTGTACTTAGCGAGAATTATGCACTGGGATAGCTTTTAATATGTGAGGATAAAGAGCATCACCTTGACATATTTCTTAACTGGAGCCACGAATCCAAAAGCCTTCTTAATTATTGACCGAGCCCAGACGGTAGGTCGAAGCCATAACTGAGGTAGCCACGATGAAAAGTGAGGCTGACCATACCAGACACGTTTGACCACGTTTGGATCTGGTTTGGTTTGTAAACTAATAATAGTAATAATCTTGGTTGTATCATCTGTAAGGACGCTAACGCTCGCCTGAAAAAAAATGCATGATTCATTAAGTGTTTAAATTATATGTTTCTTCGGTTTTATGTATACATGGCAATCATTTTTTTTATTGATGTACAAGCACGATGACATCTCGTAATTAAAGAGATTTTAGAACGACATTAAAAAGTCGGCTCTTAAAACGGGCGCGGATTCGCAGCGATTCAAATGTACAAAAGAAGACAAAGTAGTTGTCCTAATCTGAGGCCCGTTTCTCGAAAAAGTTCTGCTAACTTGACGGGCCCGAAGCCGTATTTTGAAATAAAAATTTTTAGGAATGGAGAAGCAAGTTCTGGCATCCTAACCAGTCCATTGTGTTTCTATAGCTGATATTTTTAATGTATCATTTTCAAAACTTTGAAAACCCCATCTTGGATGGAAACATGCAATGGACAAAATGTCTACGGGCCCATTAAATTACCGGGACCGAGAAACGGGCCTCCGGCTCGAAAGAAGGGCCCGGAAAAAGGAGTGTTATTGTTTGAACGCCTTTGTTTGTTTTATTTTGCTGCAATTACTCGACACAAGTCCTTGTCAAAAATATCAGAAAGTCCAGCTTTAGAGGAAGACTTGTCCCAAAATAGGTGGAATGTTTGAAGAAATTGCTAGCGTGGATAACATGACAAGGACGCCATGAAGGACCAACCTTGTTTGCACGGAGCGGAGAGAAGAGAGAGACCCTCCCTCTCCCCCCGGGAGAGAGGTTGGGTAACTGAATTTCAGTGGTACAAGTTTTTTTTCCAAAAGGCTCTCTGTCATAGGCACCGTGCGTTTCAACGAAGTTTTTATTGACCAACGGAAGTGTCACGATGGAAAAGCTTGCTTAGTGGGCCTAGTCTGTGACTTACTGCATATAAAAATGGACGTTTTGTTTCCACCATTGCAGGCTCCATTTGAAATAGCCCGCAATCCGGCCTTCATTGTTAGTGCTGCAGGACGCACGTGTCTCCGTCCGCGGGAAGATTTGAGACGGGTTGGTGAGAAGTCTGCCGTGGGTCTGGCACTGCCAAACCCCTTACAGACCTATCGTCGGTTCGCGTTGCTCAAGACCTCAAACTATTCCGCGGGTGAAGAAACACTCGCGTCGAACAGTTAACAATGAAGGTGTGCTCGCATGCTACATTTGAGCCACACTGTTGTTGCTTCGCGTTCACGTACACCTGAGGTACTTTTATGTCAATTCGTCGAGGGTGTAAGCACATACAGATCTTGGCACACAGTTTTTTCTTTTTATTATTAATGACATATTTAAACAAACAGACGAATTTAAAGATTTATGTTGGTCTGCATAACGCACAAAAATCACAAACTGACAGCGCTATCACCTTCCACCAAATATGTTTACTTATGCAACTAACCTTGGTACTGTACGTATTTGTTTTTGCTTCACAATCTCCCTGACATGACTAAAATTAACTACATTATGCATTAAGCTGCCTTATCTAACATTTATAAGCGGTACATACTATAGCTTTCATTACTTACCTTTACTTCATCACCAACGCCATATCGATTGCAATAACAATATCGACTGTCTACCGGTATGACTCAGAAATACAGTCCAATATTCATTAAAAATACACTACGTGACTTTCTTAATCCTTTAACTCCCAAAATCTCATTAGTAATTCTCTTTACTGTCTGACATACAATTCTTATGGTGTCAATTTGGAGAATTTAGTATTGGGTCAACTAATAATCCCCTAATTGATATATTACTTTATTCTCATTACTTGATATTGTATTGATATTGAAAGGAGAAATTCTCTCTTGGTCATTCGTGGGAGGTAACGGGTTAGGAGGAGTTATATTGTGAGTGTAGTCTCAAAAATGGGGCGGTTGAAAATTTCAGATGAATATATCGTCGTGTCTAGATAACAACGAAAGAGAACCTAGTGAAGGAAGTTCTGAATTAATAGATTGAAAAAAAACTGTGTTCCTTCCCGAGCCTTACTTCGTAAGTTTATGAGTTACAGATACCAGTTACGAAACATTCTTACGCCTTGTCACTGCTCTTTAGCTTTAGGACAGCTGCCATTTGTGGGTGATTTATGAACGATGTCCCTGAGGCGAGCCCTGCCAAAAGAGAAATACCTTTCTCTGCAGAGAGAGCTCCTAAGGAAAGGCGAATTGTATGAAGACAGAGAATTCCCGCCAGTTTTTCGCAGTATTTTCACTAAAACACGTCCATCTGTAAATCTTCAATGGAAAAGACCAAAGGTATGTCTTTGAAGCGATTTGACCTCTTACAAACAAAAAAACCGTACATCTTTACGATGCAATAGACGACATGTCTATTTGTGAGAAGGATACAAAATTTATGGGATACCAAAACCAGTTTTAATTATTCAAGTTCATCGTAAAATGACTTTTATCTATCAAACAATTTTATTGCAATGATCCACAAGCACACAAAGTCTGCCGCTTCTCAGCTCTATAATTACTTTACTCTCACAGAAAAAAGAGAAAGAGTATCGTCATGAATGCAACACGCGCTCAGTTACATATAAATATCTATATCTTCATAGCTTCTAAATTTTAAATAAACTGAGAAAGCGAGTTTTATCATTTTGTCTGAATACAATTTTTCCCCCTTTCGTATTTTTCACTCTCTTTAGAACTTGTGTTCGGGCCTATGTTCGGTTTTTCTTTTTTCTTTCCGTCTCCCCATTTCTTGGAGCTGATAGATCACTCTATCTCCTGATCTCAGCATTCAATGTTTTTTTTTTTTATCATCATAGGACATCAGCAGGACAGAGCCCAAGTTCTTCACCAAAGGTATCAGCAGAACTGACGTTGCCCAAGGGAGAATGTTGAACTGTTGGTTTGTGGCAGCAGTGGCATCGTTGACAGACTCAGAGGAATTATTCTATGCCGTCTGCCCGCAGGATCAGGGCTTTGAGCCCGGCACGTATTGTGGAATGTTTAGATTCAACTTTTGGCGTTTTGGTGAATGGGTTGAAGTCATCATTGATGACTATCTGCCGACGCACAATAACAAGTTGTACTACGCTAGATCCAGTGATCCTGATGAGTTTTGGAGCGCATTGTTAGAAAAAGCTTATGCCAAGTAAGTAACAGATGAAAAGAGTGTATCGCCCTTACAAGATGCATTTTAAAGGAATGAGATACATTGTGCACTTTGTATTTTCAGAGTGTGTGGATCCTATGAAGCCATGGGATTAGGCCGAATAAGTGAAGCGCTGCAAGATTTTACAGGAGGCGTAATCGAGATGATAAACCTACAGGCACCACCACCAGACGTCTTCAAGGTTTTACAAAAAGCTCTTGAGCGCCATTCACTGATGGGTACTTCTATAGAGGTATGAACAAGACAACTTACTTCTTAATTAGGAACTTTTCAGAGAACAGAATAACGACGAAAGTTTTAGTAAGATTAACAATGACATTGCACCAATGTTTTTAAATTTCGTTATTTTCTTCTCCATCTTCTGCAAACAGGTTCCACAACCTTTGAAGAACCTGGATAGCTTTGAAAATTCGGCATTTATTTCTAACTCGAATTCTCAATTGAACGCTGCATTTATTAATCAGTATTGAAATAAAAGTTAACTTTCCTTTCTTATCCCAATGTTTGTCCAAATCTTCAGACAAACGCTCAGTCTGGTCAGAGAACGTTACCAAATGGACTCATAACCGGTCATGCGTACTCCATCACAGGTTTGACTAAGGTAAATAATCTTGCATAGTGATATCTCAAGACTTCATTGGTATGGCTTTAAGTGGATTCTCATTATGGTCGCTTTACATACGTTTTTCTTATATTACAGGTTAATCTTCTTAATTTGGGAATACCAGAAGCGAAACTAATCCGTCTCAGAAATCCACACGGAAATAGTTCAGAATGGAAGGGAGCCTGGAGCGACAGGTATTGGTCATTTTCTAAGTTACTGAAGAGATGAAAATTCCGCAAGCCTTCGAATTTACACGTTGTCTACGATCACGATCTAGTGGAAAAAAACACAAGAGTTACGTTACGGATTAAGTCGTGTAAAAACACTTGGCTGACAAGAGTTTGCCGTGTGAAAGATGCCCTAAACTCTCTGAGTCAAGTAGGGCTCCGTTGAGAACTCGAGATATTCAATTTTTTGATCGAATGGTGATAAAAGTAGGGAATATTTTTTCCCAAAATAAAGGAGCAGCAAACTGGCTTCGGCTGAAGAGTCTGTTCAATCTGAAGGCAATATATTATCACCCTAAGTTAGATCTGGGAAGCCTTGCCATTCAACATCGGGGGCGTGTGGACTTCCCAAAACCAAAGTAAGATCTACTGTCACAACGTTCAGTTTTCAGCTGTGTATATCATTGTTGTATTTCCCTTCGTATCTATCAGGTCTGATGAGTGGAATCTCTTGTCAAATGAAGAACGAAAGCGACTAGACCTTGTGTTCGACGACGACGGAGAATTTTGGTAAATCCGTCATTAAATGTCTTTTGTTATTTTTTTACTTGGTTGCTTATTTGCAAATTTGATTATTAAATTATTTACTTCTAGGATGACAATGGAGGATTTTGTGGCGAACTTCACACGTGTGGAGATCTGTATGCTGACCCCTGACAGCGTTTTGGAAGACGATAAAAAAAAATCATGGAAAATACAACGAGAAAAAGGTCGTTGGCAAACTGATGCGACCGCAGGTGGATGTAGGAATTTCATAGACACGTTCCACATAAATCCTCAAATAAGGTATGGAAATATGTAAAAAAGGCCAGGCTGTTAATTATGCTTCTTTAGAAATTTGGCATGAAATTAAAAAAACAGTATTTGGAATCTGCTTCAATCTTGGTCAATTTTTTCCATCCTTATTCCCTCTTGGTTTGTACTCGCCTCGTTAAAAATTTTATATATTATTGGTTGACTAAAACATCGGAACGTGGCTATCGTGTGTAGTTCTTGTAATGATAAGTCATGCGCCAGAATACAACCAGTAAGTGTTGTACTCTTTTGACAGGATTCATTTAGAGGACCCGGATGAGGATGATGACGATGACCTCTGTTCGATGGTAGCGTCGCTCATGCGCATTGATCGAAAGAGAACCCCAGCCAATGAGAGGCCTCCTATTGGGTTTGCTATTTACAAGGTGAGCATGAATTGAACGACCAACGCAACCCTTGTACCAACGGTGGTAATTTGATTTCTGTCTGATAGCGGGCATGATTTGCACAGAACTTTATAAGAAGCCGCTTAAAAAACAAATGAGGTTTGAAAATTTTCTTCGTGGCATCGGGAATCAAATGAAGAAAGAAAATTTACTTAATGATTACGGAGTAGAACTTGAGAATGACTCAATTCTGTCATACGCCAGGTACCGGAAGATATGGCCGGCAGAAAGGAGCGCTTTGGCAGACGGTTTTTTGAGACGACCAAGGCTCAAGTGATGACAAACTCCTTTACAAAACTGAGGGAGATAAGCTGTCGATATTCCCTACCCAAAGGAGAGTACGTGCTGGTTCCATCCACATTTTACCCTCGTCAAGAATCCGAATTTCTTTTAAGAATATTTTCCGAGAAACCTCACGATACAAGGTGGGTCAGTGGTGTCGGAGACATTTTGGAGTCAAATGAGAAAGATTATCAATACTTGTTTCACCTCTTTCTTTCTTTGGTCAAACAATTTTTTCGAAGCTCATATGAATTTCTTACGCATTTGGTGTGTCACTATCTCTCCTTTCAGGGAAATTGACGTGGAAACAAAAATAACGCTGCTACCCAAGGTTTGTCGACGCAACGTTTTTTTTAATCTGATTTTTTAAAAAGGGTAGGACGTGAGGGCGAAAGGTGTACCCTCTCAGAGTCACACGTCTAAATTTTGAAAAAGGTTGCGAGGTTGATTTCGACAACAAAATCAGACCAGCAGATCAGGTCTTACGGAGAGCCCTCGTTGATCTCAACTTATCGTTTAATTAAGATTGATTTAGAATAATTCCTTCCATCTCATTCTTCATCTAGCCAACAGTGTCAACAGAGGAGGCCGGAGACATTGATAAACAATTTTGGACCACGTTTCAAAAATTTTCAGGAGAGGTCAGTAGTGAACAAAAATGGTGGAGAAGAATGTCTCAGTAAATCCTAAGGGAATGAAATATAACTTAATATGTCAGGCAATTGTCCTCTGATTTAGCATAAATATTCGGGAGTGCAGTTTTCCTTGCTTTGATTAAGTTCGACAATATGATTTATTTAGAAATATGGTTTTTTCGTCTTGTGACGAGCGTGGGACAAAGAAAAATTCTGCGTCCCCATGAGGAATCGAACGATGGACCTTCGGATTTCGCATTAGGATGCTATGAAGACCATCTTTCTTGTTCTATTTACAATAGTAACGCTAGGATCAAGACCACAAAATTTGATTGGACTGTATATAATCGGGCAAAAGCTCTTGAGGTTTCCTCCCTCTTGTTCTTTAAGATATTGTACCAGATCTTTATAACCAATCATTTGTGCTTTCCGTTTACTATTCAGGATGGTGAAATTGATCAATATGAACTACAGGAGATCTTGACCAAAGCATTTGCTTCTTGTAAGTAAACAGCTTTTGACGCTGAAATATGCTTCTCTTCATAAAATAAGCGAGATACGCTTGCGCTTTGATTAGTTGAAAACCTACCGTTCATTGTACTGGTAAACCTACTGCTATGGTATGGATTTCTCTCGTATTCTACCAAAATCCAGTGCTGGTAAACATCATCTGATATACTGCTTAACCTGTGAATAAAAATCGGACGCGCGAATTTTCCATGAAATAATTCGGTTATTTCTTTACCTAACATATTTATTTTAATGTGAAATTTCAGTGATGAACTCAAACACGTTTAGCTTGGAAGCTTGCAGGTAAATTTCCCTTGAAACTGATGATCAAGTTTAAATTGTGTTTCGAATTGAGCCCTTGCAAATTACAGTCCTCATTATGACTTAAGTGTCTTTTTTTCCTCTACAGGAGCATGATTGCAATGTTTGATGTATCCTTCAAGTACTGGAAAATAAATAGATATACATTTAAATTTGATGACATACCTAAACTGTCAGAATACACATTCTGACATTTTGATGCGTTCCTCTAAATATCCAAACAACTAGACATCCTCGAATTCCATTCCAAACTTCTGCAAGTATTCCCCTTTCACGCAAACGCAAAATCCAGAAATCTTGAAAACATTAAACTAATTGAAGAATATGTCACTTTAAATCATCGTTCATTTTGCTATCCCTCTTCTTGACACTGTTGTGAATAAATCTGAATCATGCCCTTCTAACGCTCATATCAGCAGACGTTTTCTTTCGTTTACCCTTAACATATGTTTTAGGGAGACAAAACAGGAGCGTTAGGATATAATGAGTTTAGAGGATTGTGGACAATTCTTGGACAGTGGAAGGTCGGTGAAAGAGTATTTTCCAGCTGCCCAGAACGTTCTTGTCAAATAAAAACCAGCGAGCAGGCTGGGCTGCGGCAACATTCCTTTTTCGTCAAAATCTTATTCATTCTTTTTAACCTTCTTACTAACAATGTAGAACTAAAAAATCCCAGCGTAAAAAAACTACCTTCAATAAACTTCAAGCTCCCTCGATTTTTTTGAGGAAAGATTGGCTTGAGTGAAACGGTGGGATAGAAATGTTGTTGCGTGGGTAGGTGAAGAAATTCTCAAGAAACGACCGCAGGACTGGCCATCGTATTTCTTCTCTAGATAATTCGATGATGTTACGCAATAGGAAAGTGCATCCGAAAGGGGAAGAATATTATCAAAGATTAACCAATGCATTGAATCACGGTGTCCAGTTTTTTATTTGCCTCATGGTGCAATCTTCAAATTAACTTTATCTGTCTGTGCTCGACACTAATACCAAGAGTGCTGTTTCATTTCAGGCCGTTTTCTTCCGTTTTGACAAAGACCAAAGTGGTGATATGAACCTGTTCGAGCTCCGCGACGCTCTCAAATCATTAGGTAGCTACGTACCTGTCGCTTCATTTTCTCAAATTGTACCACTTTTGAACATTTTCCTTCTACTGCAATTTATTTCTGCCTCGTTATTTCTTGCCTTGCAGGATATCAACTCAGTAATTCTGCGCTGAGCGCAATCATCCTGAGGTATCACAACAAGAAAGGCACGATTCCATTCGATATCTTCATACAGATTTTAGTCCGTGTCATAGTCATGTTCGGTTAGTATCCTTGAAGAGAATCACTTTGGTTTATGCCCGAAACGACGGTAAAAATTGTCAGTTTTTCAACAGAACGAGCTGATATTTGATTACTCAGGTTTTTAAGGTGTAGGGGAAAAGCAAGCATTCTCTCAGATTTCCACGATGACATTATCTGGCCTCTGGGTTGGGGTGGGGGGTACGGAGCATGGTTTAAAACAGTGTTTGAAATAAGCCTGGACTTATAATCAAAGTAGAACACAATCTGTTATACCGGAGCTCGTAGTGCTCGCCAAACGCGTATGCATGCAGCGGAGGCCCATTCATTCCCCAGCTGAAAAATCTGATTTCAAGGAACATTATTTCATTTTTCTTTTGAAGTAACATTTACTCTCTTATTTTCTCAAGATACTTTTAGAAGACACGCAATGAGCCGAGGTCGACGATCAGAGAAAGCCGTGTTCACCATCGACGACGTAAGTTGCTAAAAATCGTAAAATCATAGACGCCATGAAGACCGCACCTGAACCAAGATCTGGAGTAAAACCAGAACCCATGACCATAACCTCTTCAGTTCAAATTCAACATTTTATTTGTGGACCTGTCGCTATTTTGTGAGTGCCGTAATTTCTGTTTGAGGGAAGGGAGAGTGACATCCGTCCATTTCAACCCTCTGTATGTGTGAGGAGATAGTGTGTAGCTCAGTATAGCCTTGACTTGGTCTTTATCAAAACTTGAGGTGATTTAATGCCTTCACTCAGACTCCTGGATTTATGTTGAGATTTTTTAAAGTTGAACGAATGAGTTGAATCTCTTGACACGATTATTTGCAGTTCATCGAATCGACGTTGACCGTTTGATCAAAAGTGATGGAAAGGGTGAATCAGTGGTAGTGCGGAGAAAAACTGTGACTGATGAGTGGCAAAGGCAACCTGGCGCGAGTTAAAAGACGAAGCATAATTTTGATCTCATGCCGGCAACAGGAAGAAGCGGATGCTGACCAAAACATTGGTCTCTAAACCGATATTATGTTGCTTATGTAAGCTGAAACGTTTGTATAAGTGCAAATATTGCTTATTTTTCTAGACATTTTTAGCGAATCAGAAATTTGCTTAAAAGCGAAATGGAAATTTTTGATGTTCCAAAAAGAGGAAGAAGTCTTCGTTAGTATTATTCCAAAATAACCCTACTCTATTTCTTTAAATTTGAACCTTGTTATGAAATGTTTCAGTCCAGTTTATATATACCTGGATTAGGAAAAAATTACTAGTATTCAATGTAAGCTTTTTATTCTATATACGATATTGTGTCGATGTGTTAAGAAATAATATTTGATTAATAAATTGTTTGAGAGCAAAAACGGTTTTTTCAGTGACTGTATGAGTATAGATTGCTGACAAATCAAAGTGTATACACACCAAATTTTACCATGATTGATCGAAAACTCTCGTTTACCACCACTTAAGATCTTTCCTAGGCAATTTTTTCGCTCTCCCCAGAATTCTGCGAGGGAAGAGTAGCGCCCCACCATGTTGTAAATTCCGTCAAATTCCTACAATGTCCCATATTTCCGTAGACAGGCGACAAAAATGCATGAATCCTCCTAATCCTCGAGAAATAAAGAGCTGTTGATAACGTACTAAATCCCTACCAAATCCTCACATATCCCGTGCAGGGGGTTGGGGCTTACCCTGACTGGTGCATTGGGATCGTAAGTCAGCGAAAAAAGCAATTGTGATCAATAGTAACAATTATTATTCTTTTTTTGAAATCTATAGTTTAATCTAAACACAAGACTGATGTTGAATTACATAGTTACTCACTCGCGTTTAGTAGAACAGTTCGATCTGAAACCAAGGCACTGCCTTCATAACATTACCTGGCAAACTGAACATAATTTCATTATAAGCTTTGGCCGATCCACGGCATTATCAGGAGGGATGATGCCCATGGATCGGCCAAAGCTTGGATTTTTAAAAGGTTTTAACATCAATTATGTAGCAGCTTTAGGCCTTATTTAAACTTTCGTCAGTTTTATTATCTAAAATGCTACCGAAGGACAACATTCAACGGTTAATGATAATGTTATCTTTGTTGTGATGGGCCACTGAGGTTACTTTGGGTTTGGTTATTTGACATTCAATTGAAACCTGCTTTGACAGAGATGTAAGAAATTCATGTAGTGAGAAGCACTGCCAGGTTATATCCACGACATACTGTTATTATTCAGACAATTTTCACCTTCCAAACCTTTCTGCTTGAAAAACGCGACACAATCCTTCACCTAAAAATTCGGTTAATAACCCTTTAACTCCCAGATCAAATTTGTAATTCTCCTTACCATCAACCATACAATTCTTACAATGTTCGTTCAGAGAATTTAGTTTTAGATCAACTAATTATCCCCAAATCGATTTTTTCTTTAATCTCATCACTTATCTAGTTGCTATTGTACAGATATTTTAAGGAGAAATTATGTCTTGGTCACCCATGGGAGTTAAAGGGTTAAGAAAATCTTACTTTCAATAAAGGAACTACTGTATAGTGTAGATTCAAGGATGATGGCTTTGTTCAACTAATATTCTTCATAGATGCCACTAGGATCACTCAAGATGACATTCAAACAATTTACAAAAGAAAACACCAGGCAAGATGAAGAGTATGCTTTGTCCTTCTTTTGGATGTTAATTACAATAAATAATAATAATAATAATAATAATAATAATAATGATAAAAAAGACAATAATATAATAATAACAATGATAGCAATAAAATGGCATTGGATTTTTATGTAAGTACATGTAATTAAGTTGTTGATAACTAGCACTTGGAGTAATAAAAAAAATGCAACACAAATACTCTTATCCCACAACTATAAACATTTTCAGCTTACTTTATTAGTGTTTTTAAACATTAAACACTTTATTTGTCCCCAAAAGTTTTTCTAAAGCTTTATTTTTATCTGCTTTCAGGACCTACAATCCCCAAGGATAAACAAAAAGATTGCTTAGGACAAAATATTTTGGGACGAACAAGGTTTATTTGTGAACAGTGTGAAAATAGAGAGAGAATAAACGAAGTCAATTAGTGGTCTTCTCTTCCACATTCAATTGATGTCTTTCAGCCAAAGCATACAAAGGAAAACAGAAATAAAAATTACACTTTTTCAACAAAAAAATCCTGGTTTCTTAGAGGAACCATTAAGGCAACTGAATTTGTCACAGATGTGCTTGCAAATGCCAGCAACTAAAATGAATGATTTAGCCATAAGCATTAACAACCATTTCCAATGATATAATCTGACAAATGGCACAGAAGGACAGTCTCAATTACTACTATAATGTTAGGAATGGATCATATGTTAATTGATTTAATTTAGTTAATTAATTTTGTTTCCTACCTATGATCTATCAGAGGACATACATAAAGATGATGCCACAACATTTAGTTTAGTTTTTTTTTTTATCACACAAACAAATATGATTTGGGGTTGCTGTAAATCTGTACAGAAATATATCAAATTTGGAGTCAAAATGTGCTAAGTGCATCAGTGACACACTTGGCTGTATCTTGTGTGTCAGTTTTTTTAAACTGCATTTCGACGTCAGCTGTGATCTATTACTGAACAGAAACCTAGCAAAAGTGAACGCATTTGTAAATGTGACATAAGGGCACGAAAAGGATTTTTTGACAGGGGATCTTAACCAAGTATACTTTTATTAAATTGAGAGGAAAATTTGGGTCCAGTATTCACCTAGAAAATTCACTTGCTAATGAAACAAGAGTCATCAATTTCATAAAACCTTTTTTATGAATTGTACAAGGCAATGATAATATCTACGCTGAACTAAAATTAACTGTATTAATCAATTAAAAACCGCTTTGAGATACAGATATATGTGTATTTCAAGGTAGCTCTTGACAAGAAGTTCACTTTTCACCCAGTAAGTTTGTCAAAATAAACTAAAATTCTTGGTATTTCTGAATGATATGGAAGCTTAGTGCCTTGTCTTGTTTGAATTTCAGTTTGACATAGTTCTGTTGTATTTGTCAGTGTCTGAATGAGTCTATTGATCAAAAAACTACAAATCTAGACAAGCAGACAAGAGCATGCTGTTTATGTTTAAGGACTACAGTACAAGCAAAATGGGAAGCTGAAAGGAATGACATTTTAATAATTTTGGGCAGTCAGTTTGATGAAGATTAGGAGGAGCAAAAAATTAAGAGAGTTTGTAAAACATAACCACGTGTTTGTGCATGCATGCTGGGTTATGGGACAATCATATTTACTCGTTTTTTTTTCCAATAAAATGCTACATATGAATGCTCAGAGTCAGAGTTAATAAAATTCAACAAAACCCAAGTCTTCCCTAATTCTAACCATAATAACTGCTTCCATTTTACAGACATTCTTGTGAGTGGCAAGTTGCTTACGGTATAATATATATACTATAGTCGTATATTTTCTTATTTCTTTACGTTTCGCATCTGCTTCTAGCTGGCATCTTTTGTTCTAGCAAGGACAGCACCTCATTGATTCCTTCATGTAGCCACGTGAATCAACCAACTGCTGCAACAATGCTTTCTCAACATGCAGCAGCAGCAGCAGCCACAAGAGATAGAGGTCAAGAATATCATTGTTTGTTTGTTTTTACAAAATGTCTCCGCGTGGAAATAAGAATAATAAATAGTTCAAAGACTTGGTTCATTAAGATCTCGTTAGACATCGACTACCATCTTCTTGTGAACATCCATATTACCAACAACCTGTCAATCAAAGTGAGTAATCAAATTAACTCTTTCATTTGAAAAATCCGGTGAATAATTATCAACTGCAGTCTTCCTTTTAGCTGCAATTGTTATTTGTTTCCTTGTAAATTATTACAAAAAGTTGGAGTTACATCAAAATAAGGCCATTCAGCCAACAAGGATGACTATTGTTAACCTTTTACACCCTAACATCGGTATGCAGACGCTCCATACTATGCTCTATATATTTCCCAAGGTGCTGACGAGGAGAATTTGTTTAACAATCAAGAGTTCCTTTAGTTGGTGATCATTTCCTTTATTCTCCTTACCTAAATGTGTGATTTGGGGATAATATTGTAAGGAGAAATTAGGTGCTAATCACACTTACAGGTTAAAGGGTTAACACTCATTGAATGCAAGAAGAATTGAAATTATAAATGCTGAATAGTTCCAAGACTTCAAAAGTACACGCAGTCTCCCAATGCAGTTCAACCAGGGCAAATACTCAAGTTTCCTTGCATTTGTGGGCTCCTCAAGCTCAGACCCAATCCTTAATTTCTGAATCTTCAATTTCATGCAATTTACATAGTTTTTTCATGTCATGTCAATAACTATGGCTCAAAAAATGCGACAATTTTAGACAAAAATGGATATTATAGCAACATTAGCCACTTAGAAACAACCTTAATTTTAGCCTTATGTGCATGTCACTAAAAAACTAGTTAGACAGCCCCATTTTTTACTAATGAATTGAAATCAGCACATCAAGATTCATCAAACTACAGAGTTAAAAAATGATCCTTAAATATGGTTTCAAGCCACCTAACTATTTGATAATTCAATGACAGCAACAATGATCTACACACATACAGTAACTAATCTGTTCACTTACGGCGCAAAATTCACTAAAAGAGATTTTCCCATCACCATCCTTGTCAGCATTTATAACAGTCTTATCCACAATTTGTTGTAGCTGAGTCTCTTTGAGGTTGTTTCCTACCATCATCTTAAGAACTTGGAAGAGTTCTCCATTTGATATGAAACCATCATTATCCATATCATATATCCTAAAGGCAACTATGCAAAAAAAAAAAAGGAATAAAACAGGTTAGCTTAACCTTGGCAAGAGGCAAAGTAAAGGTACATGTACCTCTAGAGCTTAATCTACACATGGATTTACTTCCTACTCCTCTGACATCTTTTACTTATCTACAACTTGAATTCACTGTAAGCACTTTTGATGATAATGGTCTGCTTGCCATTCAAACACTTGCAAGGGACTCACATACCCAACAGTGGACTGACAGACTGAAAATCGTGGATTTCTTGCACAGGACAGCAGTTGTTTAAAAAAGAGCCAGTCTTATGCAATTGTATGGTTCTCAAGAAAGGAAAGAAGTCTTTTAAGACCTAGGTAAATCATTAACCCTTTAAACCCTATGAATGACCAGCATCCAATTTCTCCTTTCAGAAATATTGCAGAATCATTTATTACGTTCCTGAGAATAAAGGAAATGATTGCCAACCTAGGATACTTTGATTGCTAAACAAATTCTCCTTGCCAGTACAAAAGGAAATTTATAGAGAAATGTATAGAGAATTTGGATACTGATGTTAGGGTGTAAAGGGTTAACCTTCTTGATGCACTGTACCCATCTGAACTTACATTTTAACTTGGATTCTTTGTCTCCCTTTACACTGAACTGTGAAACTCCTTCTATGAATTCTAAAGAAAATAACAAAACAACAAGCAAGAAACAAAATAGATCAACAAACATGATTAACATAAACATGTACAGTGCGTGTAAATAACAAAGAGTTGTTCGCTAATGGTGAGACTAAGACTGACATGAACAATCTTGATTAATTTCAGGACAAGAGAACAAACTTAACACCAAACTGATCACTGTTCAAGTTCTTGAGTCAGTGTTCCTATCCCTAATTAGCTTTTTCATCTTAACTTATTTCTGCAGTTAACAACTGCATCTTAAATTCCATATCGATTGCATGCAGCAAACAATATTTCCAATTTGGAACCCTAAAACCTGCAACTTTAGCAAAAATACTTTTAGAATGCATACATGTATTAAACACCAACAGTTTCAAGCTGACTGTTAATTGACAAAGCAGCTGCAAAAACATCCCTGATTGGTGAATAAGCTGCAATCTGATCGACTGATGTGTTTAAATCTAGCTGAATTTAAATAAATTGCTCTAGTTCTGTTTCATTATATATTTTTTAATAGGATAATGCAGGATAAGCTTTAGTGCTGAAGTGAATTTTTTTTGTAGTAGTTGGTGTAATGAAGACTCCTCCACACCTCCCTGCTTGTTCGGAGGGTTTGAAGGTCCTTCCCGAGCAACAAGGACATGAGACTACACAATGGAATTGTCTTGTGGCTAACCATACCAAATTGTTAATGACATGAAGCAACATTAGGAATTTTAACTGTGCAATTAGTTACACAAATGAAGTGTTTCATTTTTAGAGAAAACTACCAAAAAAAAAAAGATAATGCATATCTGCCACTTACTTCCTATAGAATGACAAACTACTGGTTACCTGTACATGCATGTTTGCAATGGAAACTAAAAATCTTAATTTTATTTCACATTGTTTCTGAGTATAATCACTGATACCTATCTGCTCTTAATTTACAGCAACTCTTAAATGTCTTTATCATCCATAACTATTATGTAAAATAGTACAAAGACCGAGGAGTGACCACAAGTTAGATGCTACATGTAGCCCTTGAGTCTCTAAAAAATTTTGGTACCCTTCATGTGGTCTACAAGTACAAAAAAAATTGCCTTGTGTGCCTTAAATACTGTCCACCCAATTTTCTGACCAGAAACAGATCTTTCACCCAAATTTCACAACTCACACTTCTAACGTCCAGCAGTGATACCTGATATTTATTATCTGTAACTTCAGTGATATTGAAGAAATACATAAATCAAAATGTTTCGACACATGAAAGCATCTGATCTAAACACAGTGGTAGGGAAAGTGATCTCAGTGGGAAAAAATGCAGTAAACAAGGAAAAATTAATCAATACAATTACAAAAAATACATCCTGTGGTATGATACCACTGACATCTACATTGTACTAGGAAACATTCATTCACTGCTGTTTTTTGGTGAATTTTAAATAGCATTATTTATAAGCCAAATATTACATTTCCTCAGAACCATATGCCACTGGCTTAGACTAGGCCTTTGTGACCATAACTTACAAATAAATAATTAGAAAAAACTATTCCACAGGCAGTAATTGTCAGAGCTGTTGATGATTAAATTTTCTTTTCAATTATGTCCCAACACCTGTCTGAAAAGCTACAATCAAAATTAGTACACCCCTCACCCCTATAGATATTAATTTTGTAGACAAAACAACTCCTGCCAAGTAATTTCCTTCCAAAAAATAAATTGTTCTTCAGCTTTCCAAATGGTATTCCAAGATATCTGTTCAGTTTTACAATTATCAAAATGGAAAGTAACTCACACAGATATCTCAGTCACAATCAAAACAGAGATGACAATCACCAAAAACCAAATGAAAGACGTCAACAAAATCGAGTGGTGCATGACATCAGAAACTCGGCATAAAAAAAAACAAACCAAAATTGGTTTTGAGAGAGAGCTCACAAGCATAGAGTGATTTCTATATGTCTCTAGTTTAGCCAAAACAATGAATAATACATAACAGAAGGTAAAATTTGGTTCATTCAATGTGTTTACTTTCAATTGGACCCCCACAAGGTGTTAAGGATAATAGTTATAAGTTAGTGTGACTGGGGGAAATAGCTAACACCCTTATTGCATAAATAGATCTTTATCTGTACTGGTCCATAACTTTGACAAAACAATTTTGGTCCATAATGTTTTAAAATATGCTCTACATGCAGAGTAAATCAGATATGGGATAGAAGATGGCCAAATGTGATAAACAGTACTAACAAAGCTGGCTTGTCATTAGACTGACAATTACCAACAGTCATATAACTGTCTTGATATAAAAAGCCAGGTGTAATGTAAATGTCTCATTTTTAAGAAAATAAAAATTAAACCTAGAGGAATAGTTTTGACACATTAAAATACATTCCAAATCGCATATTCATAGTATACTGCAACACTACTAACCATGACTGGCATGACTGTACAATATATTTTTAGTGATTTCTGCGGGGAACTGAATTGTTATGACGTAAAAATGAATCGTTCTTCTCTGTAAAGCTTTTGATGAGTGACAATCAAAAACAACACTACAGGCTGCAATCAAATTCCTGATGAAAGTTGTCACTTTGGTTTTCCTGTGTAAAGCAGTCCTGTGTAAAGCAGTCCTGTGTAAAGCAGTCCTGTGTAAAGCAGTCCTGTGTAAAGCAGTCCTGTGGCTATCTGATATGTTTTCAATACTTGGCATTTATGGTTTAAAGTTACAGTAAGTTTAACATTTGCAAAGAGTAATGTGTAAAATGCTCAATCTTTTTTTTTTTAAGTGTACTCCCAATTTCTGAAATATCAGGACAATGAGATACAGTGTTTATTCAGTGCTGTCAAAAAGAATTAATGGCCAGCCAAAACCAACGACAAGTCTACCCTCTTTAGCCAGCTATTCACACCTAAATTTACCACAACTTCTGATGAAAAATTGCACAGTCATCGAAATATCATTGGAGGTATTTGTATTGTAGCCATTTCTCAGTCTTAAATGGAATGGAATGCAAACTTTAACAGTAATAGGTTCAGCTGTGTGAGTTAATTCCACGTTAAGAATTTGCCCCAAAGTTCCAGTGAACTTCACAGAATCAATGCATGCAACATTTTAAGTAAATAATTCAAGCTCATAATCTAAAGAAACAACGTAGCATCCATGATAACTGGGCTGCCTAGTATTCCTCATTTATCTTTTCCTCTCCAACTTATTTAGAACATGCTTATCCGTCCCAGGTATAAACCCTCTTCCCTCCTCCTGCATTGTCTCAGGATAGAGCACCTGGCCTAAAGACACAATACAATCACCCAAACACTGTCCAAACATGGACATCTCCATCTTGAGTTTTGCATGCAAACTTACACCATTACACCATTTTATCATAATGAGGTAACGGAATGCACAAGATGTGCTACAGTATTACATATTAGAACTGAAAAGCAGAGCAAAAAACAAAAGTCAAAACAAAAATTATTCTCAGGGGGATTCTTTTTTTTTTTTTGGATGTTTTCATCTGTAGCATGCACCTTATTCCTTAGATACAATTTTCAGATAAAGCCAGTGGATGTATTTTGAAAACTAAAACCGGCCAAATTACTAAAATATAAATAATAGAGGCATAATAAATCCCTTATTCGATAGCTCGACTTATAATATGGGCTGATATTTTGTTCATTGATCTCATGTTTATGTCAAGTCACTGAATATGGTGTATGTATTTATGTTCCAGATTTCATTTGAAATGATTTTGAGGGTGTATCAACACAAATAATTCCTGGGAGGTATGACAAAACACTGACTTGATATCTGACAAATTACAACCTGATTTGCACAGCATATAATCTGATACTGGTGAAAAATTAGTCACTGAGTCAAGACTGGTTCAGTAACATTGCATCAAAGTTGGGAAACTTAATTCACCAACACCAACCATTTTTCTTTAGAATTTAGGTGGCTGTTGATTTTATTATATTGTGATGAAACTCAGCTCATTGAAGGACTCTATCAAATTTTCTTTTTCACCCTTAAAGAATTTCAATGTTACATTCCTGTTTTTACTTAAAAATCATTGATTCAAAGTAAGATGTTAGTCTTCCATTTTTTTCTTTAGGAGGAATGGAACCAACAAGGATCCACTTGAGGATTGCAGTTTTTTGCTAGTTAGCCCTACCATGAGTTCAAATCAATTCAACATTACTTTCTTCCAGCTAACCAAGAAACTTCATGGTGTGAAGGTCTGTGGCAAAAGTAGCACTCAAGACAAAGAAAGTATAAAATTTCCTCAAAGCTTTCTTTGAGGAAAGCACTCTCATTGTATTATCCTCAGCAATGATAATCATTTCTATTCAGCTTACAGCTCAGTATCTTCGAAAATCAACACAGTTTACAAGAATAATTTAACTTTTTCAAACTTAACTAGAAATCATATCGAGCAGAATTTCCCAAGACATATTCCCTATTAAAATAAGTCTTAATTTCCTCCAAAACATTCATTTTTCCGCAAGAGAAAAACACAGCATCCTCATTAATTTTTAACATGTTTATACTCAATGAATAGTTTAGCTTTTGGCTACATATGCAAATTAACTAGGCCACCCAGAGGTTGCCTTCTAAATTACAACTCAACATTTGCCTGAAAGATCGAGTATTTTTGTTGGACTTTCATCCAGCTCAAGAATCATAATGTCAACCTTATTTACTGTTGTGACAAATTTGTTTGAAAGTTAAGTATCAAAATTTGACTGGGTTTTCCAAACCATAATTCTTACTTAATATGTAAATTGACGAGCCTAAAATTGGGTTCACTTTTAGCAAATTGGCTTGTCGTATCAAAAAGTATGAATGTCACACAAAAATATAAACTGACCTTGAACCAGTGCCTAAATTGCGAGAATTTTCCGGCGATGTGTTCCATAAATTGTTAAAAATATAGGTTGATTTTTAACAGAAAAATCGTACGATTACATTTTATGCGTATTTATTTGAAAAATACTGAGTTGCTAAGCACATCCACGTCGCTGACAATAACTTTACAAATGGAGTCACTCCAGACCTGTTTGCATTGAAAATTAAATGGTTAAATGGTTCCGAGATACCCTGTGAGCATAGAACGGGAAATTGGCTGAGCCTACACTCAATATTGATCGCAATATATTGTGCTCCCCTCGGCCGCGCACCGAGTTAGTTTTGGCTGACTTTCGCGTTCAACTGATAACAGAAAATACAGCTGCTGCCCCTAAAAAGTACTCCATTCACACTTAATAAAAAAGGACGGCTCAAATGCAAGTCAGATCAATCGTAAACCCGGTTTAAACCATTTTAATTGGATACCAATTTCACTACAATTAGATCCGTCCCTCGGCGAAATTCTTAAAACCGTTGGGAGGCAGGTGCCCGATCAAGGCTTCTTTCAATTTGTTTTCGCAGTAAAGCTCGCGGAAGACAAAAACTATGAATACTTCTTGGTGCATGAGAAGTAAAATTATCGGTAATTGTTGTAATCTGTTTCAAAAAATTCAACAGAGAGGGCAAAAACACCGGATACAATGCTCGCAAATTTTCACCAAGACTTCAACGTTGGGAGTTGCTGAGTTTGATTGCAGATAACGTGACATATTTTCAATTAGCGATTTAGCGCAAGATCTGAATAATCTGAGAGAGCATTTTCATGGAGAGGGAGCAGAATGTAGGATTTAGTTTCCTCGCCAAGTAAAACGAAAATTTTCCCAGTGCACCCCTCGCAAACAAAAATTTACCGCCGAAATTATCGCCTAATATGCAAAACTGCGTATGAATCCCGTATGTTTTCACGATATCGATCGAGCGATGTATTAAATAATACAACAGTCAAAAAGCTATATTTAATTCTAACCTTTAAAATCCACTTCGCCATTCCCATCTGTGTCGAAGATATCAATTACTCTTTGGACTAGAGGATTTTGCTGTAACTCAGGTAGTGACATAAATTCGTCAACAGAAAGGGCACCAGATTTGTCCAAATCGAGCTTCCGAAATCTCTTCCCGAGGCGTCTTATTTCGTCTGCATCGACTGAAGTTTCAAACGAAGATCATTACCACGGGTATCGAGAAAATAGGAAGCGGATAAAAAAGGAGAAATCGTAAGATCTGCAGGACAAAAATATAACAGACGCCGCGCGAGAGCGTTACTACTGTACTTACAATGTGTCACCATATCACCCGGCAAAGAAGCTTCGTTTCCCTAAGAACGGAAGAGAATTCAGAGATAAATTTTCAACACGTTCGCATATTGATTTAGTCTTGAGTAGATATGATAACACCGAAACGAAGTTCGTCGAGGAAGGCGGTATGTCTAAATAAGTATTGGACGTGTTCACCTCCTAATAATAACTGCAGCAGCTATAAACACTCGATCAACATATTAAACATACGATGCTAAGTTTAAAGTAAAACTAGAGCAGAATCGTCCTTAAAAAGCGGGCTTTGCAGCCTTATCTTTGCGCTACTATTAAGAAAGCAAGCATAATCGAAAATGAAACAACACCGACCCAAATGTCGCCACAACTCTAGCAATATCAAAACTACGAATACATTTATCTGCCTTTCCACAGCAACAAGCAACAGCTTAGGGGATGCTTTTGTCGACAAGAAAATGTGTTGAAATCTAGAGACCCTATCGCACCTCTAATGTTAACAGTCTATCAAGGACACTTTCAAGGCACTAAAGAAAGATAACATACCATTTTCAGTAAGTTTTCAGACCCTCCTAAGTAGCTTTTAAGTTTAAAATGCTGCGATCAAAACTTTGAAGAATAGTTGGTTACTTCGAAGAGGGAGCCCTACAGAATGGGTAGTACCCAGTCCACCACAGTTCCGTTCAATTGCATCCGGGAGTTTGAACCGACAATTCCTTCCCAGTTCACTCACCAATATTCAATCTTGAGAACGAGAAGAGCTGAGGTGAGAATACCGTGGAGTTCAATGGCTACGTTTTATATCTCAAGGTAAAGTGATCGCTTTGTTTTCTTTAAATTTACCCACCGCTTTACTTCACCTTTACTCATGTCTTCTCTGTTTAAGTCCTCCTAACGATTTTTTTCGGAGTGCATGACCGCATATGCTATTGCATGTAAGATCCATGGACTCGACACGTGTAAACTCCTCTGTTTGATTTCAGATTTTTTGACATAACAGGGATTTTGCATTGCTTAATGATATTTAGTAAATTAAACTTTCATGTAAAAGCTTTCATATAAAATCTTTCAGGTCTCATCTTAAGCATCAATAACTTAAACCCACAAACGTGCTATATGAACATGCGTACATGGAATTGCAGATCCCGTTTTAGAATGTCACCTGACAGACAAGATTTGATAAAAACTTTCTTAGTAGATTTTGGCCTCTATTCTTTAATTTTTAGGATTGTTTCACTCCTTCTGGTGTGGATAATTCCAGAAATTAATGCCGTGGATAAGGGAAACTTTAAGAAGTGTGAGCAAAGTAGCTTTTGCAAGTAAGATGGTTAAAATGTTACATTGTGTTATTTATATGAAGAGTTGATTTACAGAAAAAATTGAAGTAGATTCTTTTGGATGTCTGCTTTTAAATTCCGTGAAGTTATTTGGTTCTTTTGTGGGAAGACAGTTCGTGAGCTAGGCTGTCTCTGCAAGACAAGGTAGCTTGACTTAGCTCAACTTTATTGTGGGGTTTTTGTATATCCATAGGAGTCCATAATAGACAAATTGCAGTCAAGGGGGTAGTTGAAGGGTAAAGGCACATGCAAGCTTCTCCCCTCTGGTATACTCATTTAAACTAAAAATAAGATGCTGATGTGGGAAATTCTGCCCATAACATTCAACTTTTCTAGATTATAGTTTCCTGTTGCCCGCTGACTTTGTATCTTCAAGTTGAGGGTTGCTGCCTTCTTAAAATGAGTTGTAGAAACAATGAACTTCGACTGGAAACTAAAATCAGTGACATTAGTACCTCTGATGATTAGAACAGTGGCTTTTCTTGATTAAGTCCACCTTTGTTAGAAGTTCTGAGTTACACATTATTTTGAACCTGAGAGAAACATTTAATTATGTAGTCTGTCCACTCAGGTAAGAGTTGTTCTGGGGAGGACTGTTATAAGGAGTAGTGGTTGATGTTTCAACAACCTTGGTAGAAGATGTTATAGGGATTGAGCGGCAGGGGTTTCATTTAAGGCTAGGCACTTGGCAAATTGTTTAGTTATGAAGATGGTTTTGCCCACCTGGTTTGACCATCTTGAGGAAAGTTCATCTTGTAAAGAAGTTCAGTTCAAAAAAATTTGCCCGCTTGTGAAAATTAGTTGTCCTCCAGCTGAAAATGTTAATGAAACCCCTGGAGCTGGACTTGGTAAAGTTTTTGAAGGTCAGTCACTACTAAGGCCTTTTCGGACTACTCTTATGTGGGCAATTAGACTACATGATCAGAAATATTCATTTCACTGAGAAGCACCTCCATCGTACCCCTCCCCCCCCCCCACTACCCAGGCTTCATTAATTAAACTCAAGCGATAAGGTAGAATTGCCAGAAACTCTGTATTTTGCTAAAGTTGGGTTCAGGGGTATAAATTTCGGTGAGTAAGAAAACAGCCAAGTCAGGGAGAAAATGAAACATTACAAAACTTTTGTCACTGATTGTACATCAACAGTCCCTTACCCAACTTGTCTTCAAATGTTTGATTTATTTTGATTGGATGCAATCACATGCTTGATTGATCAACTGAAAGTCAGAATTGGGTTTAGGGTATGACATTGAAAGAATGAAAAATATATTGTGGCTGTTTCTCTAAGTTTGTGGAGTAAAATTTTTGTTATATTTGAGAAGGAATGAATTACATTTGTTTTTATTGTTTTGTTTACAGGAATAATAGGGAAATTCAACCAGGAGAGTCTCCATATTCAGTAGTCAAAGATTCTCTAGTGTTTACAGATTCCTCCCTTGATGTTAATATACTAAATAAGAAATCAAATGTATTACTCGGTCTAAAGCTTCAAACATTAGAAAAAAATACAGTAAGATTTAGAATTAATGAACGGAACCCAATTAGACCAAGATATGAAGTCAAAGATGTCTTGATTCAAGAACCAAAGACTATAAGGTAAGGCTATGACTTAACCTTTTTGTGGTCTGAACTTAAAATCTTTGAGCAAGTGCTGTAATGATCTGTGCTTTGTGCATGTTTTTCCTTGACATCTCATTTACTGGCTAGGCTCTAAAGATATGCATGTTTTTTTTTGCAAACCAGATAATATTATTTGCCCACCATGGCTGATAATTTCTTTTTCTCCTGGTAAATTAAGAACTGCTCTTCGATGTTACTGACTTCTTAGACACATTTTGAATTTACAATGAGATAACTTTCATATAAATTAATAGAGGGGGTAAGTTTCTAAAGAAACTGTGATGCTGCATCAGTGGGAGAGTAGTGCAGGGTAATCTAGAATTATCAACTGAGTTGATAATGTGAATTGGCCACCCTAAACAGTCAGAGCTCTGATGAAGGTCTAACACTTGAAACTTTAGTTTTAAAACTTTTTACAGGGGCCAATTTATGTTATCAACTCAGTCGATATTACTAAATTACTTTGAGATAAATTGTTTTGCTAGCATAACATTATTAGATGTTATGTAGAGAAACTATTTAAGAATGTATTTTATCATGGACGAAGCACTTGAAAGATATCAGAAAAAGATTTGGCAAGGTATAGTCTCAGACAAACTAAAATATAGATGCAAGAGAAAACTCTACTTAAAAATCCATTGGTGGTCAATATCTTAACCCTTAAACTCCCAACATCTCATTAGTAACTCTCCTTACTGTCAACCATACAATTATTATAATGTTAGTTCAGAGAATTTAGTATCGAATCAACTAATTAATCCCAAATCAATATTTTTCTTTATTCTCATCACTTCTCTGGTTGATAATGTATCTATAATGTAAGGAGAAATTCTGTCTTGGTCACTTATGGGAGTTAAAGGGTTAAAAGAAAATTGCTCCACTAATTTACAAGCAGTATATTTTGAAGAGATTGAAATCCTGGGGGAGATAGGCAATTCTTTATTGTACTCCTAAATATTTTTTGTTTCAGTTGGTAATTTTGCATCCCCCTGACTGGTTTTGTAATGGTTTTATCCTTAATTTTTTTTATTTTCAGTTTGTTTGTTTTTATTTTCTTTCTAAGCAGGTTGGTTTTAGGTTTGAAAGAAATAGATCTAACATTTTAGATATTTATCTGTAGCCTCTGTTTGTTCTAATATTTAACTGCTTTCATTGATATTTTTCAGTAACCAAAAACTCAAACAAGATGATGAGAGTGTCCACATTGGATTTAATAACAACAGTGTTGTTTTAACATTTGAACCTTTCCGCCTGGATTTTTTGGTTGATAATGAAGTGGCAGTATCTGTTAATTCAAGGGGGCTGATGAATTTTGAGCATTATAGAGAAAAACAGTAAGCTGCAATCATTCTTAAACTTGATATTATTGCTGTGCATGTTAGGGGTCCACACTAAATGAAGGTTCCACTCCTGATACAGTAGAGGTGGTATTAATACATTATCAGCTTTACATTATCTCCCTCTGTATCCCAACTAGGAAAATTCCCGTCAAGGTTGAAGATGACGATGGAGAAGGTCACCCACCTGGAGAAAATGAGGAGGAAAAGTCAGATGAGCACCCAGAATCGGTATGAGAAATTCAGGTTTTAACCTTTTTGCACCCTATAATCAGTATGCATATTCTCCTTTCATTTCCTTAGGTACTGACAAGGATTTATACTTGTGATGTCAATGTATGATTTGGGGTGGTATTTATTTTCTAGGAAGAAAATGCGGAGAAAAAAGAAGAAGAAGAAGAAAGAGTTGAAGAAGAAAACTGGGAAGAAAACTTTAAAGAGCATCATGATTCTCGACCACGAGGTAATTCAACATAAGTTCTGTCCATGCAGTAAGTAATCCCTTTTTAAAAAGCTCAGAAGGGAAAAAAAACACAGAAAAGAAAAGCTGAAACTTGATGTTACACTGTATCTGTTTAACCCTTAAACTCCCAGATCAAATTTGCAATTCTCCTTACTTTCAACCATACAATTCTTATAATGTTAGTTCAGAGAATTTAGTATTGGATCAACTAATTATCCCCAAATTGATATTTTTCTTTATTCTCATCTCTTATCTGCTTGATATTGTATTGATACTGTAAGGAGAAATTCTGTCTTAGTCACTCGTGGGAGTTAAAGGGTTTAGATATGGACATGTTTACAATTATGAAGAATTTGGTAATTTTTGCCTATAACCCTTTCTTTAATCAAATGTGAAACTTAGTGGAATGCTGCCATGCATGTAAGTTTGTTGTCATGGTATTTACTGTACCTTTAAACTTTCATCATTCAGGTCCCTGTTCTGTTGGTTTGGACATTTCATTCCCTGGTGTTGAACATGTGTATGGAATCCCAGAACATGCAGACACCCTAGCTCTCAAGACAACAGTGTAAGTTCTGCTGTAGAGGGATTTTTACAATCATGTTGTACTCCTGGTATGGAACCTTTGACTGATTGTATCGATGATGAAATGTATATATATCAAATTGGTTCTCAGCAGTGATTCAATAACGTTTCCAGTATTTATCTTAATTTTAAACAGAGTTGTTATTTTTATGCACATCCTTATATACCAGGGGTGATAAATGGTGAAGTCCTAGACTCACTAAGACACTAGGATACCTGTCTGAAAATTTTAGAAGACTTCTTTTAAACAAAACTCTTTTTTATTGCTAATAACAGCTGTGAGATGTCAATTTAAAGAGAAGAGACTTCAAGACTAGTCACACAGACACTACTTTGAGAATTAACTAGACCTATGATACACTGGTCCAGATGGTCAGGCATTAAGGTGCTTCTGTTTGATTGCTGTATTTTCATTTTTCAGTGGTTCAGAGCCATACCGTTTGTACAACTTGGATGTGTTTGAGTATGAGCTGGACTCCAGGATGGCTCTTTATGGCAGTATTCCTGTCATGATTGCTCATAGGTAAGTAATCACAGAGTTATTCACTTTCACTGAAACTCACTGGTAAGTTTACAAAGAAGAGGTTTGATCTGAAGGACAGTTATCAAATTCCATCATACTCTGATTTCTGAACTTTCAGTGTTGCACGCACAGTTGGTGTGTTCTGGATGAATGCAGCTGAAACGTGGGTGGACATCAGTTCATCCAGTGCCAGAAAGGTAGGAGAATATTTTCTTTAATCCATTTTGTCACTAACTGTTCAAACCTCAATTGTGACCATTATCTATTTCCTCCCTACATTAACACTGCTGAATCATTCACAAGAATAAGATCATGAAAATAAAGGAAATGATCACCAACCTAAGAAGCTTTGATTGATAAATGAATTCTCATTGTGAGTACCAAAGGAAATGTATAAAGAAGAGTATAGAGAATGTGGATACTGATGTTAGGGTGTTTAAGGTTAAGATAGAAATAAGAAATGAGGTTTAGGGATGATTTTTAGGGGTGAAATAGCACAAATTCCAATTAACATTAACATATTAACTATCGTAACAAATAAATTTGATTTTCTGATATTCAAATTTTCAAATGAGATTTTTGTGCAATTGAAATCAATAGATAAGATAACATGTTTTAACATCTTCAAATACTTCTTTAAGGTTCTAATTAAATTTAATTAAAGAAATATAAATTTGAAACTATGGTAAACTTGTTTAATAATCTCTGAATTAAGTGATATTCAAGTCTAATTTTGAAACTTATTTTAACTGGTATTGACAAGGCTAACATTTAATAGGCTCTCCTGGATTAATAAAGTATACATATGGTATAATTAAGTGCTAACCTGCTTCAGGTCAGAAATGTTTTTCATAGCTTCTCATAATGAGATATGTAGTTTAATAAAGCAGGTAATTTATGTTTCATTTTGTGAGGTTATGTCAAATGCTCTAACACTGAACCATTTTGAAATGCCTTAAAATTTGCAATGCAGAAACTCCTTCACACATTAAATTATTTGAAAAAAAGTAACAGTTATGAATAAAAACATCGATTTTTTGATGAGCAAAAATTAGAGTCTTTGTCATTTGATTTTTTATAAAAACTTATCCATAAATTCTCTTCAAGTGGCATGCACATACATATTGCATAAAAGAAATCTTGCATCCAATAAATTGTTTCTTTGAGTGGAGCATTGGACACAACTGAGCATTAGTCAACATAAAGTTGACTAAACCATAAAGGCCTAGCCTACTCTTGTGTTCCACTGTTCTTTTATTTTGCAGTCCATGTTAAACTCACTGATGTCCTTTTTCAAGGGAAGTGAGGAGGTCCCTCAGGTGGACACCCACTGGATTTCAGAGAGTGGCATCATTGATGTATTTGTCATGTTGGGTCCAAAACCTCATGACCTGTTCCAAGAGTATGCTGCATTCACTGGCACAACTGCCCTGCCACCAGTAAGTCTGGCTTCTTTGTTTTATCTGGCTCCATATCAGTTTTCACAGCTCTCACAGATGATTTCCAATTTTTCTTTAAATTCCTTTTTGAAAATTCAGAGTGAAATAGATTTTACAAACTGATATCCTGACCCTGATTGTTAAATGGATGGATAACTTTAACTGACAAATGAATTGCTATCCAGGGGATAAGTGTTAACAAAACGTACTGCGCTATCCACCTGATCGAGATTTATCCAAGGAATAACTTTATCCACTCATCGATCAACTGAGGCCTGGTGTATAGTGAAAGTCTAGACTAATAGTAAGGTCTGTGCAAGTCATTTTCCGGCACAGAAGTTGAGCTGAGTTTTTCCTTGTTTCTGAGACATGAAATGGAATGAATAATTTTTTGGAACCACCTTTCTAAAAATAGTAGAGCATTTAGATCTCATCTTTCTAATCTTGCATGTTTGATGATCTCTTTTGATAGCTTTTTGGAATTGCTTATCATCAAAGTCGATGGAATTACAATGACGAAGATGACGTCAAAAAGTAAGTTGCACTTGAACAGCTCTGTTTTCTTCATCTACTAATTTTTTTGTTTATTTTCACTGCCTCAATGAGCCACCAAAGTGAAGTAGATCCTGTAATCTGATTGGCTCCCTTTGGCCCTGAGAAAGACAAAAAATTGCCTTAATGCATTAACTTCTGGCTGTCGTTCTTTTTTTCAATTGGAAAAAAACAACTTAATCTACCAATTTTTACTGCAGTAGAGGCTCAATATTATGTCTTGAAGACAACTCAAGCGAAGCAAAAGGATTTTGTGAAAAAAATTGTAACTAAGTGAAATTCTTTGGTCAAGGTCCATTCAGGTCGAGGAAAATTTTTGGGAAGGCATGGAAATCTGCAGTATCATTTCCAAGGCTGTAATTTAAGTTTGGGTGATGGAAAGTTATTGATAGAAAATATATGAAAACTATATCGCTTTGTTCACTATAATGCATGTCGTATCTAATTATAAAGCAATACTCTTTGATCTGAAATAAGCCTTCATAGCTAAGCGGTGTGTTTTACTTGTGGTTTTTTCAGCGTAGATAAGGGTTTTGATGATCATGATATTCCCTATGATGTTCTGTGGCTGGACATTGAACATACTGATGGAAAGAAGTGAGTACAAAAACAAATGCATGAATAAATGCATTCACTCCTCTGTGTTCTTTCGTTTGAGCGGCAACCTTCAATGAATAGCTTGCATCCCGACATACACATTTCTGGAAATTACCGGAAGAAAAAAAAACAAACAAAAACTAAAAGCCGAAAAGGGACATTCCAGACAGACTGTCTGACGAGCAAAATTGTATTGGTTAACCAAATGGTTATCAGGACTTGATTTTAAATAGAAATCGTTTAAGCTTAAATTTCTGCTCTGTACATCGGACTTAAGGGTAAAAGAAGTCAGTCTCAGATGCCCACATCCGATCTTTTAAAGCCAGGCTCTTACCGTCATTTATTGGTGTTATTAAGTGGAAAAAATAACAGCCACAGAACAAACAAAAAAATATGATTTCAAAGTATTCCTTAACGACGTGCCTCATCATAAGACTCAGATCAGTCATAGTTGTCTTTGGCGTATATTATTTGTGGTAATTTACTGCTGCGGTGTTTACCTATTTCAATGTAGGTATATGACTTGGGACAAGAATAAATTTCCAACGCCTGACCAGATGCAGAAAAACTTGGCGTCAAAAGGTCGAAAGGTAAAGACATCAACGAATAGTTATCAAAAAATTCGAATGACGAGATCTAGAAACTTTCTCTTCTACTGATTCTATTTATAATCGGTCATCGTGGGCGCGTATGTCACAAGGTTACGCCTTCTTTTTCACGGCGAAGATGAAAATTACACGGATTCTGCAGCATACTTTTTGGTTAACCTTTTAAACTTGCAATAGCACTATTCATGAAGTGGAACTACCCCTTACAGCATTAATACATTGCATAGAAGGTTAAGATATAAAGAAGACAGTTTTTCTCTAGATCGTGGTCTGATGAGAAATTCTAATTGCCAATAACTAGAACTTGAGCAGGAGAATTTTAGCCGTTTGACATAAATGTGAGAGGCAAAACGGCTCTATACAAAATTTGCTCAATTTCGCAACTTTTTGTTGAGTACAGTGCATGAGCATTCTCTCTGTTTGTTTTTCTTTTCACTTGTTCATTTATCTAATAAATTTTATTGTATTTTATAGATGGTTACTATCATTGATCCCCACATCAAACGCGAGGGTGGATATCACATTCATGAGGCAAGTTAATAGAGATCATTCCATGGAAAGTGCGCACGAACGATTTTTGTTCACGAGTTGCGATGCATCAGAAGAACGAACGAGTGAGTCTTGATGCATCGCAGTGAGTCACAGTCGTTCGTTGAGTACGTGGGAAATAAAAATCTTTTAAAAATACATTTGGTTTTCGAACCTAGGATTTAACCTTACTCTTGTGGTTTTCAATCTTCTTTGCTCAGTATTCACTTAAGATTCTTTGTACCTTTCCGATCTCAGCAGTATTTGGAGTGTATGTAGCAGTTCAGTTCTAAGACATGGCACCGCGATTCCGAAGGTCTTAGCTTCGTATAGTCATGGGGTTTGTTCATTTTTATGTTTAAATCTCACAGGAAGCGACAAGACTAGGTTATTATGTGAAGAACAAAGATGGCGGAGAATACGAGAACTGGTGTTGGCCAGGTGATGCTATGTATATAATAGAACGAATCAAAACGCATCGCAAAGTGGTGGCGAAGTGACTTTTAATCTTTAAGTATAAGGCACAGTAATAAGTGAGGAAGGCGAAAGTTTCACTATTCCCCTACGAAGAAAACCGCGTCATCAGCCGGTAAATGACCCAGAAAACCTTCAGTTTTTTCCTGCCTGACTTTCACTTTAACGTAATGGTGAATGAGAGTTTATCATGGCACCATCATCGATATAATTAATGAAAACTGAAAATGGTTGAATTGATCTGCTAAACGGTAGGCTTAAGAGAAAGAGAACCGTTTTTAGCGTCCTTATGTATAATTTCCTTAATTCATAGGAACTTCATCGTGGATCGATTTCCTCAGTCCGGAAATTCGCAAGTGGTGGGGCAGTAAATTTGCTCTGAGCGAGTATCAGGTAAGTCACATTTTGGGGCAATTTGTCTCCGATATAAGGGTTTTGTAAAGTTTACTGCATTGTTAGTATTTAATTCGGAGCTTTCTTCACGACGACACAGAGCAAAGATGAGCTACGATTCCGAGAGAGTAATTAAAAAAAAATTATCACATGCATCTTTTTCTTTTATCTTCGATCTCAAAGAAGTTGGTTAGGTAATGCTGTTGATCTCTCCAAAGTCAGAATAGCAAAGAGGGAAACGGCGGGGAAACTCATGAGTAAACGCATAAGTTAAAATACATGATTTAGGAAGTTTGGACGCAAACCTGAGGAAGTGTTGTCGAATTATCTTCTCTGATCATTTGTGATGTTTACTTGTAGGGCTCCACAGAAACTCTTTTTACCTGGAATGACATGAATGAGGTTAGTGTAACTTGAGAACTTTTTTTTTCTGGTAATAGTATAGTATGAGATGGCTCAAAGGCAGGGCTGGTCGTAGTTTATCTAAGAACCAGCCATGAAGTATGTTATTCGTTTTTACCGCAACGTTTTTCCTGCCTTACAGCCCTCGGTTTTCCATGGACCGGAAATAACCATGCATAAAGACGCGCTTCACTTCGGGGACTGGGAACACCGCGATGTGCACAACATCTACGGCTTCTATCAGCACATGGCAACAGTGCAAGGACAGATAGACCGTTCAGGGGGAAGGGAAAGACCGTTTGTCCTGTCGCGAGCTTTTTTTGCAGGAACCCAAAGAAACGGTAAGTAATTGTTATCTGCGAAGAAAAAATAGAACAACAAAAGCAACGTGATACCGGCTTGAAAATGATGTTCGTTCATTCCTAGTGACGTGCTAAACAGGATACAAAGCTGACAATTGAAGCGCTTTAAAATTGAATTTAGCAACCAAGCTTAGCGCACCAGGCAATCACTAAAAATTAAATATTGCAAGGAGCCAGTGATAGCGTAAAGTAAAACAAATAAACAAAGCGCGTGGAACACAGAAAAACGCGAGTGACCAAATTGCGATTTTGCATCTGATTGGTTGAGAGAGGATAGCGCGGAAGTTCTAGATTAATCAAACCAATGCAATCCCGTAATGATTTGGACCTCCAAACTGAAACTTCCCAATGGAGGCTTCTTGTGCATTTAGCTTACCGGAACTGTTAATTGATTTCTAGGTCCCATTTGGACGGGAGACAACACGGCGGACTGGGGCCACCTAAAGGCATCTCTTCCCATGATCCTCACCCTGAACTTGGTTGGGCTGCCGTTTTCCGGAGGTGAGACGATTTTGGAAATACTCAAGTTCGTAGCTGCTTTGTTTCCACGACGGTTGACTTCATGTGGTTTTCTTTTGTTTTATTGTTATTATTATTTTAGCTGATGTCGGTGGCTTCTTTAAAAATCCTGACCCAGAGCTGTTACTCAGGTGGTATCAGGTAGGTTTTCTTTCTTCGCACATGATTTATTCGTTTTTCTCCTTTTTTTTTCCTTTTTTTTTTCTTAGCTAAATTAAGGGGGGTTTGTGGGGCAGGAACAAAGAAAGTTTGCTCGCGGCCTTCGCTGTTTTTCTGTGCCTTTTTTCCAACAGATTTCCTTCACTTGACTCCAGTGTGTTTTTATTGGGTAATTCCAATTGCGATTTTATCATGACTTGTTAAGTGGTGGCATTCAGTTGGATGTCGCTCCAGTGATCCATTTCCCTTTTTATGGACGCGAACAGGTCGCTTGCACCAACCGCAGGTTTAATTTTTGGGAAGACGCATGTGTGATTTTAACCGTTATTGGAAGCTTCAAGCATGATGTGCTATTTGGACTGTCACTATCAACTGGGGCGAAGGAAAGGTCCACACTCTAACGCCTTGTGTTCCAATGGGTGTTTTTTGTTTTTCATTTTTTTCAGGCGGCTGCCTTCCTGCCATTCTTCCGCGCACACGCTCACTTGGACACCAAACGCCGGGAGCCTTGGCTTTACGATGAGCAGTATAAGAATCTGATCAGAGATGCCATCCGTGTGAGGTACTCACTGCTGCCGTATTGGTACACCTTGTTCTACCACGCCTCTGAGACCGGCACGCCCATAGTCAGGTGAGTGTTCAGGAGTATATTCTCGTGATAAGGTAGACATGTGTTGAGAGTATGAAAAACTATCAACCATGGGATAATGTTGTGTGTTAGAACACCAAATTGTCATAACTGATGCACTAGACAATGTGCTAGTCATTTTGGAGATTTAGTCTTTAGGTCCAGGGAATGACTTTTCAAACAGTCAAACCGCGCGTTTGAGGTGTCTTGGGCTGTGGGATCTTAATACGTTTATGTATGTTATGTGGCTGGTTTATGCATTAGAGATGAGCTTTTCATTATCCTAGAGCATTAGCAGTAACACTGTTGAACTGTACCGGAGTTAACTTGAACAGATGTACAAACCAAAGGTTGAGCATCCAATCGAAGAATATACGGATCAAATGTAAAACTTTGCAACATATCCAGAAAGAAATTCGTTTTCGATCCACTTTCACAGTTTTGATTTCTTTTGTTTAACTGAATGGCTTTAAAAATAACGAGCAGAAAAAGTAAAATAAAAGTAACATTGACCCTTTCTCGTTAGGCCTCTGTGGGTGGAGTATCCAGAGGAGAAGAACACTTTTTCCATGGAAGATGAATTTTTGCTCGGTAAGTTTAGTCTTGTGAGTTTAGTCTTGTGAGTTTAGTCTTGTGAGTTTAGTCTTGTGAGTTTAGTCTTGTGAGTTTAGTCTTGTGAGTTTAGTCTTGTGAGTTTAGTCTTGTGAGTTTAGTCTTGTGAGTTTTAGTCGTGTGAGTCCAGTCTTCGATCCAGTCTTCGATCCTCCCGAGAATTAACTACCAGAAAGGAGCACGGGCTCATTTCCCGAGCAGTGGGCCCGGGGGAGTGAAGATTCTCGCCCTCCCCCGCCCTTAACCCCCGTCGTCCACTCTTACTCCAAATGGCTAACGATCTCGAGCTTATAACATTAGCTTGCCCTAATAAGACGCCTGCACTGCAGGCTGGAGAGAAATCAGCCATTAATTAGCTATTCCGATTACCTTTTCAGGAAAAGATCTTCTCGTTAAACCAGTCACGACCCAAGGACAGAACTCAATAGACGTTTACCTTCCAGGAAAAGGAGAGGTAGCTTATCTTACATCATAACTTTGTTTGTCGAACGTTCCTTTATAAAAGACTTATCTTAATCAGCGTAACTGTTTTTTTTACTCTAAACAGTACTGGTATGACTTGCATGATTTCAAGATTTACCGAGGGGATAGTACAATCTACGTGTCTACACCACTCGAGAAGGTAAATTCATCAATTTAATTCGTACCACATGGATGACAAATTTCAAGTGGCTTTCATTTCCTTCCTTTCTGTGAATCAATATTTTAGAGGATTTAGATCAAATCTCTCACCTTTTGGAAGAACTGGGCAAAGTAAGTTTTCCCCTCTGTCTGTGACTAATTTTGTAGTGTTAAATTTTTATTGTAGATCCCAGTGTTCCAGCGTGGAGGAAGCATCATCGCGACCAAGCAACGAATTCGCCGATGCAGTGCACTCATGCACAAGGATCCATATACGTTAACCATGGCCTTAAATCCCAGTGTAAGTTTAGGCATATGACTACACAATATTGAACTGAAAACTGAACGAGAGAACCTACGAACATACGTGCGTACGTATAGACGGGCGGACGGATGGATAGATTAACCCCTTTCAACTGTATATGCGTGTTTGTTGCCAGTTTTACTTGGCTGTTATAAGGGAATTTAGAAAGTCGCGACTGCGACGGAAACGAGAATGTAGCGAAACTAAAGATTTAATTAGAAAAACAATAGCGGAACACGTGTGTTTTAAAAGTTTGTACAATTGCTAGCCGTTCCATACAGAACTAAAACGTGAAATCGCCAAATTTTACGTTCTCTTAGCGTGGAAACCTCGACAGCAATTCAGTCACGTTTTAAACGTTTTGAACTCAACGCTACATTCACTTGTTATGCCGAAGTAACAATGTCGGACCGTCAGAAACGTTGAACACATCGAGCTTTAGGCGAAAATCTTAGAAGGAAATTTATTACGTTATTTCGTTAACTTTTTACCACACGACCCCGTAGTTACATTTCAAACTCCCTATTATTACATCTGATTTCTTATAAATGTCGGCCCTATCGATGTTAAACAGTCTACAGGCAATACTCCCCTCGAAAAGTCCGGATTTTAGCCTTGGCTGGGTTATTATGTTATGTTCTAAGCTGAGATTCGTCAGTCTCGGAGTGTCTGGCATCACTTTGAAGTATTGACAGAAACCAACAAATGCGTGGGGCTAACGTGCGATAGGTAAGCATTCCATTAAGGGGTAGGGGGAGGGGAAGGGGGAGGGGAGGGTTGGTATTGAACACTCCTATTCGCACTATACTCTGATGGAGGGATAAGTTCCGGTAACTACACGTCATACCCAATGCTGGGTCGTACCGTGCATCCTGAAACTAAAGAATCCTATTCAATACTTGCGCTTACTTTCCTTCTGCGCAGGCTGAAGCAGAGGGAGATCTTTACGTGGACGATGGACACACCTTTGACTACAAGAATGGCGCCTACATTTACATGAAGTTTTCATTCCGTGGCGGACGAATGGTGGCGAAGTAAGATCACTTTTCTTGTCTATTTCTCGACGAGTCATTACAATTCAACTTGGAAACAAAGAACATAGGGGCACCTCACAGATGTGTCCCTGCTAAAATGTGTTATATTTTGTATTGATATTTTCTGGTAATTTTGAAGCAAGGATCTTTTCCGCCTCGTAGGAATGCATCCAAACCCATTCCTCTTCAGCCTCAGACTGAAGAATCAGGGATTTTATCGTCAATGTGGAACTTCCTGTTAGTAGATTTGTTCTTGTTGTTTCTTTTCGAGTATATTTTACATCTTGATGGCGGTTTCTGATGTAAATTCGTCACAAAGTTAAACGTCTATCTAAATATTCTAGAACTGGGCGAGATTCGATTAAAGCCTCCAGCTTGCTTTACAAGTGTGAGATGCCGCTGTCTTTCTTCCACAATTGACTCAGGAATACTCGGATTAAAAATTCGACTTTTCCCTTCAGATTTTGACCTTTTATTTTCATCTTTGTTATTATTACTATTATTATTATTATTATAATTATGATCATGATAACTATTATTATTTTCTGATTTTGGCTGAGAACATCATCTTTCATTTTCATCAATAGGCTGTAGTTAAATTTACTATCTTCATTTTCATCACAAGGCATTCTTTGAATCATTGTCAAAAAGCATACCGCTAACATTGGTATGGCCAAGGTACAAGACGATTACCGAAGCTCCGTGGTAGAAAATCCTAAATTCTTACCCCATGGTAATTTGGCGCAACTGCAATAGGAGTCATTTTTCCCTTTCATTGCCATGCTGAAGATCGGCGTTCTGTTGGATTTCTGTTTCTCTGACAAACGTCATTGTTTACTTTTATCTTGAGGTTAAAAGCGAGTATAACATCTTTATTTACAATCATTCCAAAAGGGAACACATCGTCACAAATCCAAAGTGTAACCAGCATCTACTTTCTCCTTACAGTTTTGCTCCTGAATCATTCCTTAAGATCACGAGAATAAATGAAATGATCGCCAACCCAAGAAGCATTGATTGTTAAACGAATTCTCCTTGTCAGCACTAAAAGAAATTTGTAGAGAAGAGTATGGAGAATGTACATGGATAATGATGTTAGGGTTTAAAATTCATAGCAGTAAGTGGAAGGGTTGTCATTTAAACCAGTTAGAGTTCCCCGTAGCTCAGTGGTAGAGCTTCCGCAGTGCAAATCGAGAGTTGCTAAGTTCCACTCTTGTTTTTTTCTCTTTTTTTTTGCAGGCGGGAGACGCCGAACACTCAGTACACTACCGCTGCTTGGATAGAACGCATTGTCATTCTTGGAATAAGTAACGCTCCTAAAGGAATCTTCCTTACTTCTGATGGTAGGTGGCTGGATCAACTTGGTTTTTCTCTTTTTTCTCTTCTGCAGGAATTCAGTGACTTAACACTCCAATCAGATAATTTTCCAGTGGTGTAGTTGTGTCTATTTTTTTTCTTTGTCTGTTTGTTTTGTGCATGTGTGTATCTCAAATGTAGCCTCAAACACCATGCTTGTCTCGGCACTCTTCCTTGTGGGGGAGCTGTAATCGAGGAGCGAAACAGCTCTATTAACGTCCTTTTCACGGCGGAAAGTCATCTCCAAGGAGAGGAAACCACTTGACTATGTGTACAATATTATCATTAAGCTGAAATGTGTTGAATTTTTTTTTCCGTCATTTTTTCTGAAGGTGGAGAGAACAGACACCTCCAGTTCACACATGATCCCTCGACTCACACGATGACGATCAAAAAGCCTGGGGTTAATATAGCTAAAGAGTGGACAATAACTATGCACGCTTAAATTAGATTTTCAGTAAATTATCAGCTTTTTTACACTTTTTTGGGAAATTGTTTTCACAATGGTGAACAGGACGAATTCCTCTCGTCTTTAATTAGGCACGGCGACACTGCCACTGGGAGAGAGAACTTTTGTAACAACTTACTGTAAGGAAGGAATTAAAGTGATTTGTACAAACAAAGTGTTGGTGTGTATGTGACAATTTCTACGCACAATCTCGTGAAAGCACACGCTCCCCATGTGCGTGGTTAATATTTGCAAGCTCAGCATGTTCCAGGCTTTTGGAAGACAACTCATTTATGTACCCACCCCGAGTCCCAAACTGAAAAAAAAAGAATACATGCAGAACCAGAAACAAATAGATCTCGTGCAGTCATTCCTATCTTTACTGATCATTTGCCTCATTACCCACCATTCGTTACTGTTTCCTGTCATGGAACTTCATTCCCCATCATTCGCCTCAACTAACCAGCAATACCCATCGTTCGACACCATTCACCGTCATTAGGCATCACTCCTCGTCATTGGACATCATCTGCCTTCATGAGACACGTACCGTCATTAGACATCATCTGCCTTCATGAGACACGTACCGTCAGTAGACATCATTTACACTCATTGGGCGTCATTAACCGTCACAAGACATCACTGATGATTCCTCGCCATTAGTCACCAATCGCCATCTGCAAGCGTCATACCCTGTCACTAAACATAATTCCCCGACAGTAATCATCGTTGGCCCTATCATTAGGCATCATTTCCGTCATTGAGCATCATACACCGTCATTTGGCACCATTTGTCAGCATAATTGAGGATAGATGAAGGTTAATGATAACGAATTATGTCTTGTGGCGGGGGAAAGGATTTCTAATGATGGTGAATGGTTTTGAATGGTAAAAAAATGATGGGGAATGGTGGGGTAATTGATCCGTAAATACGTCTAAGAGGGTTTGGCACCACAGGTTCGGGTACTACTGGTTTTGAAGATTCACCAGGAAAATAAAGTCCTCGGGGTCTACGAATTTTTTGAACTAGTTTATTTAGCAAGTTTTCTCTTGTTCACGCGCTAGCTAGTCAACTAAAGCAAAAAATACACGTGAGGATCGCCTGTATCGGACATAACAAAAACAGAAGCGACAAAAAAGCTTTCTAAAATACGTACAATGTTGATATACTCACAATTCTGTAAGGCGTTATCCCGCTTAAGACGCGATATTTTCCAGTCCTTGCACAAAGGCAGAAAACACACTTTTCGAATAATGCACAGTCCTTTCAATCTGAACTCGGACTCCCTACTGCCGCTTTCTTAATCTATCTCACGTGTATGAACTAATCTTGAGAGCCCGTGATATCTCAGGTAAACAAAAAAAATGCTTTATCTTAAATAAACAAAAAATGCTTGATTAAAAAACATCTGTCGGCGAAGTGCAAAACAAGGAGGCTCACTATATGAGCATTCACGAGTTGAAGGGTTCTGTTCTTCGAAATTTGTCCCCAACGTTTTTGCATTTTTGTATTCGTCCATATTTAGTTAGCTTTTTTCTAGTGAGCAGTCTATGACTATTAAGTAAGACCTTATTTCATCAATTTCAGTAAGAATTTCGGTCGAGTCGGTTGTTTGTCACCCAGCGAAACGAGAGGAGCAAAATGAAATCAGTATTTATGAATTGGAAAATTCTGGTCATGCACGCCCTTCGTCAGAGCAATTGACGAAGGGCTAACGCTCAAAACGTCAGCTTTTAAATGAAGGCGGTGAACTAGAGCAACCTACGTTTAACCCGGTGGGATGGCGGGATGGAAAGAAAAATGGCGGCGGGATGCGGAATTGGAAGAGTCTATCTTGGACCCTCTAAGGAGTCTCAAGGTGCTTTTTGGTGCAGGTTACCTTAGAATGAGCCTGCGTAGCAGTTCTCAGCGGGTCGGACGTAAGGTGATCGTCATGTGACTTTTCCATGACTTGCACTCAGACACTACTTTACGTCAAACGAATGGTGCGTTTTGCTACAGACATGGCGAAAAGTTTCATTGCATCGCTTTTGCTATTTTTTCTACCGATTTGTTATGGACAAACGGACCCTCAACCGCAACAGATTCACTTGTCAAGTACAGGTAAGGGAAGAAATGATCGGAAAGAACTAAATGAAGGTAACTGAGAGATTAAAAATTCGCCCATGTACGCATCCGGACATGCATGATTTGGTAAACAGATTGTGAAGGAAATTCAAAGCGACCGGTCTATCGATGATCGACGAAAGCATAAGCTGATATAAGCAAGAATTTGATATTGAAAAGTTGCTTTTACTGTTCGGAGATATGAGCGGACAATTCTGTGAGAAATCAACTTTGTTTTCACAGTTGGCACTCTCTTACATAATACGTACATTTTTGAAATGCAGTTATAGAATGTAAAATGTGAAAGAAGGGTTATGTTGAGGATTTTTGGAAAGTTCTTACATACTTAGGCATTTTTTTTTACCGGTATGGAGACTCTATTGACGGTTACGTAGCCTAAATCGACTCTTAAAACAACGAAAAGAAAAAAAAAAGCAGATTGAAGAGGTGTTGTCAACATGCAGATACAAATAAATTCAGGAAGTTTGGTTTACATACGTACATAACTGTTCATCTGAAACATTATTCTTTCTGGATTCTGTTAGGTTTATCGATTCAACCACAAAAGGATCTAAAGAAATTCGTTGTAGCATGTACAAACAATCATAATTTTGGTGTTAACGCCTTGGTCATCAAGATGTTCATCCAAATCTACTGGAGCTATTTGTCAGCGTTTACTCTCAGTAGATTTAAATTTTTGAGGAAAAATACAGAGCGATAGGGGAAGATACGTGAAACGATATTTTAAAACGGAAACATACCCAAGTAAAACTTAGAAACGAGCTAACGTCATTATTTATTTATGGTTCCTATAAAAACAATTATCCGGTTATAGCAGGCTCTGTTGTAAGTGAAAATCAGCCCTCAGAGGTTGGAGGGTGAAAGTGAAAAAAATGACGATTTTCTATAGAACCTGCCAGGGGTGGCTTCTCTTCAGTATCACATTCCTACATCTTGATTCTAAATAAGGCAAGAGGAGGTACATGTACTTGTAAGAACTTTAGCAAGGGTGAACTGGTGGGTTTCCTAAATCTTGGCTCTGTTTCAGAGCTAACTGTTTCGCTGTCCTCAGATCTGGCTCTGAAAGTTTTATGTGTTTATAAGTACACAAAAGTTGCAGTGGCAATGTAGCATTGGTGAGCATTTAAGATCACTATTGTGATATACCTTATTACAAGATTCAAATAAACTTTTGGGTCTATGTAAATGTAAATGTAAACATTAGTGGTGTTAGCATAAATTAAGCTTAATTTAACTGTAAATATACGAAAATCATACATGTTGAGGGTTGAAGAAACAAATATAGAAGCAATCCTTGTAGTTACTGGAAGCTACTGAACTAGTAGTTGAAATAAGGCCTGAAGAAAAAATCAGGCCCATATGGGATTTGAACCCATGACCTCTGTGTTACTGGTGTAGCACACTACCAACTGAGCTTACAAGCCAAGTGGGAGCTGGTCATTATGTTGGTTTCAGATAAACCCTCCAAGTGGTTAATTCATTACTGTAATTAAATGAAAATCATATAGGAAGACTGTGGTCCATGTGGGCCTGAATTTTTTTTAGGTCTTATTTTCACTACTAGTTTTGCAGTATTCATAACTGTGAGGATTGCTTCTATATTTGTTTCTTCAACTGCAGAGGTCATGGGTTCAAATTCTGTAGGGACCTGAATTTTTCCAGGTCTCATTTTCGCTTCTAGTTCAGTAGTATTCATAACTGTGAGGATTGCTTGTATATTCATTCACAATAATTTTGATACATTTTGTCACTCTTTCAAGGAGACCCAACGGAAATGATGGTCACATGGGTGACTTTAGCACAAACAGAATACAGTGTTGTGCAATACAACAAAGCTGGTTTACCCCTAACGCTTCAGACCTCAGGTACCGTAACCAAATTCACTGATGGAGGATCAGCACACAGAGTGCTGTGGATGCACAGAGTGAAACTAACAGGATTGATGCCTGGTCGAGTATATGGTATGTACAGTTTATTGCCAGAGAATATTTGGTTTTATTGGCTGAAGCAGATCAACCAGCTGATTATCAATAATACAGTAAATGGTGTGAACCAGGGTTTGCAACAGTTGTGATTGAGGTTTTGCTAACTATAGTGGAAGTCATCAGTCAAATAAAATGATGAGTTGTGGTCAGTCCTGTGTTATAGGTAGGGAAAAAAAAAGAGAGTCCCCCGCACATTTCTCGGACATCAAAAAGTAAAAATAATGCATCATGAAAAATCAGATAAACAACTTTAAGGTTCATGTATCGTGAAAAAAAAAATTCACAATTCATGAGGTCTAAATTTTGCATTTTCACTGATCATAAAAATGAAAAACACTTAATCCTACATCATGCAATAAACCCTTTTTCAGCCTCTTACACAGGGCTCCAAGTTTTCTTTTTTAAAAAGTTGTCTTTGGTGACCTTCAGTTGTAAAGTATTCGCTATAAAAGAAATTTGGTCTCAAAGAAAGAATATATGTTATATCAAAAGAAGGACATTTCATGTTGGTTCACCAGAGTTTATATGTTTGATAAGTCAATCAAACATTTATGGATTTTTTTTTTTTTAATATGTTGGCCACTTTCACCGAGATTTTAGTCACCAAATATTTATTAATTTGCTATGGTGACCAAAGTGATTGCAACTTGGAGCGCTGTTATACATCTGGTGCATTAGAAACAAAAAACAACAACAACAACAACAACAACATAAAAGTCCTGATTGTTATATCTTTAATCCAGAATACCACTGTGGAGGAATGGAGGGCTGGAGTGCTCTCTATAAGTTTAAAGCTCTTCAATCTGGTGTAGACTGGAGTCCTAGAATGGCAGTGTTTGGAGATATGGGCAGTGTTAATGCTAAATCAATCAGCTTTCTGCAAGAAGAAACTCAACAAGGACTCTATGATGCCTTCCTTCATGTTGGTATGTACATTGTATGTTTGTGCTCAAGATTTCATAGCTTAAACATTGTGGCTGGTGACAAAATTTGTCTTCGTTAGCTTGGCTAGACAATATACTGTAAATACACTATGTGCTAGATCAAGATCTTCGATTGAAAATATTATGGAATCTACCAGAACCTGCAGAGAGGTTTCGTTATTTATATGATGTATTTTGAAGAGAACAAAATATCATCAGGTAATTTTTGACTGAGTTTCTTTCTTCTTTTCATTTTCCTTTTTTAGGTGATTTTGCATATAACATGGACACTGTAAGACACTTTTTTGTTTTATGTTTAATATTATACTGTTTCTGGCCTTTTTTTTTTTTTTCATTTTTTGAGGAGTGAATCCTTCTAATGTTCATGTACTTTTCAACAGCTAGTCCTTTCCCAAGAAAAAGTGTCAACTATTTTGATCCCTAGTCACTGTTCATGGCAACAAAAAAGATATTTCATTATCAAACAATTTTGAGTTCATCACCTATGAATTACACAATTCATTTCCCTTTACAACAAGAGCATACAAGGAACTGCAGATGAAAATCCACATGTTGATCACCTCTTCCATCGCTGGCAAATTTTGTGGGCAGTGGGGGCTTTACAATAACTCATTGCTGTTGATTACCAGACACCAAACATGTTGATCACCAACAGCTGCTGATCACCTCTTTCTTAGCTGGAAAATTTCATATGTAGCATTGGAGGGCTTTGCAACAACTTGCTCATGATTCTTACGTCAATTCCTTTTTTTATTCATTTTAAAAACAGGACAATGCTTTAGTTGGAGATGACTTTATGAATCAAATTCAGTCAATTGCTGCCTATGTACCATACATGACATGTCCTGGAAATCATGAATCTGCTTAGTAAGTTGACCTTGAAATATTTAAATTGTTCCATTATTTCTTTTATATTGACTTGCATTTGATATTAATGCATATCTGTGTTCTTTACAGCAACTTTTCCAACTACAAAAACAGGTTTTCAATGCCAGGAAATACTGAGAATATTTACTACAGGTAAAAAGTCATGTAACACCAAGATGTGTCTCTGATTCCATTAGCCAGTCTTTCATTTAAATCCAAAACATTTGACAAATAAGTGGATTGTCTCACACAATTCAAAGAGTTCTAGATAATAATACTGCAAAATCCAAACATATCTATAGATTGTGCTCTACTTTTGCTACATAGGTAATGTATATAATACATATTGTTCTTGTAATAGCTGAAATAGTAACGTTAGAAGTACAAGTTACCCCAGTCCTAATATCAAATGTTTTTGTACATGTATTGTATGTATCAAATGGAACAATTGCGAAGGAGAAATACAGAATCTGCATCTTAAGTTCAGCTTACTGTGGATACTATTGGTAACTCAAAGTTATCAAAATAAATTACATTAGAAAGCAAAGCACTGCAGAGGCAAGTGGTGGCTAATTTACTACAGAATTCATGCTTATCCTTCTACCATAAGCAAGAAGATAGTGGTTGTGATACTTGGAATGGGACTAATACAGTATATCTTCCCTATGACTTGCTGGTGACTTTTTTGTGACTTATTCGTGGGATTTTTAGGGTAGCGTGGGAGATGACCACTCTTGCACACAGAATGTGTGAAGCGTTGATATTGTGAACAAAATTTTTACAGTGTTAAGATTCCAATAATGTGCACCACTGATGGTTAGGTTTTCAGTGCATACAAAGTTTTCTCTGCATTTAATATTCCAGACCTGGAATATCTCGGGATGGTTGGTTTCTGGCAATACCAGTAGCATTTCATTCATTTGGTAATTGAAGGTTTGACATATTTGTTCTTTTTGGGTGATTATGTATCAGCTGGAACATTGGTCCTGCACATATCATTTCCATTTCAACGGAAGTGTACTTTGATTATCAGTACGGAATTGAGCAGATTGTCCAACAGTATGAATGGTTGGAAAGAGACCTGCAGGTTAGTTTTCTTGGAGTGCTGTTAAATTGACCATTGATGTGTTTTACCTTTTTCCCTGAGAGTGGCAAGCATCTAATTTCTCCAAACAATATCACCCCTGAATTAGACTTTAAGGTCACGAGAATGAAGGAAATGATCACTGACTAGGGAGGCTCTTGAATGTCATTATTCTTTTAGCTAGAATTTTTATAATAGATAAACATTAATGATGAATTAGTTTCAAGCATTTTATATTATAACTGAGTCTCCATTTTGAAATTTTTCTTAACTTGCTAATGTAATTAATCATTTTTCAGGAGGCAACAAAACCAGAAAACCGTGCTCAACGCCCTTGGATTATTACTATGGGTCATAGGCCAATGTACTGCAGTAACTCTGATGGTGATGACTGCACCAAACATGAGAGCAAAGTATGTTTAGACGCCACTAACTTATTTACAGGGTCTCATGCACTCAAAACCCAATCAGTCTAACCCTAAGACTGAGCTGAGGCAATACATGAAAATAGTTTGATCTGTTCCTTGCAATGTGTTGTAGTTCTGCTTTCATCTCTGACAGTTTGTTTTTTACACAATCTCTGTAGGTTCGTACTGGGATCACATCTGAACATCTCTTTCGTCTGGAGGATTTGTTTTATAAATATGGTGAGTTAAATGTAGCCTGTGATTACTATCACCTGCAATGAGTTGTGAACTTGATTTTGCGCCTGTTTATGTTTTTTACAACAAACAGGTTGATTCAGAGTGAAGATGGAGTTATCAAATTAGAATTTGTCTTTTGTCTCCTTTTTTCTCTTTCAAATGAAGTTATTTAAGAGTGGGTCTACCGATTTCCCCTACAGGTGTGGACTTGATGTTTTGGGCTCATGAGCATTCATATGAGCGTCTTTTCCCTATCTATGACAGGCAGGTAAGAGAACATATTGGTGTGACAAGTATTGCCTGAAGATCCCAAGACAACTTTTACTCTGCTGTACCAGATGGCTCTTACTTTTGTTTTCATTTCTTTGTGGTAGATTTGCAATGGATCAGTTGAGCAGCCTTATACCAACCCTTGTGCTCCAGTACATTTAACCACAGGATCAGCGGTAGGTTGATTACTTATGGGTGAGGTACACTGGGTTTGATGTCTGGCTCTTATTCTCAACCCTTGAACTCATGAACCAAATTTGTAATTCTCCTTTCTGTCAACCGTACAATTCTTATAATGCTAGTTCAGAGAATTTAGTATTGGATCAAGTAATTATCCTCAAATTGATAGTTTTCGTTATTCTCATTACTCATCTGGTTGATATTGTATTGATATTGTAAGGAGAAATTCTGTCTTGGTCACCCATGGGAGTTAAAGGGTTAACAAATGAATATTGCTATGTAAAATTATGTTTACTGATCTGTTTGCAGCTTTTTAAATTTATTTTCGACCTTTCAAACATGTTTTTTTCTTTTCAATAGCAATTCTTTTTCATTCGTGACTGTAAGGATTCATTTATTTCTAGGGTTGTCAAGAAGACCATGACCCATTTGAGAAAGATTACCCCCCTTGGACAGCTTTCCGTTCAGATGATTATGGTTACACCCGTATGACAATTCACAACAAGACCCACTTGTACATGGATCAAGTCAGTGTGGATAAGGTAAGCTTGAGTGCAAACAATGGTGAAGACATATTAAGAATTTTCTGAAGCAGTCTGAGACACGTTTTGAGCATATTAAGGGATGTTGGTGAAAAGTTGTGAATGTGGCTTTGAGGTTGGCTGTTGATAAGTTATTCACCAAAGTGAAGGTGAATATCCTTTTCTTTCATCTACACACAGAATAAATACCACAGGTGAAAACCAAAACTTAAGTTTCTTTCTGTCAGTATACCAAAAAATGGTAGTCAATCAGTGCAAAAAAAATGCACTTTTCAGCTGTATGGTATGAACTAATATACTGACTTTATTTTATTCACTAAATTTCTTAGCAGGTCTTTTTGATTGTTTGTTTGTTTGTTTATTATTTTGTTTGTTGGTTGTTGTTGGTTTTTTTTCTAGCATATTTTGAGAGGTAGTTGTAACAAGAATGTTGAATGAATATTTCCTAAGTAGTAGTAGTAGTATTCAATGTATTTGCTTCATAATTATCAACTTAAAGGTTGTATTATTTTTTTCTCATCAGCAAGGTGAAGTCATCGACAAAGTAATGATTATCAAAGAGGAACATGGACCTGATGCTTGGATGCGAAAGAAATTGAAGGCATAAATTGAATTGAGAGTGCAACTCTTCACAGTTCACACTGTAGAGTTGTCAGAATTTTTGTGTAACTTTGTGATTCTTAGTAAAATTTTCCATGGTAGATGAAACACTTATTTAATAATTATGGCAGTTGAAAGATTCACAGTGTTAAACACAAGACTAAGCGCAAACAGATTGAAGGAAGGAAAATCATTTGTCAACATTTTAGTGTCCAATCGTACTGCTGTCAGTTTTCTACTATTGTTGATAAAATTGTGAATAAAGTTGTAAGATAGAAAAGGGAAGAAAAAGTTTTCTTCATTTAGTTTATAAAATTTTAAGTATAGATGTTAATTTTGAGACTAGATCTGCAGTAGCTGTGTTTTTTAACCAATGAGTATTGGAAACTCAATGTTCAGTCAGGGCTAATCATTTTTTTTTTGGGTTAAATACGTGAAGTTAGGTGATCTCTTAGTCTAGCGCTAGTTTAGATAGTGCTTGTGGCTGGTAAACTGTTTTTACTCTATAAAATACTTTTGTCTTTGCAATTAAATTTTGTTTTATGTATCTCAATTGTCCAGTCATGATTTTTAATAACTTTAACAAATCTCCCCAGTGCCTCTTACTGGCATTTACTCAAGCGAAGTCATCTCTCGCGATGGAATTATGTGGAATGCAAGACTCTTGGTGTTTTATTTATTGCCATGGTTATCTGGTCTACCCAAGGGAGGGACAGGCGGGGAATTTAGTTGAGATCTTGGGAAAGAACAACTCTCACTCAGCTAATTATTAACACGAAAGCTACCCTTTCCAATTTGGTGCCGTTTGGGTGAAACTGGATGGGCAATTATGTGTCACAGGCTATTGAGCCGGCGGAGCGAGTGCTTTGTTATTTCTTGGTGAAAATTATAGCTGTCGTCTTTGATTTTTACAGCAGTGCAAGCTGGGGAGAGAAAGAAATTTCTACTAAGGGGGTGAGCGATGGTCAAAAGAGGGGAGGGGGTGGGGTAACACTTCAGGCACGGTGATCGCGAAAAAGTGTACAGACAGGATTATAACTGTACAAATAATGTCTTTATTATAAAATATCAACTGGGGAAATATACATCTCTCTGAAGCTATTTTGAAATATTATGAACGAATACCCCACTTGCGTAAAGTACTAAATTTGAAATGTCACTGAGTTATGTAATTTTGAAAATGTTTGAAGTTTTTTCAACAATGTTGCCCATGAATCAAGTTTAGTAGGGCCCGCATCGACTTGACGTAGCGATTTGAAAGTACCGAAAGTAACGCATTATCCTATAAATATCTTGACGGTTGCTTTTTGAAACATATGCATGGGCAGTGGTTATATAAAAATAGATAATTTATGATTCAGTTGAGGTCTTGCATCGAGGTAAAAATTATCCGTTATAAAAATATTTTCTAATTCATTTTTACACCTGCTTTTTAAAAATCCAAGGACACGACACTAGTCCTAAAATTAATACGAATGAAATAGCAACAAACAGGGCACCTTTAAGAATTCTGACCTCAAACATACAAATAAAGCTAGTGAATTCTCTTTAAGAAGCGTCACTGACAAGTCTTAGGTCATGTCCATAACCAATACTTAATTTTTGACAACTGACGGGATTTCTGAAGCCTGGGAGCAAGCCCTCATTATGAGCGCTTCAGCACGAGCATTTATTCGCCCGCGGGAGAGCATCGCGAACTAGCGAGAGGTCTTTAAGGGATCTAGAAATGATAATTTGTGCCTGACCCATGGTAAACCTAGCCTCTCCCCGTCTCTTAAATCTTCCCGCCTGGCGAAGAAACGCACGTCCTGCAGCACTGATGAGGGCCTACACGCCAGCTAAGATTGCTATCACAACTGTCTTTGTGCAACTGAAAACGAGTTTAGTCGAAGATCTCAAACTCAACTTTTGGGACGATTGCGTGACAGGTGAAGCATGCCAAGGCGGAATGCTAACTTGGCAACCTGGTTGCGCATATTTTTTTTTTGTTCGACCCTCTCTCTCCGTATCATAAATAATTTTCAAAAAGGGAGAAAGAAAACCACGTATATAAATTAAAATACATGTTACAAAGTTTAGCGGACTTTCTTTGTGTGTTCCAAGGCAAATTTCTTAACTTCTTCCATAATTCTCAACCTCGGACCCAGTGGAATTCCGAGGCCTTGTAATCGTTCTTCTGTCATGTAGGCCACCTCCAGAATGCCAACTTGTTCGGCTTCAAAGTTGTCTACAAATCTCTGTTGGAACACGAAGTGAGAACATAGTTAATCCTTTGACCCCAAAGAGTGATCGTCATCTAATTTCTCCTTCAAACATCACCCCTGAATCACAGATTTAAGGTCATAAGAATAAAGGAAACCATCACCAACTAAACAAGCTCTTGATTGTTACACAAATTCTCCTTCCCAGCACCTCAGGAAATGTGCGGAGAACAGTATGGAGAATATACATACTGATATTAGGGTGTAAAGGGTTCAGACGAATGAAATGACGGATTGGTTGTGGGAATTTTGACAATCGTGAATGAAACTACTGAATACGGCAATATATTTTGCTGGAAAACGAATAAGCACCGCATAGTTTGTCGACACACATATGGCTATTTTTTATTCCCTATTGCGATTTCAAAAAGGAGAGCTACTTAAAATAGGCCAAAAAATGTTTCTATAACGATACAGCCTTCAAGGAAATTCAGTCTCATTTCCCCGGACTTAAATAAATTCGTGACGTTCCGGCGACACAAAAGACTTTCTTACATATTGACCAATTCCTGAATGGCCAACTCCGGTTACGTATTTTTTTTGGCGTACAGGAATTATAAATAAAGAAGTTTTTCCACTTCTTTGAATACGTATCACGTAACTCGGAAGAGTGGGTTGCAATAAACAGCGTTTTTCATTGAATTTGTGGCTACAAAAACTTAACCGTAAATACAGTTTCATATACGAGACAGCGATTGTCACATCAAACAGTCGATCGATGATGTGTATGACCCAAAGAGGCCAGGGAAGGACCTGAGTTGAGTTCACCTTGTTGCGTTCTTGGGAAAGACACTTAGCTCCCGCAGTATCCACCCTGAGGTTAAAATATGTCCTGTTGAACTCTAAGGGAATCTTTGGAAAATGGACTAATATCCCAACTAGGAGTCGTGGTATTACTTCTGACAACACCATGACTCAGAAACCAGAAAAACCTCCGACAACAAAGTATTCTACAGGCTCGTGTCGCTAAAAATGCACATTTACGTCACGAGCCGTCACTCGGCGTTATTACGCATTACCTCATATCCGAGCTTCTTCAGAAAGAGTGCGAGAAGAGGAGGATCCTCACCGAAAAAGCTAAAAAAGACAAAAACAGAGGCTATGTTAAATATCCTTCAGATCACTTACAAAATTGCACGTTCCTTATGTTTGGTTACCAACCAGGAATAACGTGAGTTCAGTACAAAACGGTATTTAACAAGTTAAAACGTTTTCTCGCAAGAAAAGGAAAACCCAACTAAATCATTGAAACTACGGAAGAAAATTTTCTTCCGGCATTTTTTTTTTCTGCCGTGGTTGCTTAACCGCAAGCGCGACTTCATACACACTATCCAATTTCCCTGGTTCAGATCTAAACATAGCGAACGTGACGTACTTTCTGCTATTTTTAACAAATTCATTCGCTCATCTTTAGAGCGTTACGACGTAGTTTCAGAAATGAAGGATTCAGTCAAATTTTAAGTTGTTAAACTGTTTCGCATTAAAGACAATTTTGGTATTATCAACTGAATATATGTAAATTGGCCACCTTAAAGAGTTTCAAAGCTGACGTTTCGAGCGTTCGCACTTCGTCAGACGATTCGCTCTGACGAAGGGCCAACAATTTACATTTTCGACTCAGTTAATAATATCAAAATTATCTTGTTCAACTCCCCCACCGACGCAACATCACAGTTGCTTTAAAAAATTTATCCCCTTAATGTTTCGCATTCAGCCTCTTCTCTATGACGACAATTCAGTTTCAAAGAATGTTCAATAACTTAATCGTTATGCGTCTGAATCGTGTCTGGTATGGTAAGATTCTGGTATATCGAAGTTCCATTACATATATTCTACCGGCAGTAGTTAAGCCGCATGAAAGGATATTGTTCGTTTTAAGCATTTCATTAAATTAGTAACTTACAAGAGAGATCGTAATGAGGGGACCTCGACAGGATCGACGCGCGCTATCGGATCCATATATAGTAATTAGAATGTAAAAATAATTATAACAAAAGTAAAAAAACAAGTCTTAGATTTGCCATATCTGAAATGTCTATCTGAAATGTTGTTTGTTCATTGGTTCCGAATTCTCTCATCTCCTCAGGATATTGAGTCCAGTCATGAAGGGAAATGTAGAAGGGAGGGGAGGGGGGGGGGAAGGGAAAAAGAGAAACTGGCCTCACAGGGATGTTTGTATATACCGCGAAATTAGTCTTAAAGGATTTGATATTTCAGGGCTAAAAAAGCCCACTGTAGAAATAAACTGTCAAGAAGTACCTTTTAAGTTTTTTCACTCTTGACTGCAGCTGGGCGCTTTCCTTGGCCGGGTCACCCTCCTCTTTAGTTTTGAGCTGTTGGTCTTGTACTTGTCGTCTCATGTCGTCCACATCCTGACTGAGCGAAGCTTGTGAACGTAACTCTGATGACAAATGAGCTACACTTCTGGCGAGAGTGACTACGTGTGATTCTAAGCGACCAAATCGCTTGTTTACTGCCCTGTTGAAGGAAACGAATGAGGATATTCAGCTAGGCGAACGAATTACTTCTCTTCTGATCCTTAAAGTGAACATATCCAACAGGAAAGTACAAAAAAGAATCTTCTAATTGCAGAAAATGGAAATATTTCTATATTGTGGCAAAACCAGATGAACCATAGAGAGCAAAAGTTCGATTCTTGCCGTTTGCAGTTCACGTAAAAAGCGCTTCTAAATATCTCTACTGTGGCTTGATATGTTTACCTAAAGTTCGTAACATATACCTTTTCTGCTCTGGCATTCTATGATGTTCACGCAAATTATGCTTACAAGAAATGCCAACCGTAAAACTCTTGCCAATGAAAGCGATAAGACGGGAAAAACTCTGTCTAAATTCGTAACCATGGTGACGTCAATAGAGGCCCAACGCATACCTTACTATAAACCACTTGACGCCAACAACTCGAGTGGTTTCCGTTAAAAGGTTTTTGTTTTTAATTCATTTTGTTTTTGTCTATCCAGGAAAAAGGTTTTTCTTAATACTGAGAACGGCAATAAAGTTAAGAAGGCTCTGAAAATTGGCCTCAGAATTGTGTAAAAATATTGTAGAAAAGTTTATTGAAAGTAGGAAAATGATGGTCAAAAATGGGGCCTGTTTGACCTCTCATTCAATTTCCATGGCTTCGTCCTCCGCAAATTACTTGCTTTTTATTTAGAGCCTCACAAATACGCACTAAAATATATTGGTTACATTATTCGTGTAGTTGTGAAAGAATATCAGAGATGATAAGCCAGTATCTGATCAATTATAAAAAGCCATCTCAGCCATGAGTATATTGAGTTTCAAATAGTTCAAATGAGCACACATGGCTCTGTACAACTTCCTAAAACGACAATGTCAAGCGCAATAAAAGCAATGAACACCTAAGGCGTTTGTCAGCAATTTCTAAAAACATATATCAAGTCATGTTTTCAACAAATTAATGTGCTTTGTTTCCTCGGAAACGATGCTCTTGAAAGCTATATTGGAAACTCAGACAGGCTCTATTTATAAAGAATGCAAACACTCCGACAAATGAATAGGCAAAAACACTATATTTAAATTGAATATCGTATAGTTTTCTTCTTTTTTTATATTCTTATTATTTGTCGTTAACATGTTAAGAACATAACTGGGTAAAAAAACGCGACACTGATGGAACGAGGTTCTGACAACTTTTTGACCTTTATTTCGACGCGGAAAAAGACTTTCCAAAAAAAGGAAGAAAGTGTAAAGTTAATGACATCAAATGATTCTCATTTCGCCTTAATTTGTATTGTAAGCATCTTTGTAAAATTCAGCGGGTTGTTAGAAATTTGGTGTTTCTTTAGTGGATTAGTGCACAACTCCGATGAATTTCCTTCTATCAAAATGCAACCTTTCAGTCACAAAATAAGTCAATAACAACATGAGATAAAATAAAGTAAAGAACCCAAATTAATCATGAAATTTGGGAAATGAAGCGTTACGTTGCAGCGACATGGAGCGGAACCACGTCATATCAATCCATGCATGTCACACGACGTAAAAATCTCAATTCATGTGAGACAATTTTTCCGGAAAAAAGGCCTACAAATTCAAACTTGTTTGAATTCGTTCGATGTTTGAATAAATAAAATAAGCCTCTGTGACTTGTTTCCTGCAAGAACCTAGCGAAACAATTCATCACAGAGGCATGTCGAAGCAACTTTTCCTCCACAATGTCCCAGCCTTAAATCTGGGGCTTCCCAAATTTCTCATAAAATCTTAATCATTCTAGAAATGAAAATTAGCCTTACTTGATGTCTTTGTTCCTCTGTTTTTTATAACTCGTCAAGCTAGCTGCAAAAAAAAAATGCACAGGGCTAAATATATTAAAATTCAAATACTCACAAGGCAAACTCAATGTTTCTTAGCAAGAGATTTTGAGTGTCTTTGAAAGGAGCGCTAAAATCGTAACTCGCTTGAAGAGGAATTGTATCATTAGCACCTGTGGTTACGTTGTCTAGTCTTGTCTACATCTCGCTCTCTCAGACTGCATGACGTAATCGACACGCAACTCTCAGATTGCGTGACGAAACGTAACAACGGCTTCGCTTGCCTGCAAGACGCGGGTTACTCCACCCGCAGGAAGACTCTTACGTTTCCGCGGGCGAAGAAACACACGCGCTGAAGCGCTGCTAAATGAGGGCGTGGTCGCAGGTCACGGCTGCGCAGAAGCGCTTTGTAACGAATCTCCATAATGCCCAGTTTAACGGAGCCCTAGTTGGATGAGTTACAGCTGAGGACACCCACCCTGCATTGCAGCTGCTCTTTGGCTGAATTTATTGCTGGACTTTTTAGAATCCTTGGATTCAACATCCTTGCTATTCAAGATCTCACTGTACATCTCCTCTAAGAATTCCAGCTGCAGATGAAAAGATAAAAAAATTACGCAAACCACCAGAATAACATCAGAACAACCAAGTTTACCGCTCCTATTTGCGCTGAACATTCCATCTAGTTTAGCAACAAATCTTCCGTATGTTAACTTCGTTAAAAGTCTCACTTAAATGCAAACAATGTCCTCCAAAAAAATACCTGTGTACGAATTTCTTGCAAATCTGGAGTACTCTTTGCTTTCCCTGTAAAAGGAACAACAGAAACAAAACAGGTGAACGACGCTCTTTACTTAGAGCTAGCTCCTGACGAAAAAGATGGAAGAGTCCTTGAGATTTCTCAGTTGATATAAAAAATTAAAACATGTCCTGACTATGTTGATCAACCTTCTCATAAGCAAAATTTTCTTCAAATGAATTCGTAAGCAGCTGATTGCAAGTAATGTATCGTAAGTAACGTATTGTTGGTGATGTGTTGTGATAGAGTTTATGTATTGTAAGTAATTCATGTCGTAAAAAAGGATTTATATATACAAAGTTCTTCAAATGAGTTCGAGGCAGAAAGCGGCATGAAGGGACTTCAAGCAAGGTCATCCCACTTTGATAGAATGCTGACCAATCACAGGTTACTTTTAAGAAGTTTGAATCCATTTATATTCCTTGGTAAACAGGGGCACCATGAGGATAACCTTCTTGTTCTGCACGCAAAAACCAAAATTATCAAATCATGGCTTAATCGCAGACTATTGAATACAGAGTTCTGCGTGCGCTCACCAAAACTGACCCATATTATCTGCCAAAAAGGCTAAAAAGATAAGGGAATCACAGAGAAACAAACCTGACGCCAACGAGTTTCTTTTGTCTCTCCCACCTCTGCTTCTATTTGAGGAAACGGATGGACGTCTCCGCCAACGACGATTTTCTTCTTCTTCATCAGAACTTAAACCAGATGAGTCTGATTCACTAACAAACACAAACGTGCCCACTGAAGATGCGGGTGAAAGAGTAGGCAGCATTGGTGTCTCTGCTGGAGACACAGACTCTGATCCAGAAACAGTTGGCGTCGTCGATCTATCCGCCAGCTTTTCAGCGACCTGTTTCAAAAAGCTTGACCGTGAATTTGTTCTTTGGAAATTCTTTGGTGGTGTGCCTTCACCCTTAACAAGCCTCTTAGCATGGCCACTTTCACTGTACGTGCTGTTCTCGCCACCGGACCTCTCCTTTGCTCTTTGCGTTTGTGGCCGCGAGGCCTGTACTTCGGATGCAACAACTGTTGCTCTAGTTGGTAATCCTACAGCAGTTGCCAATTTTCGGTGAAATCTTGGCGATTGAACCGGCGAATCGGACTCGAGCCTTGTCTGTCTTTTCAGTGGTGCTGCTGGTAATTTTGCTCCTCTGTCAAAGAAAAGATTTCGGAAAAAAAAAACGTGAAAAGAGTTTAATTATTCAAGGAGTTTTTGAAGCGAACAAGTGAAAGGGAAGTACCAAGCAGAGCCCACTTCTACTAGTTATCGTACAACCAACGCCATAGTGATAAAAACCACCCATCAGAATAAAGAGTTAATTCAGAAGGAGACAATCATTAAAGAAAATAAAAGCTACCAGGGTTAAACGTGGGGGAAAAAAGCGAGGAACTGGGATCATTTGCGGAGCTGTACAGGAATAAGCTAGGACTGGTTTTGGTTTGGCATCTGATTGGTTAAGAAACTGGGGCGGGTTTTCTTAAAACCATTTCCATACCGTAGTTAATAAATCAATTGATTCCAAAGTAAATCTCCACATTTAAGTGCAACTGTTTTTCGCAAAAAAGACTCAGATATTGTATTACCTTTAAAACCTTCAGTTATATATCATTTACCTTGCAGGTTTACCGCTGCCTGTGAAACTGCTAGTCCTTGCTTGACTTCGCCCTCTCTGAACATTTCTTGTCTTTTGTGATGGGTGACTTGGCTTAAGATTGAAAATTGTTGAAAAGTTCAGTTGCCACTCAGACTATTGCAATTTAACTCCGACTTTTCAAAACCGCGGATAATTAAAACCAGTTTCCTTTAACCAGGACGTTGGAAAAAAATCGGGTCATTTCTGTATGAGATAGCTACGTGATAGAGTTTTTTTCTTTCCACTCTCCAGCATTGTGTTAACAAATAACACACAAAAAGTGTGTAGGCGATACATAAAGTGAATTTCAATTCCTACAAGAATGACTTTTCCGCCGGCCACTGTATTTTGGAGAAGACATGCGAATTTGCTTAGCCAAATCGTTAAAACTTTCTACAGTACTTTCTGTTGGTCTCTTTGTGGAAATGATTAAGACAGCCTCCAGCATGATAATGCCTTATTTTGGTAACTGCTTTCCTTTGGATTCATTACATTAAAGATTACCAAACAATGACTCTTTAGGTAACAGAATAAATATCATTTTCACCAAATATATCAATTCCACTTGGACTTACCACATAACCAATCCTGTCAAGCTCCTTCAAGCCACTAAAGTCCTTTGTTTTCATCTCCATATCAGGTTTGTCTTCCTCGGCGACATCCAGCAACGACTGCAGTCTTCTCTCAACATCACCATCGTCATCATCATCATCATCAAAATGATTTCCCTTTGGTGGCGGTGGAATTATAAGCTCTTCCTCAGTTTCCTGTCAGGGCAAAATTGAGGATTGGGGTAAATATGAGTGCAATTAGCTCTGTTTCCTCGGCGCGAAATTTTATAGAACTTGACATGATTATTCCTCGAATGGTTTCAAACGTCGTAGAACTTAATCCCTCGGAAAGTCTCGAACGCCTCGAAACTCGACTGATCAATTTCTCGAACAGGCCCGAACGTCTCGAAACTTGAATCAAGCCTCGATTTTTGAGGGACTATCAACTCACAACACAAAGTCATAGCACCATAAATTAAAATAAATGTATACTTCATTGGTTCAATTTGTGTTCTGACCTCTCCAGCCTGTCCTCCAGGATTTGGAGAGCTCAACAATGTCTTCAGTCTTTCTTCCAATGAAATGGTTCCGTTTGTGCGAATCTACAAGATAATCGCAAAGAGAAAAGATCAGACAATAAAAAATCCCAAAATCTTCAAAAACGCTACACAATGTAAGTGAAAAAAAATCTTGGCATCCAGGGTTGGTCATATTAACCACAATCGTGTAATGCGCTTCTTTCGTCAAGAAGATAAATGACACTCAGTAATTCCTCCAAAACCATCACAGAACCTTTGATGATTGTTTATTGAAAAAAGGACAAATGGTATTCACAGAACGTCTTCATGTACACTCACTTGTGGATTCTCACTAGTCTGTAAGACTCCTCTTTTGTTCAATTCTGTTCGGCTCTGCAACACAATTAAAACAGAATGTCACTTCTTACATGTTGACAATTTCCCAATCAAATAAATTATGGCACAACCTGAAGCCTGTTGTTCATATGTTGGAAAAATTTCAATCAATTGAGATTTGTAAGTTTGACTAAAACCATTTGCTTGTTTGTTTTTTGACAATCTTAAATAATAATACCATTATAACAACATCAGAGGGTTGCACAATTTTCCTGGAATGATCGTCATGACTGTCAAGCATTCCTGGCATGCGGAACTCTTGGAATGGGGCTCCCTCGCTCTTCTTCATGGGAGATGCATCATCTGAGTGGTATCCAGAACTGTTCCCATGTAGTCGAGGATCCACATCATAACCTGAAGCAGCCACAATGGAAGGAAAGCTGAGACTGATGCATGCTATTTGTACATGAGATTTATTTCATAAGTCACTTGTTTTGATTCTAGGGATTACATTCTGCATGAACATGGGCGAAGGACCACAAAAGCACACAATCAGATGTTTGCCACATTTTGCCAAACAGGATTGAAGAGGTGAATGAAAGTGATCCTTGCAGTAATGTGCACTACTTGAGCAGTAGTGAATATCAGGCCTGAAAAAAAATTCAGGCCTGTACAGGATTTTAACCTATGACCTCTGCGATACCGGTACAGCGCTCTACCAACTGAGCTAACAAGCCAACTGGGAGCTGGTCATTATGTTGGTTCCAAATAAACCCTTGAAGTGATGAATGACGGCTAAGAACATATGAAAGTCATATATTTGAACTGTGGATAAAGATGTGAATGAAAGTGATCCTCGCAGCAATGTGCACTACTTGAGCAGTAGTGAAAATAAGGCCTGAAAAAATATATTCTTAGCTGTTCAGGATTGAAGAGGATTGAGAAATTTTGAAAGCCTTCCACGTTTTTTCAATGAAACACCAAAACAAGTTTGGTACAAGAAAGTCTGGATCAATGTTATTATCTGAGCAACTATGCAGCTACCCCTCCCCTAGCTCAACAACAGTCATATGATAACAAGTTACTGAGGGTTAACATTGGATTAATCTGGATCTGGATCTGGATCTAGTCTAGATCAATGTTATCATCTGAGCAACTAGGCACCTACCCCTCCCCTGGCTCAACAACAGTCATATGATGACAAGTTACTGAGGGTTAACATTGGATTAAGGAAGGGGATAGTTGAACAGTTGCTCAGATACTGTCAATGATCTGAGAGTCTTAATATAAGCCTCTGATAAATGAATTAAATCTATACCCCATGACATAAACTGGGTTGTATAGAAGAGCCATCAGCAAGGAAACTTCCCCCCTCCCTATGAAGAGTTTTGCCTCGCTACTTAATCATCAACCAATGATAATCAGAAATGACTCACAGTAAATATTGACAAATTTGAGTTTCGAGTTTTATAGTTCCTATCTACTAAAAATTGAGATCCAAAGCTGAGTAATTTCTGAATGCCTGCCACCCAAACAAAACTTATGAAAACCCAGGTAACATGAAAAGGTTGTCACAGGGAATTAACCTACATACAATTAACAGAGGCATTCCTAATGATACCCAGATCCAACTCCAATTTTTCAGAACTGAATAGCAAATTATTTATTGAAACTAGTAACGGATGGTTATAGGCAAAATATGCACCAAGGAAATCCTCATTACCCCAGACTAACTCATGATATGCACAAGGATTTTAAAAAATAATATCACAATTACCATTTGTCAAAGTATGTTGAGGTGCTGTGCCATTCATCAATCGGAAATCTTCCTCCTTGGTGGATCCAGAAGAGCCTGGGCGTGGCCCATCAGGAGACACCCATCCTCCCTACAGTAAACAGAAGTTCAATCATACAAGCTGTGATAAATTAACACTCCCATCTGGAGATTTCATTTTCTAATTGGTCTGTCAACTCTAATAGCCCTTTATATCCCAACATCAGTTTGCATATTCTCCATACTGCTATCTGTACATTTCCTAAGGTGCTACCAAGGAGAATCTCTTTAATAATCATGAGCTCCTTTAGTTGGTGATCATTTCCATTATTCTCATGACTTTGGTGTTTGATTCAGGGGTGATATTGTAAGGAGAAATCAGATGGTGGTCACTCTTAGGGTTCAAAGGGTTAAGAAGATAAATAACAACACAAGCTCTAATTGCTTGCATTCACAAACCAAGAGAACTGTCTCTGAATTCAGCCACAGCTAGCAACCATTTGGATCCTTCAGGTTTTTCATTGCAACTCTTCTTAAGGCAGACATGGCCCTAACACAGGCACTCAACAGCAGAAAAGGGTATGTCTAGGAGTCAGTTGACTGTGGAAAACTCACCTCAAACTGTGCTTTGATATTTCTACAGAGATTCAGCACAGATTTCACATTACCATCAATAAGATCTAAAGAAATAGAGAGTAAGAATTAATAATGATAAATTTAGGATTTCCCAATTTTTCTGTTACTACCAGTATATTAAAATACTAAGAGTAAAAGTACTTCTACCTGAATAGAAAATGATCTCTTTTCATAGTTTGAAATACTTTCTAAAACATCAAAATTTTATTCATTCTTAAAGAATCCACATTAAACAGTACATCAACTGGATTTTAGCATTTGCACTTCCACAAGGTGGCTCTGGGTCCACTGTTTAAAGATTTAAATGGAATATGTAATGTTGGTTTCTGCAGAAGGAGGAAAATTAAACCCCCCCCCCCCCCAAAAAAAAAAAAAAAAAAAAGCCATAACAAGGATGGAAACCAACAAGAACTCAATAAAAAAAACAAAGTTGCCTTTAATGTTAATAAAACAGCAAATTAAAATAGCAACAAGAAAGTGTTCCTTACCTCCAACATAGATTCCCTGTAAGTTTATATTCCTGTTTCCCATGAAACTCATGCATAGCTGTAGATTTTCTAGTTTTTGTGCCCTAGTCACTGGACGTGCATAAACCCCTGGGATCTTCTGACCAGCTGAAACACAAAAAGATGATCAGTAAACCTACTTTAAAACTACATGCAGTGGACAGCTGAACCATGAAGAAACAATTTGAAAATGTTAAAATTCCTCTTTCTGTGGATTGCATTGAGAGACCAAACTTTAAATTTTCTTCCAAAAATTTGAGGTCCTGGGAGCCAACCATTGATGATTTTAGTTCAATAATAATTCTCTTTGATCCTGAGAAAGTTTAATGCAGTTTACAAGAATGTTTTAACTCTCACTATGAGCATGTTACTACCAAGTATTGATGTTGAAGTATGAACACCATGGCACTCTCTGAATATATCATATGTGGAGGACAAAAAATTATTTCATGTTGACCAGGGAATGACATCCCAAGCCACAAACTACATCATGTTGCTAACATTTGTACTAATAAGAAACTGTGTGTTTAATGTTACAGCATGAAGTGTATGGGTTTCACTTCTGGACAGAGTTCAAGAAGAACTTGTTTAATCTAGTAAAGCAAGAATACCTGCCATAAACATAAAATCCACTGAGAAAACATATTTTACTCACAGAAACATGTTTAGTAAAACAGTATTTTGTTTAAAAAGTCTCAAATCAAGACAGAACATTGAATTAACCACAGATTACTGACAAAAACAGCAAATCTTTTCCCAACACTTAGTACAGTAACATGTCAACAAACATGGATTAGATAAACCAAGGATTCCAATATCACTAACATCAAAGTGAAAAACACAACACATTTACTTCTTCGTTTCTGCCATTTCAGCATTTTCACATGATCAAAGCAGTTTCAAAAACCCATCACCAGCTACACTGAAAACCATTTCTTCACTGCAATAAGAAGTCCTGATGCACCATTTGATAGACAAAAGTAATACCAATGTGAATTTGACAAATATGGCATACTCCAATGAATTTGTATAATGCCAGAATTAGTTGATGAGAAATACAGTGATTGTTTAAGTGTTTGCAGACAATACCATTGGGTTGATGAGTTGACAGTTACACACTCCATAGCAATTTCAGGAATAAACCAAGCACATTTACTACATGTAGATGCCTACATATAAGGCTTCCCAAAATTTGAAATACATCAGGATAGCAATGTGATATTTCACAGCAAAATCAGTTCACTCTGGTTTCATTGGTAGAAGAAATTAATCATCACTAAATATATTAGCTTTTCATTTTGCTTATTTGGTGTCAAGCTAATAAGTGAATGTAAAAAAAGACAAAGGACTGGCGCATTCTTTGAATTATTTTTGAACAATAGCTATCCATATTTGCATATTAATAACAAGTGGAATTATTGATATTAAAACCTCTTTGAGTGACAATAATTGTGATAAATTTATCCTTTAGATTGAGTGAGAAGCATCATAATTTTCATTAAAATAGCAACATTGTAATGAGAATTGTGAAAACCATCAACAAGGAAACATCATTGTACTAGTAAATATACCACATCAAATGAACGAATGGTTGGGAGTTTGCAACATAAAGCAGACCAAACTTGACTTGCCAGAAATGGGAAATACCATCATCACTTAAGCGGGTCGTAGTTAAATAAAATCTACTGTTTCTTTACACTTCAACTGTCAAAATCTGAATGGTAATCCCCTCTTCTTGCTACAATATATTTTCATTATGAATTAGTTTATGAGATAATTTGCTGTTACATGGCGCTTTCAAGATGAAAGGGAGCTGTTCGACACTGTAAGACATTTTCTCGTCAACTTTTTCCTAAATAATGGTGGATTTTGAAGAGAGAAGTTACTAGTATATCATTTTTAAGGGATGAAAACCTTTATTCTGATTGAATGTTCTCATTTCCTGTCGGACTACCGGCGTGTTGGAGTGACTAGGTTATATGTAAACGAGATCTAATCAGGAGATGGTAACGCCATGGTTTGAGTTATTTCATCAATCCGTAATCTCCCCAGTCAGATTTGAGAGCCACTTTCTTTCATATTTGGCCCAAAACCACATATATTAACCTTCGACGACATAAACAAAAAAAAGGTGTAGAGAAAGCTTTCTTGATACGGAAATACGGGAAAAATCATTTCATGTGACGCTTCGTTCCCTGAGCGGAAACATGGACCGCAGACATCAACAATATAAGAGGGGCGATATTCGCTTTGTTTGTTTGTAAGAGTAAAACAGTCATACACATTACAAGCTACTAAGTATTGTATAATATCAATATCAAATAGCGATGCTCAATTCTTACCTAAGGTTTCCAAAACATAAACCAAAGTTTGGCCATCGCCAATCGAACGACGGATGTCGGAAATAAGTCTCCTCTTTCCTCTCTTCAACAAATTGTTAGCCCAGAATGTGTGTTCCTGCAGATCAAAATGCATAAATATTCCTTCATTGCTAAAACCAGACACCGGTAATCTAAAATCAACATTTATACACTTAATACGCTAAAAAGCTCGACAGTCTAAGTACAGTATTAAAATTAGGGCATTAGAACACAAAGGCTCGGATGGCTTGAATAAACTCAGTGAATTCAAGGGAATCTGAACTTCGGTAACTGCAAATAACAGAATGTTTTAAATGAAATCACAACGCCCGTTATGAAGTAATAATAAAGTAATGGTTAAGGACCTCGCATTCCTTCAGAGCCCATTCTCCAGTTACGGATACTTTGACCGGAGCGTTCTTTGAGTGAAATGCTGGGAATGTGGTTGCTTCTTTTTTTCCGCGCGGGATAGTGGCAGCAAACGCTTGTTGCGTTCCCTGAGCGACGGGATGGCGACTCGGACCATTTTCTTGCAACGAATCTGTATTCTGGGCAGCTGTTGCCCTTCCCAAGGAACTAGTAGGTTGCATTTCGACTTCATTTTGCCAGCTTTGCTGTGAAAAGAATAACAACGAATATAGCGTTCACTCTAAATTTAGTCTAGTTGTCAAAATGGAACGCATCGTCAAAGAGATCGTAAGTAATTGAACAACAACTAAACCCACCACTGGCTTTCCGCCAACTCCGACTTTTAACTTCCTAGAATGTCCACGGCTATGTTTTGTGTCCGTCATCGATGAAAGCTTAAGTATTCCTCCCTATAAACACATCTTGCGAAGAGAAAGTAAAAAGTGTATGCAACTTGATGTGAAGTTATGCGGTTTATTCCTCTGACGTGCGTGTCACTTTCATCCTCAAGCTATTGTCACTTTCCTATTGGCTAAGACCACTCTCATCCACTGGCAATTAACTTATTACTACGACTTTGTTGATTCACGTATTTGAGAGTACACGAGCTTGAAAATCGAATCTCTATGATTTTAAGAGCATTATTAAATCCCGTATGACTACCCAAGAAAAATATACATCTCTAATACTAAATCTTAGTTTACCTGAAGGCATGACTTTTTCGAAAAATGTAATCTATGTTTCCTGACGGGGTTATTAATTAGCAAGATTGCGTGAGGTTTCTTTCACAAATAGTAACATCTCACGCAATTATTTCTAGCAGGAACTCTTGCTAACAAGCCTGTTTGGTCTATGTTTGTGAGAAGTTTTGAAATGAAGTCGAAGTCAAAGATCAAACGTAAATTTCATAACAATAATTTGACCTCTTATCTGTAAAGTTCACTGTTTGGTTAAACAAACTCATCAGCAGTTTTAGTCATCCTACGGTTGATTCGGCGCATCAAATAAATGTCTTAGACGTGACTATGGTGCTTAAGCGAACGTAGAAAAAGAAAAACAACAATAACGGCAAAAAGCACGTATTCCGCACTGAAACACACAATAGCGTGTTTCTTTAGACTTCAATCTCAGTTTGCGTGATTTATAACAACGTTTACGTAAGGAGTCCCTGTGGGAACCTTTAGCAACCCATTCAGGTTTATCAGAGCATAAAAAGGCTATGTGTTGTTCCTTTGTTTCTTTGACGAAATCTCTGAAAATTCCACGAGATGTTTTTATAACAACTGTAACAAATAACATCTTAAATGCATGTACACCTTAAAGCTACAGACGTCACAATACCGATATCTTAAGTTGCATGCACAAATTCGATTAAATATGACCCTTTCGAACTGAATTGATTAGGATGCTTGTTTTTGTGCTAAAACAAAAGCAGTTAGAGATCGAAGAAGCAAAACATAAGTTACATCCGATCAAATGCGCGGGCTGAAGAAGACCTAAGAGAGACAGAAATATCCACAATTCTTATTTTTTTTGTATTTTTTCCTCTTTGGCTTTTGTTCGTAATACTTTTGTTTGATAAACTTTTCCTCAAAATTAGTTTTCATGATCGTTACATGAAGTTTATTTCTTTTTATGTTGTTTACTGGCGAAGAGCGTGAGGAACCGAAGAAAAAATCTGTTGTCAAAACAGCACTTTTAGCCATCTCAGTGAGTCACAAATTCTAACCTAAGGTAAATTTAAGCTGATTAGCATCCGTTTCTGGAGAGTTAGGATAGTGCTGAGTGTTTCTCGGTGCAACGCCGTAAGCAAAAGAACTTTTGATTCCGAAAATCTCTTGAAGTGCCTAATCCAACAAAAATCAACGAATTTACGATCGAAATCAATCGATTGAGTTCGATTACTGAATGTTTCTTTGGTTACGCTAGGTAAAAATATTTAGAATACTTGGAGTTAGGTCAACTCGTTTTCAGTGTTTCTATGACTAATTTATGAATATTAAGTATAGAGAAAGCGCCTTGATGAACAGGTTGGAGTGTATTCCCTTGTTATCCATCAGGATGGCCGAGTGGTTTGCCATTCACAACCAGTTTTGGTAAAATTTCCGCACAGCCCATACTACATTGTGCATTCAGTTCTTGGATAGAGAAAACAATGACAAAAACAATACATTGCCATTGGGAAAACAGATTTGTTTTACAATAGTATGGGGCTGTGCGGAAATTTTACCCCAGTTTTTTATGTAATATATTGCCTCTGGATAATTATGAATATGAGAGGGCAAGGGCTCGAGGACTTCACCGTGATTTGAGTATTAAGCATACTCTTTCAAAAGGTTAAACACTGCCCCCTCCCCCTCCCCCCTCACCATAACCATTACCACCACTACTCTCCTCTCAGTCTTAATTAGCCCCTTAAATGAATGCACTTGTTCACATAGGCTCATTGTAAATTCAGCTCAAATCAGGCAGAACAAGCTAAAAAGGGGACCATTTAGGGTTTTCTAGAGTGAATGAAGGTCTGCTGACAACAGCTGATCAGTGTTAATTGCTAAGCTTCTTTTTCTTCTCCATGTCAAATTCTACCTCATTTCTGGGAAGATTATTCCATTCATCATAATCCAATATATTGCAATCTATAAATGATAATCATAGTGTGTTCTTTATCTGCTTAGAGACATCATGTTTGAAGAAGCAGTTGCTCATATTTTCAGAGGATTTACAGATATTGTATCTGGTCTGCACATGTCAGCATTGCATACACCATCATTTTTAGACATTGCCAAGTACTTGATTATCTTCCTGGTTGGTCCTATGACTGCAGTGATTGCCTATGATCAATTCTTTCCCATCTTTGAAGGAGTAAATCTTTATTTAGTAATAGTTATTTGCACACTAATTCTACTTGTGACTCCAGCATTGTTATTTGGTTTCTTTCATTATTTTGGTGGGCATTGGTTACTTAATTGGCATATGAAAAAGACTTCGAGATATTTAGATTTTTGCAGAATGCCAAGGGAGTATATAGCATCACTGTTGCCTAAAGATACTTGGAAATGGCAATATAGACTGGTAGGAAGCTCTGCAGATCATGGATTTGGATTTTTCCCTTTGCTGAACTTAAATTCTGGGATACTCCCATGGTCAAATCCAATAATTGTGCAAGACGTGGATGTGAATGTGTTCTATAAGCCATTACATATCAGCATGGACCAGTTAATTCCCACAATGCCAGGTTATTGCCAAGTTGTCATTGATGGATTTATCGAAGATGCATTTTTGAAGGATTGTATTGTGAAAGGAGGAAAACAATCTTTTCTTTCTGGAAGACTGGTTTCACAGAAAATTGGAACAGAATTTTTGGATGGGAATATTGAATTTAATTATCCAGCAATAACATTCAAAACAATTTTGGATGGCCCTTGGGGAAAGTTTAGGTTTGATTGTGATGTTGTCTTTGCAGTCAAGATCCATGACTCTGCTGCAGTATTTTACGATTGGTGCTGGCGAGTGGAGGACACTTTCCCACTGCAGCTGCTTGACAGAATCAGAACTGGGGGATGCTATGTGGTTCACAAGCATTGTGCAGGGAATCACTTATGCCATGACTTTGATTGGCGAATTACATTTGCACAGGCTGAGTCTGAACTCTTTGAGTATCATTCTGACAAGGCAGCCTTGAAACTGTGTTATGCAATTATCAAATTTGCAGTAAAGCAATTTAGCCATGTAAAAAAGAGAAATTACCCTGCTTTAAAATCCTATCATTTGAAGACAGTTATCTTGTGGATTGCAGAGCAAAGTAAAAAACTTCCCTATGATATGTTTACAATTGACAATAACAAAACATTAGGAGGACTTTTACTCCATATCATTTCAACATATAGACAACATATTTTTCAAGGACATTTAGAGCACTATTTCATGAAAAATATCAATATATTGGAGCCCTATGGAGTTGAAGAGTGTACTGCAGCAATGCAACTGTTAGATGAGTTCAAAATGAAGCCTCTGGCTATAGTTTCCAATTTTGACAATTGCAACATGAGCCGCTGGAAGTTTGATCAGTTTTTTATCATCAGTCTCCTTGTTGTAGTGGCGTGCCAATGGTTTAACTTTTACTACTCAAATGTGGGAATAATATTTGAGCCTGTAAGTGTTGTCAAACAAATTTACTGGATATGTGGTGTATTTGGCATCATACTAATTATAAAAATACTTCTGGATTGATGTTTATATGTGGACAGAATTAATTTTTCAATTAATTTTTCAGCATTCTGAAGGAGTTTGGATCAAAGATATCAAAAGGAGTATGGCAGGATCCCCCCCTTCGCCCTACACTATCCACTTAGAAAGTATGTTGGTGTCTTGAATTTTTGTCTTCAGAAACAGGGTCGATTTCACGTTCATGATATTTAATAATCTCGTTATGTTGTCAACTTCCACAGATTAAGAAATAAAATTTCTCGCACTGCTTTTAAGAAGAGGGGGATCATTCCACTACCTGTGTCTTGCTCCATCGATTTCTAAACACGCACACCCAGAGCTGTAAGCACTGAAGAAGCTTTGTTGTTTTCCAAAAAAAACCTCCACACTGCGGGTTTTTTTGTCTTCGGATCCTCTTCTTTTTGTCAAGCATGTTTTGGAGTCTTTTTTTCACGATGTGTGATTTCTATTTCGTTTATTTCCTTTTGAGATTCCTCTTTTTTTACATCTGTCCACTTTCGCGAACCTATCCGGTGATCACCTGTTGTCATCCCAAAGGAATCTTGAGCTTTGGAACACTGTTTTCCTTCTCTTTTTGTGCGCTGCTTCTGACATTGCACAGCTTCAGCCACTGCTTTGTATTTCAGGCTTGTAGACGGTCGAATCCGTATCAATATGTCTCCTCCTTCTAACATACTGTGACTCGTTGTGTTACGGCTTTTAACAGAGTCGACATACCAAAAAGTGGGGAGCTTGGACTTCCCTCCATATTCGCCATCTGCCATATCGATTGCTCTGTTTATCTGGCGATATTTCATCGGTTCTTCATTCCACGTTGCGGCCCTTTCGAAAGGATTGGCAATGGCACTAGGAGCACTGGGGTGCAGTGCGCAAACATAAATGCTCACCCAACTGATAGGTTTTTGAGCGGGAAACAATTCTCGCTGGGTGACTTATTGAGAGCGTCTCGTGATCTTTTACGATAACACTGTATTCTTCATATTCCTCGAGATTGCTGAAAGTTTCTGTGTTCGTCTCTGGACCGCCCGAGTCGATAGTGGTGTACTTCTACTGCTGCTTAACATTCACCTCAGACCAGATAACTTCGAATTGCGTCCTAAGAAAAAGTGCTTTTCTATTAGTCTTTAAAGGAAAGGTAAAATGCAAATCAACACTCTTCCACAACGCGAAAATGGATCGAATCGCTCGATAGCTTGAGCGGGCAGAACCAAGCAAATTGCATGTCGGACATTCCATGTGCCCGATAAACTAGAATGCGAACCTATATAACACTTGAGTATGGATGTAAAGTAGCTTCCTGGTTTGAACATCTTGATTAAAGTGACCTCAAAGCCTAGTACACTTACAGATATCTTAAAAAAATAAAAAAATAAAAAAAACGATAGCGCGCACAAAGATGCGAGTACACACCCCTTTACCCGAGAACTCAGTACTATCGATCCATTTTCGAGTTGGTTGACCAGATTTGTACTCTTAGCGGATCCTTGACGGAGCACGAAATATGAACGTGAGGAGTTCGGTTCCTTACTAGAACTCAAATTTTCTCTTCGTTCTACGTTCTTGATGAAACGAATTCCACATCTTTTTGTTATTTACTTGTTCTTCACGCTGGAAAAACGTTTCCTTCATTACAGAGCCATGAGTCACCTCAAAGACACGAGCGTAGGGAAACATAACTCTCACTTAATGTTACATAATAATGATAATAGAAAAACAACATTTTAACTTATTACTTTAATTCCATAATTTATAGACCTACACCTGCCAGTTTTCTTTCTGATTTCTTTCACAGGTTAGCTAGAAAGTATTCGACTTTATTTGTATCTTTTCAGATTGATTTCATCACTAAAATCGTTCTATTTGACATTGAAAAGGAGACAAGGCTCTCCATTTTCTTTCATTCTTCCATCGAACTGCTTCTCTGAAAAGACAATTTTATCATCTACGTAACAGTAATTTCTTGTTGTGATTTTCTTAACATCGACCGTTTTTCAAATAATGGGAATTTCGTTTCGCCTCAAAATTCATCTCTATTTGAAATTGATCTGGAATATTGCTTCATTATATGATCAAATCTTGATTTGGGGACTTTGATGGGAAGTTGCTAAATCAATTATGTTATAACTGTGATCCATCCATTGATGGTATTAACTTATGCTTTGGTCCATGTTGACTGATAGTTGGACCATGATTCTTCGTTGTCTCCCGGGTCCTTGTATTTAATAGTGTGTTTGTTATGATGCACTATCTCCCACTGGCCCATCCAGGGACCAATAATAGTTGTGTCAAATTCAGGATCTTCCTCGGGTTTCAATTTGATTTCTTCCTGCAAAATAAGAAATAAAAAATAACGATAAAAGGCTATGGATCACTACATCGATCGAGAAATAAAAATATTGAAAAATATTTAAAAAATCGATGAAATGTGACGAAAGAAAGGCAACATGGTGAGATAACGATGGCAATCTTTGCTTTTATTTTGAATTACGAATTCTCCCTACGAAATCCGTTCGCCATTACTAAATTAACTAGAGAGAGCTTGAACGAGAGAGGAAGTGATATCACGTCCTATGAAATGTTGAAATGATTCAACCGATGTCATTCCCTATGCCCTCGAGGGAGGAAAAGAAAGGAATATTCACGCTTGTAGCACTCTGACAGGCTCCACGCCCTACTACCTCGGTGTTTTACAAAGTAAAAAAAAACATACACCCACTTTTTTTGGTTGTTAATGTGATCGCTATACCTTTTCAAATTTCGTTTTCACGTCCTGATGACCTCGTTGTAACTCAGTCCTGTCACAAGACGCAAACTCGGTCCAGTCCACCGTGTAGTTTGGGTCCTTTGAGGTACGCAGAAGTATGTTTTCCTACAAGCAAGAGATTGATATTACATTTGAAAGCAAAAGTCAGCGTACAGTACTAGACCAGAGACAAGAAGAATGATTGGAAGAGTTGGTTGTAAAAAAAAAAAAAAACCAACAACAACAATAACATAAGGAACATACTGAGTTCAAGAGAAGATAATTTCTAAAACAAAAGTGTACTGATGAGGTTCTAAAGTGAGGCGACATTTATAGGAGAGGCGCCTGCATGAGTGTTCCGTATCCTATACATTTTACCCTAAATATCCCGTATTCTGTTAATTCCTGTGGGTTGTATCCCTATGATATCAGTTCGACATCTCTGAATCTCTATCTTAAATATCTCGTATCCCATTTTAATTTTTTTCCTCAAGTATCCCGTATCCCTTTAGTTTTTAATCCAAATAACCCGTATCCCGATAACCCCTACTAAGGCCTCTGTAAGAAATGTTATAATTCCCCTGTAGTGATTGGCTGAGACTGCCTTTTAAAGCAACTGTTAGCAGGCTTGGCTAAAACTCTACGACAATGTTGTCATTTGTATAAATCTTCGAAGTTTTATGGCCTCGTCTATCGCTCTGTATTTTTTCTTTACAACGTGAGCTACAAGGTCTCCATCTTGACATTGCCAATATACCTTGAGTCCATAAAAGCCATTCGGCTTGTCAGGTCTTTGCCATCTGAGGTCCAAACTCCAACGAATTTTGTCTGAGATGTTTTCTAAACTGAAATAGCAAAAAATAACGTTACTGTAAAATGTATGGGAAAAAAGAAACAGATACCAGTCAAAACTGATGCGATATTTAAAATCACAAATTTCTTGGAGGAAACAATACGTTACTGACAATATTGTCAGCAAGAAAGGGAAAATGTGTCGATGGGAAACAATCCGGATCGATCGATCACATTTCATGCAAAAGAAGTAGAGGTTCTTGGGTAAAATCGACTCAGATAGCTCGAATCCATGCTAACTCGAATCTCACGCCAACGAGAACCAAAATTAACTTCTGCTGGATTTCCTTAGTCTACGAGTAGTCCTTGTTTTAGCAAGGTCTATCACGCAAGTAACAAAAAAATTGTGAAAAAAAAATTATGTTTACGTGCCGCGCGGAACAGAGATCAGAGAAAATCAATATTACCTTTACACCTAGCTCCCTTAAATTTTGGTAACAGCGTGTCGGAAAATTTATAGTAAGTCTACAAGTGAAGGGAAAAAGAAGGAAAAAGAAGCACGAACCTCCTGTGAGGAACTAGATTGTTGATAAACAAAACACCACCAAATGGAACTTCACAAAGAACGATGTCTTTTTCAAAGTCCACATCTACAGAACACAAGAGGAGAGAAATAAGCTTAAAAACCCCCTAAAGAGCCTTTTGATATAGGTATAGTTAGTGGTCCTCAAGTCCTCACTTCTAACAAAGCTGTGTCAGAATATTGAACTTTCAAAAGATATGAGTAAGGGGGTGGGAGGGGGGGGTTGATGCTGTCAGCTTTGAGAATGGAAGACAAGGATAGAATCGGTCTCTCTCATGTCCAGTCCCTCTTTTACTTTTTTCATTACCCAGCAACACAGTTCCACCTTTACCTAGAGTATTTCTCATTTCTTCTTCTGCAAGGTCCACGTACCATGTACCTCCTGCACAACATGTGTGCGTTGCTAAGATACCTTTTCTATGACCTCCACGTGCTACCTTGGACAAAATGTAATACTGGTGTTTATTACTTTGTTATTATCATAGTGGTTAACTGCTGTGATAAAAAGGACAAATATCAGTATAAGGTTTTATGAGTAACCGTGATTAACAATAAAACGACTCCCACACTGTGGTCTTCTAGTTTCGTCAATCGCTCTAATACAAAAACAGACCCACCGAGTTTGTCTCCCCTCCATCACATTACAATTAATTACCATGTTTTGTCACAGGAATGTTATATTATATATCATTAACCCCACCTTTAACTCTTAGAAGTGATTAACATGTAACTTCTCCCTATAGTATATATATATATATATATATAGACTATCCAGCAAATGGGTAATGAAAATATTCAAACTTATCAGGTAGAAGTTGTTATCTTGATCTCACACCAAATTCTCATAACAAAATTACAAGGAAATGTGTTGCAACTAGAGATGAGAATGAAGAATCAGATCTTGGGAGTATAAGGATTATAGTTAATAACAGTGTGTAGGGAGCCAAGTAACCTAAACAGAAGTGCTTTTCAGAGTCAAGTGATGACTGCTCCTAGGATAGTTAAAATGTTGTTACACATCCCAACAACAGCCTTTTTCAGGACCACTCTGCCCCTCAAAAAGTAACACCACATGATTAAAAGGACCCAGTTGTTTGAAGAGGGAAGATAAAACACTTATATCTGGCAGATATGTTTCACTGCACTTATTATAGAGATTTATTCAGTGGACAGTATTATGCAGCCTTCGAAAACCATAGTTACATTAACATAGCTAATTTAATACCCATGATACCTGCATACAACCATTTGTCCTGTTGGTATCTAACATTGGAATCCATGCTGTGGGTTGAAGAACTTCACAGGCTGCTGATGTCAGGTAAGCAGAATCTGCAGACATTTTGAAAATTAGCAACCTGAAGCTGATAACTTACCACATTGAATAAGAAATCATAGCAAACCTCTGAAACTGAAATTTGGGATGATGATCTCCCAGAAAAGAAATAATTATCTCAAGAAACATAACAATTACAGGTTTTTAATGCAGTTGTCAATGAAAATAGGGGTTACTCTTTAACCTGCAGACATCTCCTCACCTTGATGCCATGGAACTGTTACTTGGGAGTTTTTAGGAGTCTGAAAAACACATGCCTATGATAAGCTACAGGCTCCTTAGAGAAAAATAATGATGCCAGAATTTCTCACCAACTTCGCAGTGGTAGGACATGCAGTGCACCAATGATCATAGCACACACTATTTACACATTAAGTGGAAGAATGTCAAATAAATAATTATACAAGATGGAAAAAAGCCACAAGCTATGACTTTCCATTGGCTGTACCTTTGTCCTCAAGTTCCAAACAGGGTGACCACCAATTTCTGGTCCAATAAACTGTTCTATGACATTCAGCAGTCTTTCATTCATCCATAAGTCTTGAAAAGCCTAAAGTATGAACATTTCATTCAACTCATCAATCACCGAAATGATGTTTCTAGTAAAGATCATTTTATTCGTTTTGGGTATATATATATATATTTATACATACATAAGTTAAAGTATTAAAGAGGACACATCGATTCCTTGTAACTCTGAGTTTTGCGCCTAAGCGCTCGTCAGACAGAACTTTTCTGTAACTTATGTATACTAAGCTCTGCTACCACAGCATTGAGCACTTTATGCCAAGGTAGACTCTACCCCCAAATTCATTTACATATATATATATATGTTTATATATATTTCCCAATAAAAGGGATAATAGTTTCTTAAGAAATTGTGGTGCTATGTCGGTGGGAGAGTATATTAGGGTAATTAAGTATTATGAACTGAGTTGATGATGTAAATTGGCCACCATAAAGAGTTTCAAAGCTGATGTTTCGAGCGTTAGCCCTTCATCAATCACCCTGACTACGGGCTAACGCTATGACTAAGGGCCATTGCTTAAAACATCAGTTTAGAAACTTTTTACTACAGTCAATTTATGTTATCATCTCAGTTGATAATGTCTAATTTAACCCTACATCTTTACTTACTTTTGGCATAATTCCATTCTTATGTAGCAGAACTGCTGCCCCTGGGAACTCCTTCTCAATTAATATCAGTCTATCAAAAAATGTGGCATTCTCGTACTTATCTGAATTTCAAGGAAAATAAAATTCATTAGCTATTAAATGATATTAAGACCCTTGAGGTCAAGAAAAATAAAAGGCAATGAAGGTTTATCAGTTAACCCTTTAACTCCCAAGATCTGATAATTAATTCTCCCCTGTAGCTGCTACACATTCCTTGTAAATTGGTAACAAGAATTTGGTGTTCAATCAAGATAATATCTTGATGGATAAGTTTGAGTATTCTCATTATCTGTTTGCTACTTAATGTACAAATGCTATAAGGAGAAGTTACATGTTTATCACTTCTGGGAGTTAAAGGGTTTATTAAACACTACATTCATTGGTTAAAAATCCTCAGAAATATGCTTTGACAGATACAGTGTTGAGAATTCATATTTAGATCTTAGCAGTAAATTTATAAGCCTACATATAAGGTCAAAAATAACAAACCAATGAAAAGAAGTTTTTTTTTTCAATAAAAGAAATGAGATGTTCAGAAGTTAGAAAATGGCAACTTAATGAATATTCATATATGCACATACATACATGCATCCCATTTTCTGATTTCTTAAAGCACCCTTGGTTCTTCTCTACTTCCTTCTCCTCCCCCCCCTCACCTTCCTCCTTCCTCTCTCTTCTTATGATATTGTAGTTTTCTCCCAAATAACTTTGTCAGCCACTCTATACAGTAAAAGCAGCAATTTTACCCTTTATTTTTCCTGCACTGTAGAGTTTTTCTGCCAGGCCATCAACTAATTCACATATAGCTGAGATGATTGGTTCTAATTCGCTCTTTTCAAAGAATTCTGGAACCAAAAGGAATCCCTGATACACAAAATAAAAAATTCATTATCAATTAACATAGTGACATATGATTATAGTGACATATGATTATACCTACATGTTGGGCCAATCTGATCAGAGGAAAAAAAGCAGTGGAAATAGATGGGTAGGGTTATGGCCAAATTTTGGGTTTTTTCATCAGATTTGATAATCTAAATGAAATAATTTTGAGAGAAATTCGACATACCATAATTGAGACAAATATCGCACTTCTTGTTTAACCTAAGGGTGTCTCCCTCTCAATTTGGAGTGATGGGAAATGAAACGAGAGATAATGATAAGTCCCATTCATGATACTCTACAGCGGGAAGAAACCCCGAAAGTAGGATATTTTTTTAACCCAAACAAGACGCTTAAAAGATAAAATCAACACAGCTGAAGTCTTGGAAAAACATGGAGTATCTAAATACTACCTCGCTGAAATACTGCTGAACTTGCTCATCAGTGAGTTGTCCCTTCTTTTGCGCGGAGCTCGACTTTTCCGGAGGATTTGTGAACAGCTCTGGTTGGGCAGAAGTGTAAGTTGGCATAATTAGCAAGAATCGAAACAACCTTAATTATAATTCCAACAATATTTCTCTGTCTACCGGATAAAAACAAAGAAAAGTAATTAAATTTTCATGTTCTATGATACGCATCACCAGAAGTGCTCGAGTCATGTGATGGGGCGTTCTGAATACGCCATTGATCATGTCCAAGTATAGATTGTCACGCAATTTTTAAACGAAAACATTTCTCTTGCATGCAGCCTTTCATCTGATTTTTTATTGAATGTATAAAACCATTTGTAACACGGTAAATATAGTGAAATACGTGTTATGGAAGGATCTCCAGATCTCCCGCCCTTCCGATAGAGAATTCCTTTATCAACTCATCTACCCTGACTTGGATGGGTGCATTGTGATTTGTCTCTGAGTGAATAACGCTTTTCACCGCGGGCTCAACGATCGTAATTTGTAAACATGGCGTAGGAGAAACACTTAGAAAGTTGCAAGCCTTTGCAATTAATTTTAAGCCAATAATGCACTAAAAATCTCACGTTTTTACCAAAATAGGGTCCTGAAATTTCATAGGTTATGGGATAGGTTGCATTTAAGCGATGGAGAAGTCACAAGGTAGGCATCGGAAACATGTTTGGTGAATGCCCAATCATGATAATCATTTAGTTTGATTTGGACCCGGTTTTTTTTAGCGCAACGGAGTTTTTACTGTTCTATACCCACTTTTCACTTTCTAAAGATTTTTCACTTTCCTTTGCACTAAAACTACACTTACTTAGGAATAATCTCTAATTTAATTATGTTTGACAAAAGCGAATGGTTGTTGTGCGCTCCGTTTGAGTAGTGGTTGATGAAATAATACTTCCTCCGGCGCAATGATAAAGTCAGACTTCCATGGAAAGACATCACCAGGCAAAGGTATTTTTGTTTCACTCTACTGGCATCGATTGCATTTCTACCAAACCATCAAGAAGTAAACTGGACCGCTTGATGACCATAAAGTTTTTAGGACAGCCCAGACTTATTTATACTGTTATCTCCCTATAAAAAATCAACAATTACCAGTAGACGTTTTGTCGGTTACGTCAGTCTGTGCACCTTAGAATATGAGTTATTTTACTCTTGGTAACTTTATGGTCAGGTCCATATTTTATTTCTCTCAGGTCTCTTTCTTTCTGGATTTGGTCTCAACTATTTTGTTTAACTTGATAATATCAATTACAACTAAGCAATTTCAAAGAAAAATCTATCGGTTTGTCAGAAATCACAAAGAAATAAATCAAAGCAGATTTGAAAAGTATTCTCAATCAGAATTAAGCTAATCCCTAGTGCTGCAAATTGGATTGGAACTTCAGAAAAAACTGTTTTTAAGTAGGTTTTTGCTGTCAAAGTGGAGGACATGGTGGGGCCTGATAATAAGTGTGCGCTATCCTTCACTTTGTTGTGGCACTTAAACTCACACTGTTCCTCTCATCACACAGGTTCCAGTTGTTTGAAGGCTGATTAGCATTAACCTAGGGTTAAATTTCAATCCAGGTTTCCTGATTTCTTTGTTCAAAAGCCTTTAAGTGAAAATTTTTTTTCATTCTTTTTAGAACATCCAATGATCAAATTGCAAGCAAAAATATTTGAACTGAATTTTCTTCTTAAGCTTTTAGACTTGAAATCAAATTTCACACTAACCCTGCATTATCTTAACCCAGCTTTGAACAACCTGGGTTAGGAGTGTAAGTGGATACTACCAAACTTTCAAGAAAGCTGGGGATAACCTGTAATGGGTGAGCAATCTCCCATTTAGGGGGATTATCAGAACTCTAACTGCTTTCATGTTAATGAAAGTGGCATAGAGCCACAAGGCTGCTTTAGACTTAGCTTTTCTTCATACAGAGATGTCTGTAAAGTTGCATTATTTTTCCTGCACAAAATCAATTCTTTTGTTGTTATTTTTGTGGCAGATTTCATTATTGGACGAGACACTATTCTGGCAGAATTAGAACCACTGAGTGACCTGCTAGATTCCCTTCCTCACAAGGCGCAGTTTGGTCCCAAGAATTTGGTTGGCCATGTGTGGGACAAAACAAGAGAACATGGTGTGAAAAATCTGTTTAATACATTGAAAGAGAGAGTGCAGGAGAATACCAAGTCAATTCCAATTGAGTACACATGTGTGGATGTATCATTTGATGCTATTGTGCTTGGTACAAATATAGGAGTCATCTTCTTGTTTGATCGAACTTGTAAGAAGCTTTCAAGGCTGCCATCTGAGGTTGGTTTAGTATTTTGTTTTGTTTTTAAGAGCTATTTCAGTACCAGTGTCCCTTTATACCCTAACATTAGTATAAATATTCACAATACTGGTACTGACAAGGAGAAATTGTTTACTTCATTACTTGGTGATCTTTCCTTTATTCTGGTAACCTTAATGTTCGATTTAGGAGGGATTTTGTAAGGAGAAATTAGATGTTAGTCTTTCTTTGAGATCAAATGGTTCACACATTTAACAAACATTTCACTCTTAGAATAATTTATAACTATAAATAAATTAAATAATATAATTCTTCAAGGCCCAGGGGTCCATGACTAAATGAGGCAACAATTGTTCATGTATATTGGGAGCTGATGATATTTTTAAAGTGGTTGAGGGTAAGGTGGTTGTCTGACATTATGCCCCCTAAATCAAAAATAGCCAAAATGGTGTTTGGTGGTTTCTGAGTTATTTTTAAGAAGTAAGAATTTTTTTTTTTTGAAGTAGATGGTTTTGGACTTCAAGGGTTACAATTGAAACACCTTCATATTGAAAGGAGTCATTGGCAAAGTCCTGACACAGGATGTTTGAAAGGGCAATAAATCCAAGTAGTTAGATAAGTCTCTCTTGTGGAGTGTGAAGAAGCTGTTTTTGGTAAGGGCATAATGTTTCCGATGCATGTTTAATAATTATTATTATATAATAATGATAATAAAAATAATATTATCTACAAGTCAGAGAACCAATTCTCTCAGAACTTATTTCAATTCTAACAGCCTGAAGTGACTAAGGTTACCAACTCCTTCCTGGTTAAAATGCCAGTCCATGGCAAGATTACCCCCTCAAATTGCACCAGGTTTGAATGACAATTTGCAGCTATCCATGAATGACATACACAAATACTCCTGCTTCATCCCCAGGAATGTAACATAATTACTCAGGTGGAACCTGGACATTTCAATGCTTAGTCCAGTGTTATGACCACCTGGCAACCATGTCTCCTTCTGTGATTACACAAAGGGTCTCTATTGGACATTTCAATCTATTGTAACTTTTCAGGTCACTCATGAACCAGCCAGATGTACAAAGCTCTTACCTACACACAGTTACACAGCTGTGGGATTCAACAGTGGTTTAGTGACAATTTTCACATTTGTTCTGGCATCACAAGGGTTTGGAAAGGTAATTTTATGATTTTAAAAAACAAAACCAAACTTGGCCTCTTGCCAGGTTAGTCAAAAACCAACCCCTTGTATTTCATTGGATTGGGGTGCTTAGCCTTTAATTTGGTTCCCCAATTGAAAATGATGGTTTGTTTCCAATGATTTTTTATTCTATACTGTTCTGGTCCATTAGTCTCGTCCCTTAGATGAGGTTAAGATTATTGAAGATGAGGCCATTTCCAGCAGTGTAACCATGTTTAATATTTCAGCAAACTTTCAAGGTGAAACAAGAATATGTATACACCACTAGCACATGAAAACATTCCCAGCATGCCCAATTAAGGCTGGTAATGCAATGTGTGACAGAACGTATACACTTTCTGTGTGAATTTATACTTCTATGTTCCCACACAGCCTCAGACAATGCATGTGAGTGGAGCCCATAACAGTCCAGTGGCCTGTTTGGAGTGGTCCCCTGATGGTGAGCTGCTCTACACTGGAGATGCATTGGGCACAGTTTTTGTTACAGTTACCAACTTCCAAAAGGTAATGATAATCAGATATTTTAAGGTAAAGTCAGTGGAACAAAGTAATTTGGTAAACGTAAGTTGGCCACTGTTAAGAGTTTCAAAGCTAGTGCTTTGAATCTTAGCCCTTTGTCAGAGCATCAGTAGAAGCTTTGGTAAGCAAGAGACTGGCATCTGGCATATTTACTTGCCACAGAGACTGTGTGGGAGAAAATAATTGATAAATTGTGAAGTTGGCTGTCAAACTTGTGACTCACTCTTTTGGCTCTTATCTGCCTGTTCTATATGGTGACCAGACTCCTAGAGTTATTGTCAGTAATATTTTTATATGTGGGTTCTGTGGGATATTAAGTTACTCTTAGGGGTGTTGTGGGTATCTTTGTTTGGATTTAACAAATTATTTTTCCCTCATCTCCAGGGTTTGACCCAGACAGCCATGATGTTCCAAGAAGCATCTCCCATTGTTCAGTTGTCTTATTCATGGGAAGCGCTTTTGATTTCATCCAGGAAAAGAACAGTTCTATGGAATTTTGGCAATGAACAGGTCACTCAGATTGGGCAGAAGGAAAGGAAAAGGTAATTAAAGTACAGTTGTAAGAGTTAAGGAATAATCACTTCTGATCTATGACTCATTCATATCCTTACTTGAGAATTCCTTAAAACATATCACAGTCAAGGGATCAAAGTGTGCCCTTTTTCATTAACCCTTTACCTCCCATGAGTGACCAAGACAGAATTTCTCCTTACAATATCAACACAATATCAAGCAGACAAGTGATGAGAATAAAGAAAAATATCAATTAGGAGATTATAAGTTGATCCAGTCCCAAATTCTCCAAACTAACATCACAAGAACTGTATGGTAGACAGTAAGGAGAATTACTGATGAGATCTTGGGAGTTAAAGGGTTAAACATCATGGAACCAAAATTATTGCAATTGGCAAAGCAGTGTTTTATCAAGAGATCCAAAATTATGGATATATAGAGTAAATTAGCCACATTAAATGGTTTCTAAGGATTAGCCCTTGATCGGAGGAAAGGGTTTCTTTTCCTGACACTCTGGCATGCTCTGAAAAAAGATTAACCCTTTAAGTCCCACCATTGACCTAGACAGAATTTCTCCTTACATTATCAGTATGATATCAAGCAGACAAGTAATGAGAATAAAGAAAAATATCAATTAGGGGATTATTGGGTGATCCAATTCCATATTCTCCAAACTATCATCACATAAATTGTATGGCAGACAGTAAGGAGAATTACTCATGAAATCTTGGGAGTTAAAGGGTTGATGCTGGAAGCATCAGCACTTAAATCTCTCTCTGGTAGCTAACTTACATTATTAGCTCAGTGGAAAAAAATAAATTATCTTGTAATGCCCTCCATCATCGCAGTACCATAATTTCTTTAGAAACTCATCCCCTTTATACAACTGGAAAATATTTGGGTTTGCTCTACCCTGCTCTGCGATTGGTCCAGAAAACTCTCACCTTTATCTCGATCAATCAGCACTGCACTGTGGGCAGTTTACTTGTTTTTCTCTTTATTATTATATTTATTTTTATGGTTTCAACGACACTCTGTCTAAACACTCTCTTAGGGGGGTAGAATGAGTTTTTTTTTTCTTGTAACCAATCAAGAACGTTATGATGCAAGGCGAATGGAATCTCGTATTGCATTTCAAACTCATTTGGGAAATTACTCTTAAAAGCTCAATGTTTTCTCTGGTTTTAGTCCTGGAAAGTTTGGAGCCCTGTTTTACCCTCCAGCTAAAAGAACTGCAGATGGCAAGTCCAAGGAATCGCTTGAAATTTACACCTCGCGGCCAGGGTTGCGACTGTGGACGGCTGATGTCAATGGCAAGGTTTCTGCTACGCTGATGTACAAGGGCTTGACAAACGAAAACCCTCCAGGTATCACCACGTTAGATCCCCCACCTCCCTGTTTAACAAAACTCCCAAAGGATTATCAAGCGCAGTTTGGCCCCCTGAGACTCTACCACGGGCAGTTCTTTGTCACATGGGATGTATCTCGCCTTTGGGTCCTGGACACGTCTCCTTGTGCTCTGGTGGGTTATCATGGTGACCTAGGTGATATTGTGGACGTCAGTACAGTAGGGCATGAGATCTACGTTTTGCAACGGGGCGGGCAGAGGCAATTGATGAAGCTGTCTCTGATTCCTAAACTGGCCAATCCTTTGTTGGATGTCGTAGCGCTGTTGGAGCGCAGCTTCAAGGAAGACGAGGAGGATGGTTTACAGCCTCACCAAGAATCTAGCGTTGAACGCAAGGATCCCAGATTACCTGAGGGAATCCCGGATGGGGTTTGTATCTGGTTTCAGTAGTGGTAGGCACTTAAGTGAGCTACCCACAACGTGTTACTTGCTGTCTTTAAAATTCTGTCGTTGTTGCCTTTTATTTTTGAGTGTCTGATATGTCCAATTTGTTTGATTTATTTTAGGGAAACGCTTCAAAGCCTCCTTCGTGTGAAACCGAATCAAACAAAGTAGAAGCAGAAACAGTTGTAGCAGCAGGACCTGACCCTTTCAAAAAATACCAAGAGATAAGGCATCAAGAATTTGGGGAAATTGTGTTCCGGAAAAACAAAAAATCAAAGAAGAAAGCTAACAAAGGTATCTTCTTGAAATTCACGAGCATAGCTAATTTGTAAGAAAAGAGTGCAAGGTCGTTGCAGTGCCATTTTTTACAAGGGACCTTTAGGCGTTTCTTTGGAAGGAGTCGATGAGAGAAATAATTCGTATATTTCCAAAGAATTTCGCGGGTGGCTCTATGTGATTACCGTCTTTAAGGACACCAGACCTCAACTTTAGATGGGAGAAGTGTTCAATTCCAAAAAGAAACAAAAATAATTCGCCGTCGTGGTTCCCTTTCTCAGACCGCGCAAATTTTATTGATTTCATGTCGCTGTCTTGCAGAGGACGCTCAGGATGGCTTAGAAATACAAGAGTTAAATGCTTTTTTCCCCTTTTGTCGCTCATTTCCTCTCGTGAGCTGAAGAAATGTATTGTGTGCATTATGGGTAGATTTATGTTCGTTGGAGATATTGCTTATGTAATCTTCTCCTCTGATTTCTATGTGTAGAACCTTTGCGAAAAACAGCGGCCCAGTCTCACGATGACGTCGAAGATCAACCAGCAGAAAATAACACACCAAGCGAACACCCTGACTTACTTCTTCCCCCAGATTCAGACAAGAACCGCAGTGACGACCTACCCGACTCTGCGTTAAATAGATTGTCAAACATCTCGTCAGATTTCGACTCTGCCGAGCGGACGAGTGGAGAAAACCAAGACTCAGAGGGAGAGGGCGGAGACAATTATACCTCGCCCCATTTGATGGTTGTTCACGTTACAAAGGAAGGGGCACAGGAAAAACATGAAGTCCGCGAAGACGTCAGCTACTCGTCTTGTGTTACACAAGAAGATTCGAGATGTCAAAATGACAGCGTGACCATTCAGGATAGTTGCGTGACTAAGGTTGAACTTACTGTTGAACACAAGGGGAACGTGACTTGGTTTGAAAATGCTGACAAATGTAGTACTTCTCCATCTTCTGCTAACATGTCCGACGAAACACTCTCGCCTGACAACAGTTTATGTATGGATTCTGTATCTCTGTCAACAAGTACGATGATCGAAGACAGTGCTGTAACCGAAGACTCCACACTGAGCCCAGAAGACTCGCTCAGCACTGATTATTTGCCGGACATTTATTCCAATACACCTGTCAATATTTCTGACGCAACTTTTTCGGATGCTTCGGTTGAGAAATCCACACGCTCTAAAACCCGGCTCGGAAACATGTCCGGCCTCGGATCCGCTTCGTCGCTGAAAGAAGGAAGTGATGTTCCAACGGATTCCGAAGGTACCCCTCCTGTCTACCTTGACCTAGAGGGGGCCGAAGAGCTCAGCGATACTGCCTCTTGGTCCCGTTATCTCTCAAGAAGGACCATGAGCGATGCCGAAATAGTGAACCACGAGGATGCACCTGCTCTTGAAGGGTCATTTTCCTCCACCGGTTCCGGCTCCTCGCTATCAAAGTCCCCTGGATCCACCAAAGAAGGCCTACGCCTCCTCGCAGACAGCTGGGCGGACTACAACCCACCGGGGCAGGGTTACGTTCAGTTTGTAGCTGTTTCAGATACTCATATTTGGTGCATTACTACTTACGAAAACATCTTTTACTGCCCTACTCACTACTCTGTTGTGAATTGGACTCAGCTCGCTGGCTCAGCGAAAATGATAGCTGTTAACAACACCGGTGACGTCATTTGGAGTATTGATCGTAAGAACTATGCGTATGCGCGTTTAGGGGTCAGCAAGAATCACTTGACTGGTACGAGGTGGCAACCAGTAGAGAAGGACATGCGCTATGTGGCTGTAGACGAAACAGCAGTTTGGGGAATAAAGGTTAGTGTATTGAATATGTTTGTGAGATGCTGTGCCCTATGGTTTGTGCGCTGGTCTCTGGCTTGAGAGGTCTGGGTTCAAGACCTTGCCGGGTCAATGTATTGTGTTCTTTGAGCGAAACACTTAACTTTCAAAGTGCCTCTCTGTCTCCACCCAGGAGTATAGATGGGTATCGCCGCATTGTCAAGGAAGCCTATGAAATCCGGGGGGGGGGGATAACCTTGGTCGATTGGTGTTTTTAGGTGAGATTCGCACGTACTTACGTGGATGGACTTTTGCGTGCTTACATAACTCATCTATACGAGATGCGGGCTGGGAGAATTCTCAAAAGTTGAAAAACTTCTCCCATTCCACCTTCCAGCGTCCTTGTTTAGATGGGCCCATTTATACATGGAAATAGTCCTCTGTGGTTAGATCCAACGCTGAAACAGGAAATTCACTTTTTCTCTTTTTCAGTTAAATGGCGACATTTTTGTGAGGACGAGCATCTCTAATAATTGTCCCACAGGAAAAGGATGGCGAACGATTTGTACGGACTCAAGATTCATGCAAGTCTCGTGTTTTGATGGACTGGCTTGGTTTTGGACAGAGGAAACATCATCCATGTCTACAAAGGTGCTTTACTTGATAAGCATCTCTCCCATAACTAAATAACACTTTTCTTCAACGGAATTGAGTTTCAAAAAATTACCAGATTGTTAGGGAACGACGGAAGTTGGGCGCAAATATGTCATAACTATTTTGATTGAAAGCTTAACCTGTCTTGTGTTGTCTTGATATTAGCTATCAATTACAAAGGAGTATCAAATGGTACTCATTGTACAGTCCATCCCTCAAGTGGCAAAATGCAAAATTTAGTTCGACCTTCCCATAAAAGATAATAACGGCTATTACCTTTCAATGCGGTAAGAAGGGCTTACAATATTTCGTTCCCTTTCGGGACCATACAGTGTTTTCGTAGAAATTCTGAAGGTAAACTAATAAACGAGGAAAACCTGGATAGAAAGGAAAAACAGTTATTACGAATGGCTCCCTTTAGGCTAAATCTTGAAGATGCTTAAATAGTGGCGTCAAAAACGTTCCCTCTTATCTCTCTACCCGCAGGAGACAACAGTTCGCGTCCAGGTGAAAAAGAGAACTGGGAGACTCTTAAAGGTAAATTAAAATGCGTCTCTAAGTAAAATATTAGTTGAGAAAAAAGTTATTCAAGCAATTCTCCGAGCAAGTTTCAATTTTGCTCTCACTCCTTTCCTCCTGTTTTATTATATTTACTACATCTGCATTTGTTTTGTTTGTTTGTTTGTTTGTTTGTTTGTTTGTTTGTTGTTGTTGTTGTTGTTGTTGTTGTTGTTGTTGTTGATGTTTTCTGATTGTAATGCGTTCAAATATGACGAATTTTTGGAATTAGACTTTGGTAGACTGGCCCGCTAAGGTTCGTATCAGGTAATCGCGGGTCAGGACAATTGTCATAGTTTACAAGATACTTAAAAGGTAAAAGTAAACATTGTCATTAGTGTTTAAAGATAATTTTAAAAGAGCTACTAATTTGTGCCCATACAGCAAGCACCACCTAGCACAATAAGCCAGTACTCAATATAGTGATGGTGAACTAAAATTTGTAAACGGAAAAAGTTGGTGTGAATCTCCCGTTAGGAATCGAAATGCCCATCCAGATCTGGATGCTCGACCAACTGAGTTCCAAACACTCCATGGTGAGCTGGGCATTTACTAAGGTGTATGGGCCAAGTTGACAAAACCAATTATTTCATAGAATCTATCGTCTCGTACGTTCACTGATTTTCAAGCTACCATAATTGATTTTATGTGGGCGTACCTGTTACTTTCAGATATTTCGGCCAAATGGGTTTGCCTTGGAATAGAAGGAGTAGCGTGGATTGTGGACACAAAGGGCTGCATTTGGTTCACTAACGTTGCTAGCGAAAATCCAACGGGTGGCACGTGGTATCAGGTCTCTCTCGGCCAATACTTGATGCAAAACCGCAGCTTACTTGAGACGCTTTGGTCCTGGGTTCTACGAGATGACGTCAAACTTTTGACCGCCAGCCCTAAAGCAGGAGTCTGGTTGTTAGGGAGTGTAGGCTCTCTACAGGCCTCGCACGGTCACTTGCTAGGGGCTCGTTGGGATCCTGTGACACCACAAGGAATTGCTCAGTCTGTGTCCTGGTCCCATATGTCTGCAGGCTCAAGCAAAGGGGACAAAGGTCACGTGTGGGCTTTACAACCCAATGGGGAGCTTATTTGCTTGCAGTTGGGGAACCGCCCTGTAACTGTCGAACCACCTCGAGGCAAAGTTTTAAAACTAATTTCTGCGTCGGGTTCTAGCCTTTGGGCCATAACGCACAACTTCAAAGTCGTACAACGCTCAGGAATTTCGGACGCATATCCGCAAGGGGTTAGCTGGGTGGACGTGAGACTATCTCAGTTCGGTATTGGTAAAGTTTACCACCTCAGCTGCGGTGCACTGAGCACCTGGGCCGTTGATGACGCTGGAAAAATCTTTCTACGGATAGGCAAGGAGGACTCTTCGGACCCATCTGTCACTCAGGCGTGGATCCCAGTTGAAGGCGCTTCTCTACCTGGCTGTCGATTTGCTAAAATTGCTGTAAGCCCGTCCGATCGCGTGGTCTGGGCAGTGGACGATCGGAACAATGTTTACGCTCGCCAAGATGTCACACCAAGCTTCCCTATAGGCACCAGGTGGGAGGTTGTTCCTGGCACGGGTGTGCGAGACTTGGCCATCAGTGAACACATGGTCTGGGCGATTTGTCCCAACGGGGACATCGTGTGTCGGTACGGGGTCAGCAAAGACAACTGCTTGGGTCACTACTGGAAGAAAGTCCCTGGGAATTTTGAACTTATCTCCGTGACTCCCGATGATGAACTCTGGGCCATCGATCAGAACGGCCAGCTGTTTCTGCGCAAAACGCAGCATTTTTATGGTACCCAGTCTCCGTTTAGGCCTCGAACATACAGCGCTATATTTTCTGGTGAAGAGGACTGGGAGTTTATATAGTGTGTGTGAAATGTGTTTAAGATGTAACGAATTCTTCAAGTTATAAATTTGTGTTTTTATGCGAAATTATGATGTTAGAAAAAATTATTTCGAAGATTTCAGATTGTGTAGAGTATGCAAAACTATACAGAAATATAAAATTTTAAAGTAATAGCCGGTATTTCACAAAGTTTTCCAGTGAAAACTTCGACTATAACTTTGCGATGAAGTTTTTATTCGAAGGCTGCAAACAAATTTACTCAATTTAAAACGATCAAGTGGTATGTAATTAACTCAAGGTTCAATCAATTGTCATCTCCTTAGTAATAAAAAGAAAGCAAAATTACGATGAGTAGCCCCCCTTTCGAGAACGGGGCGTTTGGTTCGCTCTTCATTTCTTAAAAATGAACAGTATTTCAATGTCGAACCATTTTTCTTTCAAGAAAAAACTTGGCAATTTTTAAGGTTTACATCGTGTGTTAAGAGATGTTATTGGATGGCATTAAACGAAGTGAAGCTTTTTAGTTAAAAGGATATTTTACAACAAAATCATTGGTTTTTTTCCTCTGTTTTTGAACATGTATTGTTTGTGGAAATAGCGTTAGAGGGCTGAGGTTGAAAACCTGCTGCAGTTTTGACATATTTGGCTTTTCGACGGTGCACTATAGGTTGTGAAACTGCTGCACTTGGAAATCCTCCTCGTGCTTTGTAGCCATTAAGTTTGGTCATTTGTACCTCTGTTATCTTGTTGGAAGGGAATCTTTATATTTGCTTTTGTTGTTAACCAGTTTTTCAACAAACCCGAATAAAGTAAACTCGAAAAATTTTGAATGATTTCTGAATGTGGGTAGTTCTCTGGCACAGTACGCACGCGGCCAAATAACAATACTGAAAGGGAACAAACCAAAAACAAAAACCGGAAAAAAATACAGGCGTTTACCGCAAACTTCCTGAAGGCGCTTCTATTAAATTGAAGCCGCCTCAGTCATCACCGGTAGCCGCTTCGTTTCCCTTGCCAATAACACGTAACCAGTTTTAAGAATCGATTAGAAAAGTTTCAAGGAGAAGAAATGAATTTAAATTTTCTTGCATTTGATTCAAAATTTTGAAAAATTACATTGAAGGAAGCAAGCTAATTTTGCTTTATTTCCATGCGTATTTTTTTAACTGCATCGAGCTGACGTCCGGATATGATGAATAAGCTTCTCCAGTCTATCTCGTTTTTGTTACTCTGTTGTGTGCGAGGAACTGGAACTAGCTAATTCCAAGATGGCCTCCGTGGAAGAGATTCGAACTAGGGTTAGTCTGCAAGAACACGATGTCATAAACGTAAGTCTAGTATTTGTGTCGTGGTATATAGTTTTCTTAACACAATATTTCTGATCTTATCAGATGTTTTGTTCCTTTAGACGCATAGCACAGACTTTCCTGGTAATTACCCAGGCTATGATGACACGTGGAGCCAGGAGAAATTCGAAGAGGTAATTATTTCAGGTGTCTCTTGCTGCAAAATCTTTTGATTTGTTTTGCTTATTTTTATCACAACTGTAGAATTCACAGTGAACTAGTTGAATTTGCAAATGGTAAAGTTTAAGGATATAGGGCCACTCGTTTACATCCTATCGAGTTACATTTGCGCCCATGCTAGTATGGTGTTCAAACAGTCCACAAACTGGACTTAAGGTGCTTGGATTCTTTATTTGCATCTTTATTTGGCCTGTTTCATCTTTATTTATATATTTTTTTGTTTTTAAAACTTTCCAATTTCATGAGCTTGAAGCACGATTGCACAGAAACCACTTGTTTCAGTCAAGGGCAGTGTTATCATCTGCGGACTAACTTGCTGGTTTTCTGTCGTGCTTGTCTATGATGTTTCTTCAGTAGAGTTTTGTGACATAAATTTCTTAATTTTTTTTTATGCACGCATGTCAATGGTGTGAATGCCTCATGCATTGCGTGCAATTATATCAGGGCATTATTTACTCCATTTTACATCTGAGCTGATGCTATAATTCATTAACATGTAATGAAAAGATGTAGATGTGTTTAGAAACGATGCGTCTTAAGGGTAAAAGCCTTTAAATGATAGAATCAGTATAACCAAAGGCCTTTACTTACTTAAACTATTGGGAATGCCCATTTCTTAAAGGCTTTTATGGAAGCAGAGTTTCACAGATTCTAACAACAGAACTTTACAAGAGCACATTTTCAATCTTGCCTTATTTGGCAAGCATAGAAATGGATATGCTATGAACTGTTCATCCTGCCTTTTTAATTTTACTTCACAGAAATTTTGTATTGAAATAAAGCACTTGGATGAGAGTGAACTTGAATTTGATATGATTGGAGTTGATGCTGCTATTGCAAATGCTGTGAGGAGGATTTTGCTATCAGAGGTGAGTGTGTTTTCATTCTAGTGAGGCTTTTTTGATCAAAGTTTATTGGAGACTCTAAACTTGAGTCTATATAGTATTTGAGGTACAACTGAAAGCTATGTGCTATGTATGTTCCATTAAAATAGGTTCCAACAATGGCAATTGAGAAAGTTTTTATATACAACAACACGTCTATTATCCAAGATGAGGTATGGTGATGACAATTTTTATTCTTTTTAAATTGTATTGTGTGTGGTTTCTGGGGCCTTTTTTCATGCTACAGGGGATGGTAGTTTGCTTTACTGATTATAGGTTATCACCCACTCTAAGTACCAAGAAGTGTAGAGGATAATAACCTCCCCAAAAGTTGGTTTTAAAAACTCATGGTTGATGTGAAATTTGTACGTGGCAACCTATGGATTCTGCCAATACATCATTAGCAGTTACAGTTTTCTGTTTTCAGTAAAGTTTTCTATCTAGAGACATGTCTGCAGTCCTCCAAAATATTTTTTGTTTCAATGCTTTGAACAGAAAATACCAGCTTAAAAGCTCCAGTAGCGATTTTTGAATCTTGGATTGTATGAACAGATTTATTCTAACTTCTGTGTCTCATCTTTTTCATATCTGAAGGTATTGGCTCATAGGTTAGGACTCATTCCAATTTATGCAAATCCCAGAGAATTTGATGTTAAGATGGATGGTAAGTTGTTCAGGAGGAATTTAGAGGAACATTCTCTTTTGGTAGGTGTGGAAAGTTTTTGAAACAGAACCATGACCATGTTATGTATTGATTTCTCCAAAGGAGATGAGGAAGCTAAAGATGACACAACACTACAGTTTAACTTAAAAGTTAAGTGCATCAAAAACAAGAATGCACCAAAGAATGCCACAGACCCTGATGAATTATATGTAAACTCCAAAGGTAACAGTTAATAAATAAATTAATAAAAGAAGTTTAATTCCACCGTCATTGTAGTTAATCTGAATTACAATGTGGTTACAGTATAAGAATTACATACTGTTAATCAGTAAGGGACTGGGTTACAATAGATTTTGTATTAAAATTACAAATACAAGTTAAAATATATATGTAGGTATATGGTCTAAAAATCTATTGATTGTTGAGAGCTAAACTAGTACTTGGGAAAAAACTATGGTGCAATCTTTCAGTCCTGCATTTAGTTAATGTATATTTGTTAGCACATCTTTTTTGATAGTGATGCATGCACTGTCTTGTCATTGGGAGATGTTTAATGAGAGGTCCTCCTCTTGAGAAGAAGGTTTTTATATGTTATATAATTGAATAATATATGATGATTTCTATATGTTACATAATTGAAAAGATACTTACCAGACAGGACTAGACCAGACTAGACCATATTAGACTGATACAAGTGAGCCACAGGATATTCCATGGTATACCACTCATAAGTTTTTGCATTATTTAATGTGCTTTGTTTCTTCAGTTACTACAGATCACCTGAAGTGGATGCCAATTGGAAATCAGGCCAGGAAGGTGCACTTAGCAAAATAGTGAATTTATTACTATCACATGAAACCCTTTTTTCTTAATTAATTGGTGTATTTGAAATTAATTGTGTGCATGCCATAGTATGAGTTACAATACAGAAATGAAATGAGGCTGCAGATAAAGTTCCCTTCTTTCTTCCTTTGTTTTCAAGTGTCTCCCAGCAGTTGTATGAATTTTGCCTCACTGTGCTGGCATTGTCCTATAGTTAACCCTTTCACTCCCCAGATCTCAGTAGTAATTCTCCTTACTGTCTGCCATACAAAGCTCACAATGTTACTGTGCATGTACTTTGGAGAATTTGGTATTGTATCTACTAGTAATCCCCTTATAATTTTTTTGTTAATTCTCATCACTTTTCTGCTTGCACTTAAACTGTAAGGAGAAATTATGTCTTAATCACTCAGGCAGTGAAAAGGGTTAAAATTAGACTGTACATTTTATCAGAAGTGGTCTAAATGGAGTGTGTGTCGTTTGCAGAAAGCAACATTGGTGCTGTAAGTGTAAGTGACTTCATGGTTCTGTGCAGTTATCACTGAATTGGTGACGCCTTTTTTTCAGTACGGCCCACAGGATATCAGACCAGTTCTCAACGATATACTGATTGCAAAGCTCAGACCAGGACAGGTATCAACATCCTTTTGTAATTACTTAATTTAGACTAGTTAAACTGACCTACATGTGATATTGCAATAACACAGAGGAGCTGGAAACTTTTTTTGCATGTACTAAATTCAGACTTAAGACAAAAGATGAGAACTCCACACTTGTGATACCCTGAGAACTCTTAAAGCTAAACTTTTTAAGGCTGGTCTCTTACACAAGGTGTAACCAAAACCATGGTTTTAGACTAGCAGTGGGCCTCAGGCTTTTCTTTAAGAGGTTGATTTGATTGCATAAATTTCCTTCCACTGTGGGCTTTCGGTCCTCTTAACACTGCTAAAAGGACGTTAATTAATGTCTGATGAAAGATTCAGCTAAATTGAAGATAGTTTAGGGCGCAGTTTTGTTAAACAACAGCCGAACTTTGTACATTCAAACAGATATTAAATTTTGTTGGATCTAGATAAGAAACAACACAGTTGTAGTCTGAGGAGTTTTTGTAACTAGTCATTTTCATTTTTTTGTTCTCTCTTCAGGAATTAGATCTTAAAATGCACGCAGTTAAAGGAATAGGCAAGGACCATGCGAAGTTCTCGCCCGTTGGTATGTTAAATGTATCAACCGTGGAATGTTTGTGAACTTTTGCTTCAGAAGAAGACAAAAATACAGGTCGTAAAGTTCACGGATCAACATCAGTATCTGGGCAACTGCCCACCTACCCCTCCCTTAACTCAACAACAGTCAATTGATAACAAGTTAGGGTTAATGTTGGATTAGGGGAGGGGTAGGTGGGCAGTTGCCCAGATACTGATATTGATCCGAGTTCATTTTCTCTCACTTCAGCCACGGCATCTTACAGACTTCTTCCAGAAATAACGATCGTCAAACCCTGTGAGGATGAGTTGGCTGATAAATTAGCGCAATGTTTCTCCGAAGGTGTCATTAAAGTGGAAAATGAACACGGTATGTGACATTGAATGGAATTTTGTCAAGTTCAGGGGTGATCGGTGAACTCTGAAACATTGTAATGATTAAGGAGGTTGCTTACTAGCACATTTTGGGAAACGCTCTGTCCCAATAGTGAATACACAGGGCACTGGGTGAAAAAGTCTGCAGGCTTAAGCCATGGCGGAGACCATTATGTTTGGCTCTTGGGCTAAATACTTTACACCTTACATATTGCCTCTTGCCAACCAAGAGTGATATAGGGGATACCAGAAATATGTCGCAGATTTGAAATTGGCCGGAATCTCATCTGATAGGATATGCGCCGACAGCCTCGCGATCCACTTTCGTGTGCAGACTTAACATTTGACGTGGATCTTGGGAATCTGCTTGCGAGTGAGGCCAATGTGGTTGGGACCAAGTCCTGACTCAGCACTCACGACAGGGTAATTATCAGAGAGAGTGGGAGTGAGTTCTTAGAACGTTTCTGACAAATGAGGGTTTGTTGTTGTTGTTGTTGTTTTTTTTTTACATTGCTATTGTAGGAGTCAAACGAGCTGTGGTAGCCGACTCGAGAAAAGACACATGTAGCAGAGAAGTATTTAGACACGATGTACGTTTGACCTTACCTTGTTTATTTCCGCTTTGAAATGTCGAAATTCTTACGTTCATCCTGTATTTCTTGCTGTGGCTTTGCTTTTCGACGGATGAATGTGAACCAGAAATGAAAGACACGAAACAAAACAAAAAATTCGACTAGATCAAGTAAACTTTTTCTAGTATCGTAGCAAACAAATAAAAAAAAAACACGTGAGGGAGAAAGCTTTGTACTCGTCAAAGTGACTAACCTTGTAATATATACAGTGTTGCATGTTAGGCTGGGTATCGTATACACTTGCATCAATGACGTGGACTACTGCTTCATTTTTCTTAGGATCTAAAGAATCGAGTCAAGCTCTCACGGATTAGGGACCATTTTATATGTAAGTTGGAGTGATCAGTGAGTCTCTTCCGGCTCATCTTCATCGTACACGTGATGAATCTTTGCCAGAGAAGCAGATCCGCTCTGTATTGTGCTGGTCTAGTGTCCATGTTCTTTATTTGAGCTACGTATGTTTTATTTGATGCTTAGGATGTGGTTATTTCAGAATCAGTGTAATATAATGGCTGGAATCCGAATACTTGGGATGTGAAATTATTTAATATAGAAGGATGTTAAAATGAGGCTAAATTTAGGCGAGGTTAAACTCAAGAAAATGCTGTCTAGCGGTCTCAGGCTCTAATGGGGGGAGGGGGAGTTGGTTCCGAGGCCTGTGTTTTTTATAGCGCTTTGTTCGGTGCTAAGCCCTTATTATAATAATTTTGCGAAGGTGACTCGCGAACTGACTGTACTGTTCTGTGCTTTGTGTAGTCTCCGTGGAGTCAACTGGTGCCCTTCCTCCAGATGCACTGGTTTGTGAATCCATTAAAGTCCTAATGGGAAAGTGCAGACATTTCCTCTCCGAACTGGATGGCCAGTCTCTAGACACTTGAGTTTCCACTTCATCTAGTCCATGCGTAGAGGGAAAACTTCGACATTGTTTGGCTCACCCAGCTGAACACTTGCGTTTTCATGCTTCCTGGTCCGTGCGAGAACAAACACCTTATACAACGGTATTGTTTAGCTAGCCTGTAACGGATGAGAAGTGAAATGGAATCAGACTTCCCAGATGCCACTGTCATCTATGAAAGTGAAACTCCAAGCCGAATTGTAATAATTGTTGCAACAGTGTTGAATATGTAGAACTGATAACACCAAGCCTACCATCTCTTCAGAGCGCTTTTCGATTAAGTGTGGTAAAACCGAAACCAGAGTAATCAAAATGGCTAATCGGAAGAAAGAGAGAGAGAGAGAGAGAGAGAGAGAGAGAGAGAGAGAGAGAGAGAGAGAGAGATGCAGTCATCTAGACCAATCACAGAGCGAGGTCAGGCTAAAACAAAGTAAGCCCGGATCACTTTCGACACTCAACTGAAAATTGTTCAAATTATCTTTCATTGGTAGCTTATACGTTTTTTATGAATGTAAACGAGGAAGTAGAGGAACAAACAAACGTGTTCATAAAAACACCTCGAACGTCATAATGACTGTCAATACACTATCCACCTTTATAACAATAAAATTATGAAATTATCAAGTCTTTAGGCATTTTACTAAGACTGAGACGTTTTGTCCCACCAACTGTATTGCTCAACATATACCGTTCTCTCATTGAAAGTTTCTTGTCTTATGGCCGGTAGCAGTCTGGAACCTAGCTGCCCAATCAAAGTTGGAAAAAAATTCTCAATCTCTTTAAATTTCATGCTTTACCTTTGTGCAATTTGTCAAACATTCTTCCTCCTCATCTTATCTATATTATAACAATCTGTTCTTTTATGCATGATTTCATCAACGATCTAACACCTCCTAACATTTCAGAATTACTTCGTTATTCTTTAGAAAAAACACCACTATTATACAAAGACTCTCAGCGGTTGGCAATCTCTGTCTTAAAGACTGGAGAACCGAACATATGAAATTTGTTTTTTTCATGACTGGGTGCAAGGAACTGGAATAGTAGTCACATTTGTCTTCGTTCTCTATCTAAAAAAGAGTATTACATAGTTACTGAACATTTTGATGTGAGAGGATACTTGTTGACGTCCATGTTTACTTCCCTACCACCTCGCTTAGCTTCGCTATTTTGCGATAGAGATTGTTAGATGTCTTTTTTCATTGCTAAGGTAAATAAATTTTGTTTTTATTGTTGCAATTTTCATATGGCTATATTCATTCAGAAGGTTTTTACCGATATACGCTTCTATAATTATTCAAAATGTTTCTCATAGTAAGTAAACCAATTTAGTTTTCCTAGTTGGTCGTGAATATTTTATACATGTTGGAATTTTCCAAGAAAAATTTATGTTAGCCTACCTCAGGCATAAATGGAGCGCGAAATTGACGAATCAGAGCACACACACTAAATTAGAAATACAATATTGATATTTTCGATTAGTCTAGTACCCAGACTCTTCACGGCCAAGCGTTTCAATTACACGGTATGATATGGGTACGAGATTGAGTTTCGAGAGGTAACTTCTTCATTCAAATTCAACAGTCTCTTGGGCCAACGTCTTACACGTCTTCATTGGATATGGCCTTAGGATAGGTTTTCGATTCTCTGCTTCCTCGGGTATATTAAGCACATCGTCTCCATAATTTTCCTCTAAATTTCCTTTCCAGGATTTGGGAACTGGAAACACGAAGCCTTCAAATTCCATTTCCTTTAGTGGAAAAACGTCTTCACTCCTTTTTTCACTGACAAACAAATCGATCATGAGTCCGTCATGCCACTTGCAATCGTACAAAAGGCAATAACCATAACAACTTGCCTTATCTCTTAGGCGATGGTTCATTGGATTTAAATAATAACCAATTTCTGGGTGAAGCGGAGAAACTGCGTCTTGAGGCCTATTAGACAGTAAGTTAGTGTCTGTAAAGGAATTCTGGAAAAAAATATCATCCGGAAGATCTCTGCTTGCTACTTTAAAGAATTTGATATAGTCCTCCAAAGGCATTTCTATATCGACGTCATGATCCCAAGGAATAAAACCCTTGTGTCTGGCAGCCCCTAAAAGTGTTCCGGCAGATAGCCAATAGCGGATGCGGTGTTTTGTGGCCAAAAGATGAAATATTCGTAGCATTCTGGTCATCACTAACTGGGATTGCCTCAATGGAGTGTTCGCTTTGTGGCGAATATCGGGACATAGGATACCTGTGCTACCCATCTCACACATACCTCCCAGGTCGGTGTAAAGCTTAGGGCACATTGGGCCGATTTCAAGTTCCATGTCACATCTCGGCCTGGCCATGTTTTTGTTTACAGGGACAAGTGTCCGTGGATGTGATTCCAAATAGTGAAGCTCCTCGAAGATTATCACACATAGGATACAAAGAGTTGCCGTGAATATCACCAGTCGATGCCTAATCTTGAAGCTGAACACGAACCCGTATCCAAGCATCTAAACAGAAACAAAGACAACGATCAATGCAGTTGTTGAAAAGTTGTACAACCGGGAACGGTCGCTATTTATCGTCTAGGGGGAAGGAGGGTGCGGATGATTTTAGTTATGTCACAAAAAAAAATTTACCTGATCTTCCCCTCATCGGCATTCAGTTAGCAACGACTGATCCCCTAAAAGTTCCCACTGGAAACCATGGGTTCCCCCAAAAACTTCCAACCCTCCACCCCCTCCCTAAATAAAATAATGACCGGTCCCTAAAGAATGGTTACTGCACAAGTCTCGGTCGATATCTTTAAGAAATTTTCGATGACCCAATTTTAATTTTTGCATTGTTTTATTTTTGTTTGTGTCTTTGAATCTTGTCAGTCTTCGTTGTCTTAATTACCTTGTATTGTTTTTTGGCTTGTGCTTCTTACCGTTGTTAATTTTTTAAATTGTATCACACACCCCCCTCTTCCTCCCCTCCGCCCCCTCAACGCATGACAACATTGCTAGGGAGAGCATGCGCACAGTTACACTGATTCTTTAATTAACATGATGCCTTATTTCTAGCCAAGAGATTATGATCTCTTGGTCTGGGTAACATCTTTTTAAAGCATCATAAATTTAAGATGGGAATAAATAAGGTTTTAGATCAGCTCATTTGCACTATAAAACGAATTGCAGTAGTACAGATTTAAAAATTTCTCGGATCACTGATCGACTGAAAATGTTTTCCCGAATTCCTGATTCTGCTTGTGTATTAGAAGTTAGATTGTGGATTAGATCGTTACTCTTCAGTCTTCCTCTCTAAAAACCTTTGATTTGATTTCCTGAATTAAAGACATTTTCTAAAGTCGTAGCGTTAATTCCATTAATTTCACTAATTAAAAAGAGAAAAGTCAAAACATTTTGAAGTAATTAGTACGCGTGTTTGAGGTTTCGAAAATTTCCCAATAATTGTAGAGCCTCAAATAAATTAGCAGGTAATTTAGTGTTAACAACTGGGTTGAAAACGTAAATTAGCCACCGTAAAGGGTAAAAAAGCTGACGTTTCGAGCGTTAGCCCTTCGTCAGAGCGATAGTTCGATAGTTCAATTCGATAGTTCAACCCAGTTGTTAACACTAAATTACCTGCTATACTCTCCCACCGACGCAGCACCACAGTTTCTTTAGAAACTTACCCCTTTACTCAAATAAATTAGATTGAGGAATCAGCAAAATTTTCGAATCAGGGAGCAACGAATCGTTAGAATGACTTTTTCAAAAGTAGCACAAAAATCTTATCTTATAAACTTATAGATAAAAATAAAATTCGGGTCTCTAAAGACGTTGTCCGCCAAATATAGTCAATTTTCAAGTAGGAAAATTCTCTTAATTTTGATATTTTTGTTTTCTCATTTGTGGTTTCCGTCTTCCGATTTACAATAAATGAGGGGAAAAATGGAAATTCGGCCAGTATCCGCTTAGTATGGTTTCCGATAACTTAATGAGATTTGTTTCAGATATGACTTGTTACTTACCGTTAGCTGCAATGTCACTCGTAATTTTTTTAAACAGTACGACTTATCGTACCTATATTTGTCTGGCTAGGTGTTGTTTGAACCTGCGTTGACTTTTAATCATGCACGAGTGGCCCTCCTGCCTCACTTAACTTTAAATTATTTGTTTTGAAAATCAAGGTCAAAAATTGGTGGAACTATTGCATAAGATTTAAAAAAACTGCATTCACAGAAAGAAATCTTCTGTAAAAACTGCTTTCTTTCGTTGTCAAGTTAAAAACATAAAAAAAAAAGATGATTGAATAAATATCACGTACACCTTCCATTCGGTTCGATGCATTGCTGTAGCAACTGAATCTTTTATCAGTTAAAAATATGACTTATGCGTGTCATTTGCTTATACAAATAGGGTATTCATCTCATCGACGTGTGGGACACGAATTTTAGCGTGGGTGATTTAACGTCAGTTCACAAGTATAATTTTTAATAGCCTCGACCCTCGGATCAAAGTAGACTAGATAGTATTTTGATTTCAGCGAGAAAACTTACACGATAAGTCTTGGGATCATCGTTACGTTTGGATGACACTTCGTTATGGGCATTACTGGTCTTGCTTTTCTCTTGATTAATGGTCAGTCTATAATGATCTTAACAAAGGAAGATCATTTTTTCCCGAGACCATCGTCCCTTAGCGACAGGCAAAAAACCTTGACGTGGACAAAAAAATTTTATCCATCTCTCTCTCGGCAAATAGTTAACCTGCAAAATGGCAGTGGAAAGTCAATAATGATAAAGATGATAATGACAATCAAAACGATATAATACTCCAAGAATAATTTATTTTTATCGTCTTTCAGAGATTCACGGTGTTTCTAATTACTTTTCACGGTTTTCAACTTTGTTTTGAATTATATCGGAAACACATTACATGCTTCTACTTTTGATGATTTGATGATTTATCAAGATAGTTAAAAACGTGGTGCCATAGTCATTAAGGCCAACTGTTCGTCCGCGATAAGAATAAGAAGGAAGTACTCGACATTATTGTAAGAACTGTGCGGCACCGCGTGCGCAAACACGTTGAAAACCATAGCGAAAGCTTACGTGTGTAGGGACGGACGGGTTGACGTGAGCCGGTCCGGAAATGATTAAGCGAAGGGTAAAAAAATATTCAACTGAAATCATGTACATTGGTTCATATCGTAGGCAACTTGTGAACGAGACTGATATCATCTTCAAACTGTTACTTCGTTCGTTACATTCGTTTATCCCGCACATATCTTTACCAATAAGAGCAGGAATCAGAAAGTCATTCCAAACATCGCACTATTACGTTTCCAGCGGACACTCCCAGAAGTGTATGTAGCATTTCATGAGGCCTGATGAGTTGTGGCTGACACTGCCCCTACAGGTACACGTGTAGGTTGGCGTGCTAGACTTTGCATCACGTGATAGTAGGTACTGTCTTGCATCATCTGTTGAGCACGTCACTCCGATGATCTTTTTGTTCTGATTGGATAAAAAAAAAACGAAAATGTACTTCAGAGATGCGCATAAGGTTTACACACAGCTGTCTTGTAGCAATTACGATAAATTTGCAACTTATCAGCAACAAGAGATAATAGAAGAAAAGGAATTTTGTACGACAAACGGCAGATTTTTGTACGTCTTAAAGCCCATAAAAAGTTCTTACCCTGGTTTAGTTTTGCTGAAACTATTTAGAAGAGGTATGGTCTGCTCTGTTTGTCTTATCACTCATTACACGCTCAAAGTGATTCCACAGTATTGCACTGCGTTTCATGTGATGCACATATAAATCACGTAATCAGGCAAATGACGCGCGCGCATTCCGAGAACACGATATTGTTTTTCAATCAATAGACCAGTTGAAGAGGTGCGATGGTCATTAGCTTTTAAACGAGCACGGTGACCTATATTTTATATTACATAATTTTTGTTTATAAATTATCCCCTTTAAATTGCAGAACTTAAGAAAATTCATCCAAAGGAAAAAAGATGAAGCTAAAAGCTTTCACGAAGCCAGTTACTCGATGATGCAAATCAAGGAACGTTTTGAGTCGATATCGTTTAAAACTGCGCGATTTTTCCACAAATTATATACACAAATTTTTCATACGCTCGAGACTTTCTACCTATCAAGTTTTTTTTTATTTCATCCTAAAAACTTTCGCTCTTAGCTACCTCAAAATGTACCGTGAACCGATGAAATAACACGCGATTATTGCCAGTACAGGCACAAAAAGGGCAAGTTTCTGAAACAAGCACGATGACATATCTTTTTTATTGTAGTTTTCGAAACAGACATATATTTGTAAGGAACATTTAAAGAAATTTTTCTTAAAAATTGTGCAATAACCTTTTTTTTTCTGAGTGATCTCCTTAACTTGATCTCATGATATCTAGTAAATTTTAAATGTCAAAAGACAGTAAACTTACAGTTGTTTCGACTACGCTAATGGCCGTGTTAGCGTACGGACCACTTGTTGTTACTGAAGAATTGCTCCTATATCGACAAAGGCTGAGGTCGTGTACACCGGGAGGTCCCCTGGCTCCTTTTGGTCCAGGTGCTCCAGTATCCCCTTTTGGGCCCTGAGTTCCATTGTATCCTTGTGGACCTTGGAAACCAGGGACACCTTGAAGTCCCTTAGGGCCAATAGCACCAGTGATTCCGGTTTTTCCTGGAGGGCCAGGAGACCCCTGAGGACCTTGAATTCCTTGGGGACCTGGGGGCCCTTGAAAGCCCAAGATCCCTGGGGGACCGACTGGTCCCGGTGGTCCCTGAAGCATGGTACCACGGGGACCTGTTTTATTTACCTGTAAAGTAAAAACAGTGATTATAATTTTTCTTAATGAAGGAGGGAGGAGGTCTTATTTCATCGTCCATTGTTTCTATGGGCTAAAGATTTTTGTATATATTATCCTACCATGCCCTAGCAGGGGAAGCAGACCTCTTATAATTCTTGATTAAATCAAGACACTAGCCTTGTCCTTGTCTTAGAAGGCCTCAAACTTTCAATGTCCCGTATTGGCCGAGGACGCAGCATCGCGTCGAAGATTTTGACAGCAGATAATGTCTGACGATGACGATCGTTGAACTTGCGCGCTCTTTGGATTAAGGCGAGCAACGACTAACCCACCCGTTTTGATATCTTTTCCTATTGAAAGTGTACTTTCTAAAGTTTTATAAATGGTTTCTGGAGCAGGATGTTTGAAAAAGGTTTGGTGTCCTCTTGAACCGCACTACCACTTCATTCCACTTCGAACGTAGTGGACTATTTCAATACTGTCAAGCAAAGGAAATATCTTCAACAAACAGAAAAGAAAAACTCACAGTAGAAAACAGATTATCCAGTCTTCTTTTCTGAGTAGTCAAGGTCACATTAAACTTGTTTTCAGTTTTTGTCAGCTCATGCATTGTGTTTTGCAGCACAGTTATAGCATTTCTTATCAAGGCTTCGTTCTGACCAAGTCTTCCTAACTCTTGCTTTAAACCATCAGCTGTGCCCTTTATAACAACCTGTGATGGTGGTGGTGGTTGTGGAGTTTTATTTGGAGTTGTTTCTGTTAAAAAAAAAGGAGATTAAAGATGGAATCCAAGGAAATAAGATGACAAAAAAATACTTGCTAACTGAGGGTAATCAGCAAGGTATCGAATACCCTAAATGTCACTAAAATAAATATGTTATTTGGTGAGACTTTAATCTGATTTCTTTCAACGAAAGAAAGGGTAAAACACTTACGAAGTACTATGCTTTTGATTCAGACGCCGAAATTATCTTGTGTCGAGCTAATTACATCAATTGTCACAACCTTTTTTTTTCCGGGAACCATCGAAATTCTTAAAAATAAAAACATGAATTGTAATTTGATGGCTAATAATTGAAATTGGCTCCAATTTTCACTCATCAGTCTTACTTCTGTTTATCGGCATCAGTTAAAATTTTTATCTGGTTTGACCAATTTCGCCGGTCTGAAACGTACCACAGGACGCTGACGTCATCTTAATCTTAACGTCAACATTAAATAAGTTACTTCAGCTCGTTCTTCAGTTGTATGACGCACATCAAAAAAAATATCAAGTCCACAGTACCTCGCTGATAAAGTGTATTCGAGGACTTCACACTTGTGAGTGTCTGAGAATTGTAATTATTTTGTGATGTTTACGTTATCCATTGTTAGACGACAATAAACGTCTAGATTACTCTAGTAAACTAAGTCGTGTTTTAAGTGAAACAAGTTACCTGGAACCTGCGAAATGGTTTCCCTTGGTTTTCTAAGAAGAATCCAGATATCTAACACCAATGAAATCAAAGTTAAGACAATGAAAATTACGACAAGAACACGTAGCATAAGAAGCTCATTTCGCATGGTCTTCTGTTCTGCTTGATCTAAACTACAAGCAGATCCTATTGCTGTCCTCGGAGTGTAGAGATTTGTTTCCCATCTCACGCATCCGGTTGTCCCATGCTTTATGCTGCGATCCAACTACTATAATTCCTGTTTGGCGAAGAGTCGAAGAAAAGAGGTGCAATTAAATTAAACACTGGCTTGGCACATGAAGATAAAAAAAATTGTTTGTAGAAAAAACATAACAGGTTGTCTGAATTTAGGAAGTAAACAAACTGGTTGTTGGATCCGGCTCACACCGGATAAAGGTAAAGTGAAATACTTTGAATGTGACCGGCTGCCGAGGGAGGTTAGGATTCTTTTAGGAGGCAATGCTTGGTAAACTGCAATCGTTTTTATAGCAACAAAGGGCCATACTAAATGTCTATAAAAATATGAAAATCATTTGTGAAAAGGATCAACAGTTGAACAGGTGGTTTATACCTGTTTTGTGCTCCTATGTATTGCCTCAAATCAAATAGAGTGTCCTAAAACTATCATGGGTCTATAATTTGCTCCTTACTAATCTTTCTGCGCTAACGTGTATTTGGCATCGTTTTGAAAAGGGCAGCAAGTAGCAAAATGTTTGGAAATGTTCATATTAAAAATTTCTCCGAGAGAGTGCTTCGTGTAATCACCAAAAGTGTAGCTTCCGGCTGGAATTTTCCATCAGAAAGATCAATTTTCTCTGATTCAAATTCTTACCCCAAAAAGACTTAGAATACACTGCAAGCCACATCAACTTACTTCTAGTACACCTCTTCGGATTCTCTATAAGGTGAGAAAACAAGCCGAGTAAAACAGATTGAATGATTTGTGATCATTAAAAGTGTTCTTCATTATTTTCAAATGACCACCACGAAAATATCAAAATGTTTTACTTCTCTGCATCACCTCAGTAGGGATCACTTTAGTAGTCCTAAGTCAGAAATAAGCGGATAGAGGTGATAAAGATCTGCCTTTTACCAGTTTAGCTGGCAGCGTATGATTACAGATAGACCTTGTTTGAGTCAAGAGAGGATGAAGGGATAAAATTGGAAGCTCCTGGTTTAGATCTTGACATATTTCAATTCTAATTTGGTTCTTCTGGAGCACTAATCTATTTTCTGGGATGTAAGTGGAGCCTCATCTCGATCTGATGTTCTGAGTAAAAGGAGTTCTGTGTCAGATAGCGTATAGATTAACTCTGTCGATGAAAACGACTTCCAAAAAGAAGAAAAATTATAATTTTTCGTCAGTGTAGCCTCACGTTGTGGATGTTTTGGGAAACAAAATAGCTTTTCCATCAGGGACTGACAACCATTTCATTAAAATCGACATATTCTGCTTAACATCCAGCTTGTTCTTAATTATCTCCTTTTTTTCTCTGCTCTAAAGCTTTACTCTGTTGTTCGCAACAAGATTGGAGGGTCGTTGATGAGCACGGAAGTGACCGATATCAAATGTGGCTTCAAATCCTTTCAATGACTTACAAGAGTCTAATTTAACAATACGTATTCCTTTAAGAATGTAATGCAGCGAGGAGCTACTTTTCTGAAGAGCGAAAAAAATCCTGGAATAGATAAGTTTTATTCGAGATAATGTGCTTTGTATCGTGGTGGCATTTACAGAGAGGCCAACTATCCAACTGATTACTGCATAAATGCTTGTGACGCATGGTGGGTTTGGACAACTGAGAATTATTTATAGACTTTTATAGTCTTTTATTTATAGTTCATATTTTATCCGCATTTTTCATAAATCCTAAGGATTTTTTGTTCCTCAGCGCACCATGTCTGCTAATTATCGACTTATTGTTATTTATTTCAATCTCTTTTTCTTAGAAATCGTTATATCAAGGTTCCCTGAGGGTTATGTTAGAGCATCCCTAATTTGATGTTTTATAGCATGCCGTGACCTTAACGTCATTCAAATGCACCCCTCCAGCTATTCGTATTTACCTACCAAGTATAAATTAACGTCAGCACCGCTCAAGGAAATAGAATTTTCCCTTGAGGTCAACAATGGCACTCAGAGTCCTCGAGCTTCCAACAAGCCCACCTGATTAAGGCCAAATTAATCCAATTGGTCCGCTAGGTGTGCTGGGTCTCCAAGGCATAGTTAGTCCGCCAGTTGTGCAGTGTCCTCCAGATCATAGCAGATCTCAAGGTCCCTTAGGTCCCATTGGGTCTTCACATGCTCAGAGTCTGCAGGGTCTTCAGGGTCCAACAGGAATTTAAGGTCCATAAGGTTGCAAGGATGAACCAAGGTAATAATGAGCAAGACTCGGAACCTGCCCGGCTTGGGAACTCCCATTGAAGAAGCTAAACAAGCTCTCGGATGGAGGTGTCTTTAGTTCAATTAAATTTTATAACTTTCCTATAAATTTCAAGTTTCGGATATTTAACCTGACGTGGAAAAAGGTTCGTTGAAAACCTACTCAAGCTAACACTAGTTGGCACAACCATGCATTGTCAAGTGTGCGTGTGCGTGTGCTGAAAGTGGCCTTGACAGTTCATCCAGAAGTCTTTGTATATTAAATTGATAAAGATTCAATCGCTGATCGCACGCAGGTCACAGGGATGTATCGACATTTGTAAATATACCAAGCCAAGATATTTATAATACACATACGAAGGGTTAACGCTAGAAACGTCAGCTTTGAAACTCTTTATGGTGGCCAATTTACATTATCAACGCAGTTGATAAATCTAAATTATCTAGCTAAACTCCCCCGCCGACGCAGAAGCAGAGTTTCTTTAAAAGCTCACCCTTTATTAAGATATTCATGAAAGCTCTTATGTCAGTCGTTGAAAATTCAATCAGCAATTGGGAGTGACAAATATTTTCTTTTTCTCAACAGAAACTTTTAAAGGCTCACAGTTATTGATGTGTTGTTAAACAATCCATATTGCAATATCCGGGAGCATTTGTTCCAGTCCCTCGTCCTAGCGGAGACGCGATATCCCAACTGTGGATTGGTCGTCACAGGAGATTTCAACCGCTTGGATATTAAGGGCTTGCTGAATCACTTTCGTCTCCAGCAAATAGTTCAAGTTCAGACCCGGAAGGATGCCATATTAGACTTGGTGCTCACTAACATGCAAGAATACTATAATCCGCCACAAGCCTACCCTCCATTCGGGTTGTCGGATCACAACGCTGTTGTTGTGTCGCCAAAAGATGGTAAACGTGATGTAAACAGAAAGCACGTTGTTAAAAGGCGTGACTTACGTGAGAGTAACAAGGCTGCCTTGGGGAGATATCTAACCTCTATTGATTGGCCTTTATTGTTCGCTCCTACGAATAGTTGCCAGGAAAAGTGGGAGATTTTCCACACTGCTGTACATACAGGGCTTGATATTCTGATGCCTGAGAAAGAAATTCGCACCTGTAGTGCGGACGCTCCTTGGATTGACCATAAGCTGAAGTCAATGATTTTGAAAAGACAAAAAGCGTTCAAATCATATGGCGGCGACTCTGCCCAATTCAAGTTCTTCCGAAATCTGGTTAACCGGGAAAGAAAGGCATGCAGAGCTAAATATTATGAAGTGAGAATTCAGAATTTAAGACAAGAAGCCCCAAAGAAATGGTGGGACGAAGTAAAGCGTCTGAGCGGCTCAAAAAGGAAAAATGGCGACCTTCTGAGCCAGATTGACGTGGAAGGTTTTTCAGAATTGTCATTAATAGAAAAGGCCAACACCATCAATGCCGCGTTTTTAGAACCGCTGGAGGAGTACAGACTGCCAACTCCACTAGAGTTTCTCCCCATGGAGGCGAATACAACACCAGAGATCCTGCACGTGGGTGAACAACGTGTTCAGAAGGTTCTGTCTCACCTTAACCCTGGGAAAGCGTGTGGGCCTGATAGAATTCCCAATTGGCTACTGAAGGAATATTCAGATGCAGTGGCTTTCCCAGTGACAGAAATCCTTAATGCCTCCTACTCCGAGCAGCATTTACCAAAAATGTGGAAGTTGGCTGACGTGACACCCCTGCCCAAAAAGAAATCAGTAAAGGAACTGAAAAAGGACCTAAGACCTATCTCGCTTACTCCATGCATTTCTAAGGTCGCAGAAGGGTTTATTGTGGACGACTACGTCAAACCAGCAGTTATGAGTATCATTGACGACAGCCAATACGGGGCAATACCAAACTCTTCCACGACTATGGCCTTAATTAGCATGTTACATAATTGGTCAATTAACACTGATGGAAATGGCGCTACTATAAGAACAATCGTATTTGATTATCGAAAGGCCTTTGATTTTATCGACCATGAAATTCTGATTAGAAAACTGCGTACTAAGTGTAAATTGCCAGTTAGTATTACCAATTGGATAGTTGACTTTCTTTCTGATAGATCACAAAGAATTAAGCTGGCTGCGGAGTGCTTTTCGGAGTGGGGATCTGTGCCCTCCGGAGTACCACAGGGCACAAAATTGGGCCCATGGTTATTTGTGCTTATGATAAATGACCTTGAAATCGCGTATCCACTATGGAAATACGTTGATGATACAACAGCCTCGGAGATGATACCAAAAGAGAGTGAAAGTCACGCCCAAAATATAGCAGATTGTGTTAGTGAGTGGTCACGAGAAAATAGAGTTCACTTGAATTCTGATAAGTGCAAAGAGCTTCGGATCTCATTTTCTAAAAGGCCCGGGTTCTTTGATCCCATAGTAATTGAAGGCAAAGAGTTGGAGGTAGTTAGTAGCGTAAAGCTCCTGGGCCTTAATATAGCTAGCGACTTGACCTGGAACAGTCATATATCAGAAGTAATCAAAAGGCCAGTAAGAGGTTGTATTTTTTAGTGCAACTAAAGAGAGCTAGGGTTCCCTTACAAACCTAGTACTTTTCTACACATCATGTGTAAGATCTGTAACAGAGTACGCGATACCTGTCTTCTATAATGCACTTCCGCAATATCTGAAGAATGAGCTTTTACGTATTGAGAAACGGTCAATTTCCATTATAACTGCGGGTGATTGCGCGGTTGCTCAAGATTTAGGAATACGACCCATCTTAGAACATTACGAATTTCTATGTCAGAAGCTTTTTAAAGGTATCTTAGACAACCCTAGCCACAAGTTAAAGGCGCTTCTTCCACCCATACATAAACCCAGCTATAACTTCAAAAAATAAGCGCCAATTTAATATGCCACGCCTTCGCACTTCGAGAACGATGAACACTTTTATATTTGCTATGGCAAGGAGGTTTAATGGCTAGATTTTTATCGATACGATATCCTTTATTTTTGTTACGGCACGCGTGATAATTATAGTAATAATAATGATAATGATAATGTAGATACTTTTAATTAATTTAAATTTATTTTAATTAGTTTACATTTATAGCTAATGTATTTTATTTAATTTACTATCATGTTATTATATTGTAAATTGCTGGTATAATAAGACGTGTAATTAGGTTTTTGAATTTTAAATTTTAAATTTCTTGGATTGTAAAAATGTGTAATTCAGCCCTCGGGCTGCAAATGCATTTGAGATTAAACTATCTATCTATCTATCCATATTGAAAAATGAAGTCCTGTCAATCAAAAAACAAAGAATTAAATTTTTAATAAAGGAGAGACAAATTCGCACCATTTGTCCCAATTTATTTTTTAGGTCTGTGACATTATTCATGCAAAATCAAATTGCCTGCTTCTAAACCATTTTTCATAGATTTCGAGAGTCGCAACGAGTTATTTGATAGACCTTGCTCATTGAAATAGTTGAACAAACTTTCTGAAATACGTTCAGCAATGTTAAAACGTACTGTTTTAGTGTTTACCGTCATGTTTAAACTTATGCATTACCAAGCAACCCAAGACAGTAAATTTTATGTTTTTCTAACTTATATTTAGATCAGTTCCTCTGATAATAACTCATTTGCCCACTTGCATTTAATGGTCCCCAGTCATCGACATGCGAGTGGAAACTTGGTTCTTCTTAAAGAAACGCTAGTTTCAACAATAAAAAGGAGACAAACGTCGAGAGGCGCGAATGGGAAAAGCAGCCATTGTAAAACGTCAGGGTATGTTAATCAGGTGGCGTTTAAAACGTCGACCTCGAGTTTGATAGCTTCCTATTGACTTTGTGCATGCTTCGCATAAAGTTTTATAAGAACGTTCCAAAATGCCTTTTCTTGCCTTTGCTGTTGCGTGAAGCAAAAATTGGGCTTAGACAACCTTAAATTAGTTTTACTTCTTCAAGGATGACCACTAATGAGCGGCTTGGCTGGCTTTCAGGTTAAAGAGGATAAAGGATAAGTATCTTTGACTGTGAAAGGCCGCACCTAATAAAAGTAAATGAACTACGGAAAAGATTTCAAAGAGCCTTCTTTTATCTTGCATGTAAATGTTTCCTTTCTGAATATTCAATTATTCTTTGGTTTAGTTGCGGGTTTGATCTTGGACTAATATGGAGAAGAAAAACAGGAAACAAAAAAATCTCCCCTTTTGTGTTGAAAAGGATCCTTTAGGAAAAATTGGCTTGTTAACTTTTATTGAAATGCCCCGGTGTTTCCTTAATATCATTGTATCACTTCACGGACTTCTGTTTTTGCCATTATGACCAATTAAAATTGGAAAAACACTGAATAACGTCACAGCCACTTTAATTCTCACATATAAGCGGCTGAGGCTTTACAAAGCTTTACCAGCAAGAGTTCTTTTGTCAGGTTTCCCTTGGGCTGTTACAGACTACGTTCGCTACTGAAAGTTTTATTTCAGGTTTAACCAGTAGACCTCTAATAACGTCACCGTATTTACTAACATGACCTTAAGGGCTAAGAGGTGGGCAGAATGTTGTTAAACAAAATTTTCAGCTCTCACGACTTTCGGATGCCTTGAGGGTTAGTTTTGTTTGCTTTCTGTCATTAAAAACTCATTACATTCCCGGCACGTAGGTTAATATTTTCTTAACGGGTAAAGGTGTTATTAAACTTCGTGATCACCGCGGCGTGACTAACGTTTAGTTATATAGGGAGTGAGAAGGCTCCTTTCTGTTAGTTTCGATTTGTCTACATCTTTGACACAATGAACTGAAATAAGCCGGTTTTGGAATGGCCTCCTCAAAAACTCGTGCGTCATGCAGTGGTGGACCTTTCGCTGTTGTAAATCCTGCCTTCCAAAATTGGTGCCACGATGATGGTAAAAAGGACAGAAAAGGGTTACTTACATCAATAGCTGACAAAAACTATGGAGCAAAACGGGTGTTACCGCATGAAAACAAGTTTTCACCCAAAGAACCGCAGAAAACGAGCCACGAATCTTCAGGTGCACTCGGGACAAACCGAACTCTGTTGTGGCTGATGGTGTTTCTTTGCCTTGTGTCAACGGCAGCACTTGCGTTAACAATCCTGATGTTGTTCGGTAAAATTGGCGATCGATGTAGCTGTGAAACAAACCCAGGTTAGTACGTAGAAAAAAAAATCAAATAATAAACCTACTTAGAAATATTTCAATTACATTTACTGGACTTGACGACTATTACAAGGATGCAATGCACACTTTGGCTACATTACAATTCTATACCTTCGAACGTTCGAGTAAAAAGGAATCTATCAAATATTTTCTGCTGAGTCAATAAAAATTGTCATTAAGTCATTCTTTTACGGAGGGTTACACATGGTAGGAAAAGCATTTATTGATGAGTCGCTTTTAACTCATCATGTGGATAAAACAGGTGGGACTTTCGTTTCTTCACGTCTCAAAGCGTAAAACCGCGCTTATTACATGTGGAAAAAATAAGAGCCGTCGGGAGTATTTTTCTAAGAGACCGGGAGTTTAGAAGACTCAAAGAGTTACTTTCGTACGTGGTTCGTGTTAACTGAAGGTTCTTAGAACACGCATCGATCACTGTTACCTCTGAAGCTAAACCTTCTGGATTTTAATCGCCATGTTTGAATGACCTTATTTATTTTTTTTAAGACTTGACCTTGGAGTGATACACGTCGACTAATAACATCTTTTAAAGTGGGATTTGTCTACAGTAGGAATCTACAAATCTTAACACCAAATACATTTTTTTGTAATAAGTTAACACGTCTAAAGACGTACCTAACTGAAAAGGAAGTTTCGACCACGGTAAAATGTGTCTAACGGCTACCTTTAAAGCATCGCCTGTTAACCTTTTAAAGTTAAGTTCAGAAGTTAACTCAAGATAAAAGAATGTTTTCGAGTTTATATAGATGAAAACTGAGGCATGCTCCACTATTTCTTATGAGGAAATTAAGTCCAGGATAAATGAATAGCGACAACGTACAATAAGCCTTCGATGCGTTCGGAACAAATGAAATCGTTTGAACTTTACCGCTCCATTTCGTTTTATTTCATGTTTGCGTATTATCTATTGCTACACTTGTCTATATTGATTTTGGTTAAGTATGGCAATATTAATTTTCTTATCTGCTTAGCTCTCCCATTGAACAATCGTTTGAAAAATGCTTGCATCCATTGTTTGAAAAGTTGCCCGATCACGGTTTATTAAATCTCGAAAAATTTCGTCAATTTTCACGATTATCATCTGAACCTGTACTTATCTAATCAAATCAAAAGCTGTTTTGTTGTTTTCCTGTTGTTCCGTCTCTTTCAACTTTGATGTAGTTTTGCATGTGTCAAGGAAGCACTCAAAATAATCTTGACTCAGCTCTTTTATGAGTGCAGTCACTTACGGCTCTTGTGTCTGTATTTTTACGATTCTTAGACAGACCGGAATTTCATGAAAACCACAGCACAAATAACGTTAAAAATAGTCTCGAGCGGGCACAAAGATTTCCTAGAAAATGGCGCGTCTTTCCGGATTAAAAATTAATCGATTGTCATTCATCCTGTTGCACCCAGGCTACCTTCACTTTGACAGCGCTATTGACAAGATTTCTTCCATTCAAATGTTTTGACGTAAGGCGATCTTTGTTTGAAGAGCGCATTTTTCTAAGGTTACTATGTAAAGGGAAAATCTTGTTGTGATTAACCTCCATAGCCTTTTTTCCTGCTTTTTTTAATTTAGTCCTGTACCAAAAGTACAAAAGTTTCGGTCTGAAAAAGAGAAGGCGAAACAATCGTTTTTCAAGGCTCGCTGAGTGTTTTTCCGATTGGAAAAAACATCCCACGGCATACAAAAGATTAAAAATGCATCAAGAGTTTGTTTAACGAGTTTATGAAACGTAAGTGCTTATAGTCAAAAATGAAAGTCCAGAATTTTCTTGATTGAAAAATTACGGACGATCTCAAACTAAATCGAATCGTTATCTAGCTCAAGAGACCAGGTTTACGACAAGCATCTTTTAACCTAAACCGCACATATAAACGTTTTACTGATACGATCAAATAATCTGGGGTGATGAATATTCACAAATGAAATGTTTATGTCAGCGTTTATTACATTTCGCCCGTTTCTCGAAGAGCGGATCTCAGTTTTGTGTGTTGGACCTGAGATCGCCAATAAAAATGTTACTATCAATTCATTGATCGGTGGTTGTTATGTTCCTTCTTCATCAGTAGAAGATTTTGATTGAAACAATTGTTGAATAACCGCTTCGCTCAATCAAACGGACAATGACCGTCTTCATTTGCTGTATTATATGTAATGGCTGACTTTTTTCAGAATGTTCTGTTGGACGAGAAAATTGATTTTCGTTACCTTATTGAGAGCTGGCATTTTTGAAAAAGATTCTACATTGGTGAAATAGGAGCTAGATTTTTTGCATTTTTTGTTCATTTGAATAGTGCACTTTCAAAATTTTTAACTTACTTTTTATACTGATCAGATGCGAACTAAACCAGTCATGAAGATAATGAGTCATTGAGACCCATCCCTTTCATTAACCATGTTGAAATGCTCAGTGCTGAAATTTTCCAGCTCCTCAAGGCGACTGCAACGTTTCTTTTACTCATAACATACAATGATCGATCGTTTAAGAATTTCTGAAGTATAGAGAGCAAATATCACATGCAAACAATATGCAATACGCCCTTTCCCCTCGCCAGTATCTTCTTTTACTAGACGACTACAAACGAAGAGAGAGTCTTGCAGTTCTTTTAACCAAAGGGTAGGTTATTCGTTAACAAAATTAACGGTTTTTTCAGTCTCTGCGAAAATTTCTTTTCTTCTGACTACGTGCTTGTGAATGTACGATTTCCAAAAGAACGCTGCCCATCAAGAGTTTAATTGTTAAGTAGATAATTATTCCATCGTATCTACCGGCTAAGAAGCCTTTCATTTTATATCCACTGTTTTCCTAAGCATCTCCATTAGCTCATGGGGACAGCGAGATTTCGGCCAGGGTGACGTCTCTAGAGCAAAAGTTGTCAAAACTACAGAACCAAAAGGTAAGAGTATTCTGTTAAATGCATGATGTACAAGAATTAAATTTCATGTACTGCCAGTCTGATGAGAAGCCAAAAGCTGTTACATACCCTTATGGATTCCCCTGAAAGACAAGATAACCGTGAACGGGCTAAGACAGAACGAGAAAGTACTTGAATAAGTCAGAAATGAAAGGAAATTCTCATTTGGATTTTACATCTTTGATTCAACGTATGCCGGTGCAGAGATACAAAATCCAAATCTTAATAAATCGTCTTAAGAAAGGCAGCGTGTTCTTTTTTTATATTCGTTGTTTCTTTATTACTCGTTCAATTCCTTTCTGGGTGTTTCTCGAGTCGGAAATGCTGCAACGAGCAGAGGACCTAGCAGATGTTACCAAGGCATGAAGCCCTACGGATTAATAAATATAATGAAGCAGAAACATTTTGTCTTGAGTGAAGTCAGGACTGACGCGAAAAAGTTACTGGAAATGCCTTCCTCCTCTCTGCCCCTTTGGTTATGTCTACCAGCAGAGCTAATCCAGTTTTTTATATCTTTGGTTGCAACAGGTTGTCTCGCCTAACGTGACTGGCAGTTCTCAAACTGAGTTTACCGTTACGGTATGCGATTCTAGCTCTCTATCTTTTGAGTTGAAAATGGATTACAGAGATAGTTTCTTTAGATTCTTTAGGATTGAATTTCCCATTGATTGTTTATTATTTCACACACTTGCATGGAATCACATCTCACGGGAGCCTGTTGCAGATACTGTGCTTCTTTGAAATTATATTTGACACTCGTTGTCCAATTTTGACCCTTCTACCAGGTCACTCAAAACAGAATCGACGAATTATTTAGTGAATTTAAGTATTATAATCTTTATAACAACAGAGGGCTTTGTGTTAAAAGCAATTCGTGAGAATCTTTTTTTATGTCTTCCTGAGTTTGGGCGACCGATACAATCGGTTCGAAAGTGCTTCACTGCTATCTCTATGTAAACCCTTCTCGCTGAGCAACTTTAATTTGTTTTTTGTTTGTAGTTTAACCAGACGGCTACAAGACTGCTTCAACAAGACATTGATTCACTGAAGGCCCTGGTGAATGATATGAATAGGACGACATTTGATAAGGTGTGGATGAAATGATTTAAACCTTATCTCTATTTTTGGTTTAAACATAAGGAAACTAGATAAATGTTTTACATCCTATGAATTATAAAGCTACCGCTATAAACCTGCATTGCCTTTCCGTCCCTTAAGTTTTATGAAAAAAAAATCGTGCTGATTTGGCTACGCAAATACGATGTAAACTTAATGTAATCCAGCTTTGTGGGTAAACGGTTATCAAAGCTACTTGGAAACGAATTTATAATTGTATATGTAGTTCCCGTATGTTATAACCATAGGTATTTTACAAAGTAACCCCCAGCGCTAGGAACTGAGCTTTTTTCCGAGCTTTTCCTCATTTACCAAGATGAATTACAAAGACAAAAACAAACAAAAAACGATCAAACATCAAAAATACGAAAACTAACTAATTCATGTGATCGTTATGCCAATCGTTCCTTAGATGAACCGAATCAGTTTATCTGGAGTTGGGGCTTATACGTTGGCGAATCAAACAGAGGAGATTTTGAACAAATTTAAAAACCACACCGCAAGCTCTCTAATATCGGTAAGTACTACAAAATGATTCATAGATCTTTACAAAGTTTGAGTGAAGATGTTATTGGGAAAGATTTTGTAGGCAATCGCTGTTATGAGTATTGAAATTCACGCTTCCTCATCGTGTAAATCGAATTCGAATCTTCCGCTTTAACTCTACTTGATACAGCTGTTGCATCCCGTCCGCTTTATGCTATTCAGTTGTCCGATTTGAGTTTTGAGACAGGGAAAAAAGCTTTTAATCTGATAGGACGTGGCCAGAGGAGTTTATTACCAATTCAAATTTCATATCGTATTCATAACAGCGAGCGAAACTCATGTTAAATAGAAAATTGACAAATGAAATGAACTTTTTGGACAAAAAGCGAGTATTTGTACCTCGAAGGGAGGTAAGTTGTTCTAAAGCATAGCAAAGACTCCTTGCGTACTTTTCCTTTTCTGTCTTCTTTTGTCATTTCTACATCAGCGGACAATTAGCGCTGGATTAACCTTTCTTGCTCGATAAGAATTCTAAAAATCAAGCCTAATTATCTCAGCAATATTTCACCGTGAAAATGCCACGGGTGGAACAAAGCTGTGTCCTGTTTTAAAGATAACGATTTGCCAAAACATGTCCGAAGACATTGACATTATTGAATGTATTTTTCTCTTTTTTTTGTTCAAACAGTTGATAAACGCAACAGATGGACTAAAACAAGAAGATGTGAAGTTGAGGACACTTTTGTTAGAATTAAACACCACCCTCTCTACCAAGGTACAAGGCGATATTTGCAGATAACTAATCAAGCGTAGATATTACGCAATTTGCCGCAGTTCTTCTAGCGATAATCAGTTCTCAACTGGCATCTAAGCTGAAGGGATGAGTTTGTGTCAGTTACGTCTGATTCGGAAATGTTTTCCACATTGAAGGTGTTCACTAAGGTGGTATTATGTCGAGCAATTTTTGCAAATCGTCTTTTTTTCTTTGATAAAACCAAATTAACTTTGCTTCAAGCTCGCAAGCGCTGGAAAATCAATGTCATGAAGGGAGCGAGAGGCTTTCACACAAATAAAAATTCAAAGGAAAGGAAAGGGAAAAAGAAAAGAAAGATCACGGATACGAGCCAACAGCAAGTTCGTAGCTGTCACGCGTTCAGTATGTGCACCTTTCAAGTTTAAATTAGACAAAAGAGATACACAAATTGTTCCCTTTATCAAAAAATCATGTTGCAGATAGAGAATGTTAGTAAGCTCCAAGGCCCAATTGGACCGCGTGGTTTCAACGGCTCTCAAGGAGCGATTGGACCAGCCGGACCTCAAGGATTCAATGGTACACAGGGTACCCAGGGTGTTATAGGCCCCCCGGGGTTTAATGGATCAAGAGGACCACCAGGGCCACAGGGACCTAACGGAGCAGGAGACTTCTCCCAGTGTGAACACAAGACTGAGGATTTGACTGGAAACCAAAATCCAGTCACCGGCAACAGTTTACCAACTCCAGTTAAAGTGATTAAGGGTGAACCAATTGTAAGTCAATTCAAAGGAAAGATTCAAGACTATTCCCTTTGTAATTTTGTTGATAACGGAAAGTGTAAAGACGTTTGTCAGATTGTTTGCCATACCCTAACGCAAATGAAAACGTGGGTTAGCTGACGTGATACGCCAACATGGAATCATGCATGCTCATGTAATTGGACAACATATATGTAGGTCCTTTGTATCAGGAATTAGATCGATCTAAGTCTCCATAATAAATTAAAGAGTAGATGGTAAATTATTAAACAGAAGTAGTCAAATAGTCCACTCTTTTTGTGGTCAGTCAAGTAATTCAAGTATTTTTTTTATTGCAGGGTAAGAGGATCGTTGGTGTCGCATGTACAACAGACCATGCTCAACTTTATCTGCTCTCGACCAAGATAAAAACATCTAATAAACAGTTGTTCTACTACTGTAGCTGTTATGGTCATCATGGAAGAGGCCAGGCTGCTATTCAGTGCGTCATGCATTACTGGGAATGTCCGCTGACCACATGAACACGAAAACGATTGGTGTTTTGATTGGGTGAAGAAACTTTGCAATAAATTAAAAGGCCCAACATCTTTAATTGTTATCGTAGTTTCTAGGAGAAAAGTCAAGAGAATTTTTTCGCAACATGTTTGCAGAGTTTCTGTCACTCCATCTTCCATGGTTTATTTGGGTATGTCACATGAAAGCCAGGGGCGTCAGGTACAGTGGGCTTAGCGGCAGTCGTATCTGAATAGAATACACCTTGGTTATGGTGAGGTAAAACAAATGAACATGTACAACAGACCATGCTCAGCTTTATCTGCTCACGACCCGAATAAACCCATCTAATAATCAGTTGCTCTACTACTGTAGCTGTTATGGTCATCATGGAAGTGGTCAGGCTTCTATTGAGTGCGTCATGCATTACTGGGAATGTCCACTGACCACATGAACGCATGAACCGAACCTTTTTGTAACTGGAGCTCATGCAGTGCACCATTAGCCCTGCTCAACTATTCATAACTTCATCCCTGCATGTATGCAATAAGTTTCAAACAAAAAAAAATGATTTGCAATTACTTCATTCTTTTCATGTCCCATTGCTTTAAACAAGTGAGAGCCATTTTCAATTCCCCTTTTAAAAAATAATTCAAATAGTACGCGCGCTCTGATTGGCCATAAAACCATTTTACATGAGCGTATGTAAACACGGTTTTCGTTCCTCTTTCATTAGTTATTTTATAAAAGAAATGTAAAATGGTTTCCGTGTTTACATAGCCTGATGTAAACACGCGGGAGGTTGGGAGAACACGAGATAAGCGTAGGAAACCACGACGCGAAGCGGAGATTTCAAAATCACAGTGACTGCAGTCTTCCACTACGTTTATTGTGTCTTTTTTTCTCTGTACTTTTCGCCAAATTTATTAAAAAAAAATATATAGGCTGAGATATTCATCGCAGAAGAAAAGGATATTTTAGATTTTATTTTATAGTAAACTACATTGCTGACCGAGTGGTCCTGTGCGCGTTATTCAACGGTTTTCAATACGCTGTATGCAATTTTCAAATTTCTGATGAAACTAAACTTTATTGGGCTTTCTTGGCTTTAATTACGTTTTCATAAATGTTGCACGTTCATATAAATTGCGATTAAAGGTTGAACGTGTCAATCAGTCATGTTCTGATACTTTGACGTTTATTGAACACCGTTTTTATTTAAAGCTCGAGTTATCGGGGAAAGTTTAGACCAAGGGAAAAAATTAGTAAATTAGTAAAATTAGTCCCGGTTAACGAGTAGTTCGATTAACAAGTACAAGTTAGCTGATTGTAAATGACTTGACATCTGGTAACAAATCCAGGAGAAATCGCATTTTGTTTAAGTTTGCGAGGTTCTGTTGACAAAGGAAAGGAGGAGAGAGGTTTTCAGGACTTATTTACGACCTCTCCAGCCTCTGTATTTACAAGCTGATAACGGACTCTCACTTTCCACTTAACAACGATGATTATCTACAGATAAATGATATTGCTATTGCCTCAGTCAAAACAAATTCATAAAAAGAAACTCGGGTTTTCAGGGGGTCATTTTAACGTCAGATATCTAGTTACGCTTGCGTCTACCTCGCCAAACCTTCCAAAATACAACAGGTTAGAATTTTTACTTCATTTTCTCACTGTTTTCAGTATTTCACCATTCAGTGATTTGTTGAAACTACAATTGTTAGAGATTTTACTTCGCGTTTCTATTCGTCAAGTTTCTCTCGCCTTTCTCTTTGGTTAAAATTTGACCAAAACCTCGCTCATTCGGTGCTAAACGACTTGGTCTCACCATATTTTTAACTTTTTACCTTCGAAGACGCAAAAGGGTAAAAAGTTTGTTTGCGTTTTATTGCACATTTTATAAAAATGAAGTGGTCAAGAACAAAAGGTTATTCTTGAAAAAGACATCGCAGAGAAGCAGACGTTTGAATGAATTATATCATCACAATACCAATACGTGATGATTGTCGGTAAATTTCAATTGCTGGTAACAGGAACTTGTCATCATGCAGAGAGTGATAGATGATATTTGACAACAGTTTTTCGTCTTCATCTTGAAAAGGAAAACGAGAAAATTTGTTTATCCTTTTCTTTAGCGAAATATTAATCGCAGACTTCTCAGTTCGAACAGCGAAGAATGTATATTGATTTGTCTCGATAAACACCAAAGCTTATAAAGAAAGAAAGTTTGTTATAATCGAATAGAAGTACGGTTGTTATTCCCTGCTTTGTTCACAGTAAAAAGCAAGCTTTTAACTTTCCCTATTACGGAAACTGGGGTTTTATTGTGCGTGGAGTCGTTTTGTGACCAAATGGGTGATCGTCAACAGTTTATTCAGGCCCTGGAGAAACTTCCTAAAACACATTACGAAATTACAGTAACTGCAAGGGCTAATTTTATTTCATACCACAGAAACCGTTCCACAGAAGCAATATGATCTCACACCCAGTGAATGTTTCTTGATTGTGTAAAACGTTACTACCTGGCCACTTGCGGTGAACAATCGTTACATAAATAAATTACCCCAGGAACAATATGGGCAGAAATATTGTAAGTGTATCAAGTGTGAAATTTGTGCTAATAAGAAATTTGTTCAGAGCACACTCGACACGAGTCCTCTTAACAAGAACTTGACTACCACCGTGAAACGGAAAGGTTCTCATCCACAATGCAGGCTAACCGGGGGCGAATTGTTGTAAACCCATCTTTTCAAGAGTGGGTTTACTTGGATGAAAAATCTCCCCATGGTTTACAAACTCCAATGAAAAGGCAAGTTACGTATTGTGTAGAGGAGGAAATTGATCGAAAAGAATTCGAAATTAAAGACGATCCGTGGAAACAACACAATTACAAAAGTAAAGTTGACTTTGTTGGGGCGAAATCAAATGGACGATGCTGTCGAGCAGCAATACTGATGTCCATAATCATTGGGTCATTGATGTCGATCGCTGCATTAGCGCTGGTTCTGCTGATGTTGTTTGGGAAAGTAGGAGCAGGTTGTGGGTGTCAGTCATCAAGTGAAGGTTAGAATATGGATAAAGATCTAATTTGAGAGTGTCAACATATATAAAAGCTCGCCAGGACATATTCTGGATCTCGAAAAATATAAGTGCGGTCGCGGTCCAACTATGTTTTGCTATCAGTGCTAAGGTCAGTCAAGCAGTTTGGTAGAGTTCAGTTGCCACGATATACTGTACTGTAAGATGATACGTTGATTTCGCAAAAAATTGCTCAATCTTTGTTTCGCATTAGATCATTGTCATAACAAGTCTGTTTTGTGTTCTGTTTATTGGTGTTATTTTTCGTATCACAACTATTTAATTGGAAAAAATAGTTGCCAGATTTTATTTATTTCCAGCACTTGCAAAGATCTTCTCTCAATTCTCTATGGCTATAAAGATTTTGACAGCTGCGTTCAGATAGGCGGGAGAGAAGGCTTTTCAAAACAATAGATTACCAGATTCAATAGAGCGTGGAGTGATCATGAGTCGACGAAATGAAAAGTATGAATTAAAAATTAGCTCGCACTTATACATATATAAACCTCATGATTGACAATTTACTTCGACCAATGAGAGGACTGTTCAATGTACACCAGACGGCAAACCAAAATTGTTTTGTTTGGCAAGATTGCGAGACTGTTTACGGGGAAGCAAACAAAGAGCAAAATTTTTAATCGACCCTTCAAATACTTAACTTAACAGAAATGTATTCGTGGCTTGTGTAGAGCAGTCAAGCTCTATACTTAATGTTACCTTTCTTTCGTCGTTCAAAACAAACAGATTGCATTTCGCCGTGCTTCTGTTTGGTTACAATGAAGAAAAGAAACGAAACAAAACAAAAATAGTAATGAGAACATCATTAACAGTGACGTGCTCTCTTGCGAATGCTTTTTTCCTGCCACGAAAAGCAGAGTTGGATTAATAAGAGAGGAAAGATTATTTTTTGTTAAACATAATAGGAAAAAAACTTATGTCCTCTCATTGAAGCGGATGTGGTTTAACTCAAATGTGCTGTTCTGTAATTATTTTGTTTCAAATCTTCTTCAGTCAGTCCCTCCGCTGTTACTCAAAGAGATTTTTTAGCCTGGATAGAGGATCTCCAGAGGAACGTCACAAACCTTCAACAGAAACTGGTGAGAAAATGTAGTATAGTTGATGAATTTTGGTTACGCTTTTGGTCGCGATAAGTCTTCTATTCAGTGTGCGCAAGGTCTCATTTTTTAACTGTGGAATAAGTCAGTTTCGAGATACTTCTTCATTTGCAGGGAAAGAAAACACATGAGCTCAAAGTTGTTCACTTATCGCTTCGAGATCTTGACGGAAAATTGCACAATTTGACAAAGAAGGTAATGTACGCTAATAGTCCCACTTTTTCACGAAAAACTTGATTTCGCGGGGAAATTTGATACAGACTCCATCGGAAGTTAATTTTTTGCTCTTGTTTGCTTTTAAGCTAAACATTACTGAAACAGCCCTCCAGGATAAAGACAACAAATTCCTCGTTCTTCTACAGAACACGACTTCAAATTTTCTTCTCAAGGTAATGAAAGCGATGTGCTTCGTTATCGTGTAAATAAGGAACTTTACAGGAATGCTTTGAGATTACATAGTGGGTGCTGAGTTGAATTCTCTTCCTGATTGCACAGTGCAGGTTTGGTATTGCAATATTAAACTACAACCAATTCATTGCAATCAACATTTGACCTGTTATGGCACAAGGTAAAAGAGTATAAGACAAAGAATTAATTTGTCGATTGAGACTGGAGTTGGAAAGTTTAACATCAAGTAAATAAAGGGGGTAAATTTCTAAAGCAACTGCGGTGCTGCGTCGATGAGGGACTGATAACAAGATAATTTGGTTTTATCAACTGAATTGATGCTGTAAATTGGCCTGTGTGAAAAGTTTCTAAGTTGACCTTACGAGCATTAGTGCGTACACGGAAGGTTAGCCCTTCGTCCTTCGCTCTGACGAAGTGCTAACGCTCGAAACGTCAGCTTGGAAAATCTTCACGGTGGCTATTTGTATTGTCAACTCAGTTGTTAAAATCAAATTATCCTCCTCAAGTAGCATGCTTTAGGCGCTCAGTCAGTAAAACGAGGCGCTATAATAAGCGGCGCGAAAGAGGCGGAGAAGAGAAAAAACGTGGGAGGCCTGGGTTCGGTTGCGTAATTATATACTCGACCAGACACGACCCTCGCTATCAGAGAGCAAAAGCAAACACGAGGGTTGAAGAATATGGTCAACGGAGAAGCAAGTAAATAATTAACTCCGATGTCCATGCACTTTTTGTTTTCAGACAGATTTAATCAGATATGATCTTAACTCAACGCGAAATTGGTTGTTAGCCTCCGACGCTGAATTAAAGAACGAACTGGAGGCTGTGAACACAACTCTGATATTGAAGGTTTCTTTTACAATCATAACAATCATGTTCGCTTGCTAAGAACTCACTCATTTTTGTTTTCAAGTTCTCCTCTATTACATAATTCATACTCATCAAAAGCTGATTAACATACACAGAACCGGTTTTTGAGTGGGTGTCTAAAATCATTTCAGTTTGTTAGCTTAAGAATGCTCCAAATGTTCGATCGATCAATTTGAAAGTTTAAACGAATCATGACCAAGATACTTTTACGTTTTGGGAACAAGCCACAAGAATTAAACTCAAACTGGAGGGGAAGGGTGGCTTGAAGAGGAAAGGGAAGTTCCTACACGTCATTAAGTTTTGTGTTGTGTTCAGACTTGTTCGTGGCTCATCTACATAGAAGTACAATAAAAGATTGTACTTTAAAAAAGTGATTTTCTTTTACTGAATAAAAAATCATTCTATAATTACGAACACACAATTTAGTAGCTTAATAGGATTACTCTTTAGGGCATTCCATTGCAACTGTGTGATAATTATTATGTTTGTCAGCTCAACAGTACGGCTGAAAGACTTGATCGAGAGGATATCAGTACAATAACTCTACTTAACGACATCAACTCAACATTGTCCTTAAAGGTACCTGAATTTGGCAGTTTAAGTTATTTTAAGCAAACTTTCAATCTGCCTTGAGAGGGCAAAACATCCAACCAGAACCATTACACCTAACGAAGTAAAACGCAACATAGACAAAGGGACGCGTGCGCAAAACATTTGTGCACTTTCAAATCGCTGTATATCTGAATATATACGACAGCAGATGATTGACGAAGCCCGCACTGCTATCTATATTCAACTCAGAGATTAATTCTTACGAGCTCCGATTGTAGTAATGATAATCTCTTTAGTTTTAACAATTGATTAGGGCAAATAAAATTTGTTTTATTGTGTCAAAAAAGGTCTTTTTCCGCAGTTAGAGAATGTGAGTAAGATCCCCGTTGGACCACGCGGTTTCAACGGCTCTCAAGGACCGATTGGACCAGCGGGACCTCAGGGATTCAATGGAACACAGGGTTCCCAGGGTTTTAACGGATCACAAGGGCCACAGGGACCCAAAGGAGCTGGAGACTTCTCCCAGTGTGAACATAAGACTGAGGATCTGGTTGGAAATCAATCTCCAATCACCAGCAACAGTATAGCAAATCCAATTAAAGTGATTAAGGGTGAACCAAGGGTAAGTAGCTTCAAAGGAGAGATTCACGACTATTCGCTTTGTAATTTTGTTGATAACGAGAAGTGTAAAGACGTTTGTCAGATTGTTTGGCTTACCTTTACGCAGATAAAAACCTGGGTTATGAAATCCTGGGTGAACCAAGTGTAAGTACAATTAGAAGAAGATATTCAAAACTATTCTTGAAAACAAATTAAAGTGGTTAGGGCTGGTTATCCAACTTGTTTGCCTTGCCTTCATGCCAATAAATTCTTGAGTCTTTCTAAGTCCATCTGACGTATGTGCTAACATCAAATGTGATAATGGTAAACCAAATGTAAGCATGCTCAAAGCATGCTAATTTAATTCTACACTTCTTTATCAAATTTCGTTAAAATATACCGGCATATTGAGCTAAATTAAATTTTCACAAGAATTTATGGGAAACACTAAAGTTTTCAAATTGGAGAATAGTCTTGTTTAATTACATTTTTTATATTCGAGTTCGTTTAATTTACCTTTGCAGGGTAAAAAGATTGTTGGTGTCTCATGTTCAACAGACCATGCTCAGCTTTATCTGCTCTCGACCCGAACAAATCCATCTAATAATCAGTTGTTCTACTACTGTAGCTGTTATGGCCATCATGGAACTGGCCTGTCTTCTATTCAGTGCGTCATGAATTACTGGGAATGTCCGCTGACCACGTGAACACGAAAACGAATGGTGTTTTGACAGGGCGGAAAAAAAAATTTGCTATGTCGAAACCTAGCTGTATTACAACGAGTTCTAGATCTGAATTCATACTGATATTGGTAATAACATGATTTCGAGTGTAATATGGTGCTAATTAGCGCGGGTAAACTTTTCAAAGACAGCAAAATTGCGTGAACTCGTAGGGCGAGTGCAATTGGTAGCCTGAAAAATTTTCAAGTGCTTATTTACACCAAATTGCGCAAGAAATCGTGTTTTCACCTGTTGATAATTTACATGAAAAAAAAAAAAACAAAAAACAAAACAAAGCACGCGCCCGTATTTTAAATTTTTACTTGGTTTACAACTTTGCACTCGTGTTACATGAAAAACGCCTCGTTTCCAGCCAATTAGAAGCGTGTCGTTTTTTCATTTCTATCATTTGTCGTGTCTTTTCCCGCGTTTTTGAAACAATTTTTTGAAATTATGATAATTCATTTTTTTTTTGGGCCCCCTGCGAGGCGAGTAGGTTGATGCGGAAAGCTGCCGCTTGGTCAGAGCTGTTTCCTCGAAATTGCATTACATTTTCTCTTTGGTAGCATAAATGTTGAACATACATGTTCAACGTAGTTGTAGAAATCAAGTTGTTGTCGATCACATCAAAAGATAGAGGAAAAGCGACCTAAGTTTGTGCCTGGTTTCATGTTTGCTTTGAATGACAAAGCGAGGGATATTTTCCTTTTTCTGATACTACACATTATTACCATAGAAATACAAAGACAACGTATTCTTAAGAAGTTAAATTGCGCTCAATATAAGGAACAAAGTAACAAAGTTTACGAAGTAATTGTTGTCGAAGACAAACGAATATTTCGCTTATTGGAATATTATAAGGCAACCAATCAGTTAGAATATCCTTTTTTTTGGCCCACCACCTTTTTTTCCAAAAAACCGATCGTTTCGTATCGAATAACACTCATCGCACTTTGTAAAAAAGCAAAAAAGTCTGTCTTACTTTTTGATAAAAGACCGTCGTTCTTTGTAATTAATTAAGCTGTGTTATAACCTGAGCAAATAGACCCGATAATATCTGTCAATCCTGTTAATAATAATGACGATAATGGTAACGATAACGACAATAATAATGATGATGACAGTGATAACGATAATTATTCTGATAGCAATAGTACCGGTGGTGATGGAGATGATGACGAGAAGGAAATTGTGATATTGATTATAACGAAAATTAGAAAAGTGAAAATATGTCCCTCAACGAAAACACCAACCGCGAGTCTTGATTTGTCAGGGTACGTGGCAGTATTATTGAAAGTAAACTGAATAACACATGCGTCATCTCTTCTCGACTCGTTATAACTTATTTTGCAGCTTGCTTTGACACTTACTGGCACGTAAGGGTTCTGGAATATTAAAAAACTTAATTAAATTCAGCTTTATTGCTTTCGTTTTACACAAGGCTGACAGTTAGCCGGGTTTGTTAGGAAAATAGATAGAACAAAATTTTCTTGACGGATGATATGAGACTTGCCTTTTGCTGAATTAGTATGCTAAGCGATGATAATATTTTCTTTGTCGTTGTTAGTAATTATAATTCACATAATGGATGGTTTCTGAAGCATACGGCGTCTAAAAAAAGTCCATTTGTCATTTATTCTCTAAATAGCAGTAAAAGAAACCGCCAGCATTTAGTTTCAATTAATTCATTGGACTTCGGTGAGTCATCTCTTTTCAGCCAGATGTTCACAGGTGGACATTGAGAGAGCTTCAGTAAAAAAAAAATTAAGTTAAAAGTGCGAGTTTTTATAATTGATAGTATAGCATTTGTAAAGACTATTCCAGAAGTTAAAAAAGAGAGATAGAATTCAGATTGAACGGCCCTGATCTAACGAGGAATTGAATTAACAGGCAAAACGGTCTTAAAACATCTTCGTGCAAATCACAATGAACGAATCCTTTTGTGCAGTCATTCAGCAGTATGCCTTCTCTAATTCAGACTTGAAAGAGCTGCGGACAACTTTCATCGCAAACTGTGTTTTCAATAATTTCCTTAGTTATACCGCTATCATGTTAAACATTGTTACAATGTACGCGATACGCAGAACGTCATCTTTGCCAAAGACTCTGAAAACATTGTTGCTTAGTCTTGCTTTTTCTGACGTTGGAGTCGGTTTATTTGTTCAACCTTTATATACTTTCTCTCTGGTCAAGTGGTTGAAACTGGACCGTCCAAGCTGCAACACTTACCAAGTGTGGAATATTTCAAGCAATTTATTTTCAGCTGCTTCGTTCCTTGGCGTTGTAGCTGTAAGTGTCGACAGAGTTTTAGCCGTTCATCTTCATCTCAGATATCAGGAGCTTGTGACTCACAAACGTGTTGTTACTGTGGTGATCTCTATATGGGTGTTCAGTGCATTTATTTCTTTATTGGTATTGTGGAGTTCCTCCGCAACTCAGAATCTTGTTCTTTTAGTTATTGCAGCTACTGGCTTTATTGTCTCCTTTGTGGTGTGCACCAGGATATATTTAACTGTCCGACGCCACAAGAAACAGATTCAGTCCATGCAGATACAAGAAATTGTTCAGGCTGGTGAAAAGGCAAATTTTACCGCGCTTATTAAATCTACAGTTGGTTTATTTTACGTATATCTCGTATTTTTAATTTCGTATTTGCCTTTTTTCATTTGCATTGCTGTTGTTAGAATCTATGGCTCGAGTATCGCTTTCCGGAAAGTTTTTATTTTCTCATGGACTCTGATATTTCTTAATTCATCTTTGAACCCTGTCATTTACTGCTGGAAGATGAGACACATTCGACGAGCTATCATAGAAATACTTGGAAACTTGTCTTGGAGCAGAAGTCAGCCATCTCGTTTACATTACAATCGGTCTTCAAGGGTTGTCCATGTTGAAAACTGAACTCTCTTTCTATAATTATGTTAAGGACTGTATACAGCTGTTTTCTGTAGAGTAAATAAATCGAGGAGTTTGAGCCTGGTGATATGAGGCAGCGAAAGTAATATTGCAGTTTAAATGTTTCCAGAATAAGACGTAAGTGAGGAAGGGAAAGAATATTTAACAGTTCACTCAGTTAGTCAGTACTTGTGACTCCAAGTAAAAGTAGGATTTTCTATATGATATTATGCGTATAAAAGGTATCGTCACTCTTTAAATTAAAAGGGAAGCGGAAGTTCCCCTATGTTTTGTTGATTTACCATGCATTGACTGCAAAATGCTCAAAATGTAAAAATCTCTCTCTGAGCGTAAAATCAAACTGATATCCCATTGACACCAAAGCTTGGACATGTTTCAAAGCTTTTTAATTAATCACAGTTAAAAACTTTATTCTTCATAGGAAATGTTTAGACAGATGTTTGTCGCCTTCAAATTTAGCTCATTGGAAATATAAGTTAGTGACTACTTCAAAACCGATGGAAAGCTCAGTTTTAAGTTCTCTATTTCTGATTTTCATTCAATAAAACCCGGTTTAAGTAAATATGTTTTGCTGGTGTGAATGGGGTATAAGAGGAATCTTCCCCGTAAAATTCCCCGAGTAATACTTAATCCTCCACCCCTCCCCCTCTTAAGTGATAAATATTAGCATTTTCCCCTGGAGTTCTGTCGAGTAGGCGCAGTTAATAAATAAGTACGATCGGAAAAGTAATTAATATAAAGCAGCTATATTTCCGA